GGAGATTCGAGGTTGAGATTGGCGGCATACTGAGGGCAATGCCTTGGTCAACTTGCTCATCGAAAAGGAGCTCATCGTGGCGACCGGAATTTGCAGCGATAAAGGACGGATATCAAAATCAAACCAGCACTTGAATATAACAGCTGATTATTGAACACAAATCGCCAATGCAAAGTGCGGATATGACCACAAAGCGCGGGTGGTGTAGAGCCGTTTGTCGGACCGAAGGGAAACGCTGGAAGTTTTTCGAAGTCTTGGCATCTGCACTTTTTCCCTTCCCCGAGATCTTTGCCTCCTCCCCATCACCTTCTTCATTTCGCGTCCAGGCTGGGCTGGAATCCATCTTTCCTCTACCCTCTTATTCAATTCTATTTTGCTCCCCTATCCCCTCAACTCTCTAGAGCATGATTCCGGCAAAAATGTCTGCGGCACGAGCCGTTTCCTTGCGGACTCAGGCACCGTCTCTCCGAGCAACTTCTCACCGGTTGTCTCGCGCCAGCTCATATTCCACCGCCTCAGCTCGACCATTTACTCACTCCGCTAAGAGCCACCAAGCCATCCTTCCATTCCCTTGTCACCCTGTCTCTCGACTTGTGTCGCCGTTCGGCGCTCTCCCTTTGACGCGGTCTTTCCACGCCGGAACTTCCTTCTGGCAACAGCAAAAGCAACAAGAAGGAAAGCAGGGCGAGGACCAGGAGTCCCAATCACAGAGCGAGGAGTCGAAGGAGGAGAAAAAAGAGAAGCAGGAAGAGAAGGCTCCCCCTCCACCCCATGGAGACAAGTCTCCTTGGCAGGTCTTCCGTGAGACTCTGCAGTCCGAATTCAAGGCCTCCAAGGAATGGGAGGAGTCCACCAAAGCGCTGGCTTCCTCAGCTCACCAGTTCACTGAGAATGAGAGTGTCAGGCGTGCGCGCGCTGCTTACGAGGCTGCGTCAAGCGCTACAACCTCTACAACCTCCACAGCCTTCAAGACGACCGGTCAAGTCATTGGGAAGGGAGCTGCTTGGACATGGAACACACCCGTTGTGAAGGGCGTTCGAAAGGGTGTCAACGCAACCGGAGAGGGCCTCGAGAAGGCCACAAGACCCGTTCGGGAAACCGAAGCATATAAGAGTGTTAAGGATGCGATTGATGATGGCAGCAGCTCGCGCTACGGTGGTTGGGTCGAGAAGGAGGAACGTCGCAAGCAGCGACAGCGCCGAGAGGAGCTGGAACGCAAGGCTGGAAAGTCTCACCGCGTTGAGGAGAGAGTTGAAGATCCCAAGTTAGTTTCGATGAAGACAAGGTTTCAACTTTGGACTTTCTGACTGATTTATCTCTAGTGCCGGTACCAACATCACTATCCACAAAGATTCCGCCTGGAAAGACTCATGGAAAGACTTCAAGGACTCCAACCCAATGATGCAGAAGCTCTTCGCGATCAAGGAGAACTACAACGAGTCCGAGAACCCCCTAATCAGCACAGCACGCAGCATCTCCGACCGCGTTGCTGGCTTCTTCGCCGAAAACGAGACCGCCATGGTCATCAAGAAATTCCGGGAGATCGATCCCAACTTCCAGATGGAGCCTTTCCTGCGCGAAATGCGTGACTACATGTTGCCAGAAGTCCTCGATGCTTATGTCAAGGGAGATGTTGAGACACTCAAGCTCTGGCTTTCTGATGCTCAGTTCCACGTGTACGCTGCTCTCGCGAAGCAATACACTACTGCCGGACTCAAGTCGGATGGTCGCATTTTGGATATCCGTGGCGTGGATATTTCTCACGCCCGTATCTTGGACCCCGGTGACATTCCCGTGTTTGTCGTCACCTGCCGTACACAGGAGATTCACGTCTACCGCAAGATCAAGACTGGGGAGCTAGCCGCTGGTACGGATGACAAGGTGCAGCTGGTCACCTACGCCATCGGATTGACTCGTATCCCTGATGAAGTTAACAACCCCGAAACTCGTGGCTGGAGATTGATCGAGCTGCAGAAAGCTGCCCGTGACTACATCTAAGAGGGAAATTCGTACCTCTTCATTCTATATTGCCATTTTTCTCTATCCTATTGTCGGCATATTCCCTCGTGGACCTCACCCCCTCTTGCATCTTGACTTCCACTCCACCCCTTTCAACTGTACAATACAACTGTTTGATATCAAGCCAGGTGGATCCTGGCACCTGTTACGGTTATGCCTGTTCCAGTGACTGCCAATTCGGGCTCTTGCTGGTTAATCGGATTTTCTTTTCTTCATGTATTAATGCTTCATTCGGTCTGACATTTTGTCTCAAGTCTTACTCTTTCGGACTTACTGCTCAGTCCGCTGAAATCTGAACTTTCTATCCTTCCCATAGACTAGGACGCGTTGGGTTTTATCTGATGGTATTTCTCTTGGTCTTGAGGTGTTCTGCTGGCGTCTTTGCGTTTTATTTCTACTCTCCCCTCGCCACCGTGTATGACTGCATTGGGTTGTTGGTTTTGGTTTCTGTTGGGGCTGGAATTGGTGCCCCAATATATGAGGATCCTTGAAAATCGTGTAAATATATAAAAACACAGTTTTGGCCTGAGTCCGTATGCTGTATATTGTAGTTATCTTGAGAGTATAATGGCACCCCCTCCAAGCTCTACTTGACTCCGACCAACTGGAGGATAGATGACTCATGACCAGCTCTTATAATTTCATGTTATTTACGCTCTGTTGTCTACTGTACATCTGCACTCTTATTTGTGTAGAATCACAGAAATTCGATGAAAACCATGAAGTAACCGTTCAATTGAGTTGTAAGATACTGCCATGGGTAAGGTTTGGGAAGCTTCTGACCTCGATAATGTGAACTACCCTGAGTGGATTCCATATTAGACTACGCGCACTCTTCGATGTGCATCGAGCGTTTCCCTCGCATAAACTTCAAATGGGTGCAGGAATCCACATCAATTATGGCCATCTTTCCCGGGCGACGAAGAAGAAGATTCTACAGTCAGTACATGGATATCTAGAATTATCACACTAGCTGGGTGGTGCGACAAACCTTTTGAGTCGAGAGGACTGAGAAATGACAATATGTCCAAGAACTGCCAGACGGTCCCGCAGCTTGTTCTAGGCGCTTGTTGATCAGAGACCGCATTGACTCATCCGATTGGATCTCGAATTTCAGGGCAACTGCTCTGGCCCCCTTAGCTTCAACCACAACAACACTAACAGCAACGTCTTCCTCATTCCCGTACCATAGGCTATAGTCAGGGCGCCCAATCAGGTCGTACTTTACATCCTTAATCACCTGGCCATACCGCTACAGGCCTTCAGCATTTAGGTGCAAGCCATTCACGTTCAAGTCCTTAGCAGCGTTGTTAGGGTGCGAGGTGACATAGTGGTGTGCGAAGATGAGCAGGTCCTTGAGGGTAATTCGGGTCAATGCTTCATTTGGCTCACTTTTTCCGAAGGCGTTTCTTGTCATATCCATCCATTCAGCTTGGTCAAATCAGTTATTTGTCACATTGACTTGGATATTCCTTTAGGTATATGTACCACAAATGGGAGATAGCTCAACTGGAGTTTGGTTATGGAACTCAAGGTTGCGTAGTGAATGGCTCAGCTTGAGCATAACTTGCAAATCGCCGAGATTCAAGGAAGAAATTGCCAATGTTGGTAGCTCGCACTGGTCTCCTTGTACCATCGATGTGAGAATTGCAAGTGACGCGGGTGCCTGGGTCAACCTACCCCTCGGTGACACGTCTGGAAACGCCGCCTATTCAGGACTTTTGGCTCCGAAGAGGACTTCAGCGGAGAAAGCTGTCCTTAGGCAGGCTAATGGCACGCTTGCTTCTTAGCCACTGGATGGAAGTGGAGGCACGAGATGAAATACAGTGCGTAAATGCGTAAAAATTTGTGTGAGAACTTGATTTTCAAGTTCAAGTAAACGGGGTATACCCCGTGCTATATTTAATTAATCCAGACCTAATTAGTGAGTTATGTACACGGGACTTGACATACATACACCTGAACACCGTAAAATCCACCGTCTCTTATGAAGTAGATGGATGATGATTGGTGATAGGAAGTGATAGGGAAATGATGAGGAAGTAATTGAGAAGTGAGGTCGAAGTGAGTTCAAAGTGAGAGTAATATATACATGTACAGTGTACAATGTGGTGTTGATGCTGGGAGTAGCAAGAACGAACCGATAGGATTGTGTACACAGTCTAGCGGTACCCTCGAAAAAAGTGCACTAATCTTTTGCGACAAGGGTAATGTATGGCTAAGTGGCGGTCAAAGGGTCAGATAACCAGATTAGTTATGTGAAGTGTATCACTATTCCTCCAAGCAACTAGCTCGCATATGCTGTAACTAAGTCGTAGTGTGACAGACGTAGAGTTACTAAGCCCCGTCATCTCTGACTAACTAACTAACTAATACAGGCAATAGGATCGACGAGCCATTATTCACATGTCTCAAACTACCTGTCTCATGCAGTATACGTAGCGCCACTAATCTTTTACCACATAGGTACCTTGGCAAACCAACGTGAATCACGGCCTCAAACGTTGATGTCGGTTAAAGAGTGTGAAAGTAGTATATGATGCGTAGCTCTCTAAATGCAAAGGCAACCTCTTTCTCCCCGCCCCACAACCCTGCCCTACGATAGGCAAGAACCTCTTGAGCTGCAGGATGAGGGCTCAAGCAAGAAGACACAAACACGAACCTTGGTATTACAGAAAAGTAGGTGATCGCGGAAAGCCACTATAGGGAGGCCTTTTTTGCTGACATTCTGTTTTGTTGTCATTAACCCATATTCGGCAGCGAAAAAAGATAAACCTCACTTGAACGGCTGACCTGTGACGTCCTGGATTGCGCAATAATTTTAGATGCTAGCTTCAACTCAGCTGGGCTATCCATACCAAATCAGGAAAGCTCTAGTGGATGAAGCCTAAGCCGATCTATACCACCTTGGCAAGCAGATTCTACTCCAGATATCCGTTTTAACTATATACGTATACCCAAGTCCCAAGTGACGTTATAGATTACTGCCTGTATCCATAGTGCCAATCAGGCTTCGCAAGGTCCTCCCGAATTTTATAAGCCTGTTCCGCCTCTTCTAGTATAGCCATATCAACAGAAACGATTTTCAACCCCTCGTCACTCCCCTCAAACTTGTCTAAACAACCTTTGAATGGCACCGCGATCTGCGAAAGACCCGCAAACCCCTCATCAGCGGGGCCGGCAACATTGCAAAACACGACCGCGCAAGTATTCTCAAAAGCCCGACTAACAACAGCGGCATCAAGAAAATCGCCTTCAGACCTCGGATTATGCTTCAGACCCTCATCTGAAGCATCACTCAGCCTCCAAAATGCAGGGACGATGATCATTTTCGCGCCTTGCATTATCAATTCGCGGAATGCTTCCGGGAATGCCAGATCCCAGCATATCAGTAGCCCAACTTTACCGAGTGGTGTGTCGAATGCGACATGACGTGTCTCGCTTTTTGAGCTTTTGACGTAGGCCCGCTCTGGGTGCCAGAGGTTTTTCTTCTCGTATCTACCTCTGATGCTTCCTGTGTTGTCGATGAAGTAGGCTGCGTTGACTATTGTGTTGTCGGCGTGTAGCTCGCCCAGACTTCCTGGGACGATGCAGATATTGCATTCCTTGGCCAAATCGCAGTAGCTATCGAGATAAGTCTTCCAATCGGAGCACTGTTGTCTGATGGTAGGGTCGTGGCTGGGAAAGAAGTCGGCAAGATGGTATTCAGGGAGAACTGCTAGGTGGGCACCCGCAGCGGCTGCATCATGGATCAACGATTTGGCTCGTTGGTGGTTTGATTCTATCTCATTTGGCTGCTCGAAGTGTTAAGTCCGGTAAGTGACAAGATTTGCCGACTGCATGACTTACCCTTGGAGAGAACTGTATCACAGCGATCTTATATTTGGTCATATCCACTGGTGAGGTATTGTCGATCGTTGGTAAAATTGCAAGCTAGGATCACGAAAATAAGAAACGGAATTGCAAAGTGAGCAGACAGACTCGAAGCTTCTTTGATGGGCAGCCGGGATTTTATAAGTGGACCATTACACTGCTGCAGTTTTGGACCCCCGCATCGGGTAGGACTGCCTGAATGAGTTACGAGCTTTTATCGTTTGTTGCAACGTCACCAGTGCCATGGAATCAAGAGTCTAACGCAGATATCACAAGTAGGTCGGAATTCTGATACATCGTTTGTCGCAAGCGAAGAAGAGAAGAGAGAAGCGACCCTCGTTCCAAGATAGGGATTCTATGGGCAGGGATGAAGGACCTCGGGAGATACAGAGAGAAAGAAAGATAAATATGAAGGGAGAAGAAATCGAGAGAGTTCTATACGACCTTCCCTAAAGGACATCCTCTGTTGCGGCTTCCCTCACGCTATCTACAGAACGACTTACACTGAAGATTGAAGTCGGAGAATGCCATAATATGTATAAACTAGCTAGTTTGGTCTAGACCTCAGCTGCTTCTTGCTATAATGATGATATGTGCCAGCCAGCTTCACCCGAAGCATCTTCCCATAGTAAATGAAGAACAGATTACCCAAAAGAACAACGGTAGAAATTAGCCCAAATGTCACATAGAACCACGAAAGCCCCACCCTATCACTCCAAGGTTTAAGAGCAAAGATAAAGACCGTGGAGATCAGGTTGCGAACGAACGTGACTCCCAAAACCGAGTCCGCGATGATCTAGCAATGAAATGTCAGCCATTGAAGCCCCAACCGACCTCGGGATCATCATGTCCTACATCAGTATATGAATCAGTCAGATAAGTCAGTGCAGCACTGCTAGGAGGAACAATTCCCACGGCACTAATGCCAAGTCCAAACGCGGGCAGAAGCCAATGGCTGCCCTTGTCCAGTCCAATGCCAAACATGAAAAGACCAGCCGGAACCAATGGAGTAAAGGCAATAGCTAGCCAAAGTCGCATCTCTGGCTCGAAAATGCCGCCATTCCGTTTTGCAAGAGAGAGGGCTATAGAATCACTCAATGGCCCGCAAACCATAGCTCCTAGAGTGGTACCAATGAATGGGGGCAACCCCATTAGTCCAATCTGGGATGCGCCGAAATTATACGGCGGTAGCGTCATCACTGATGACAATGTGGTTACCGGCACGGTTGTGCAGGCGGTCATGACTCCGTATACTACTGCCATGAAGAAGACACCGGGGATGCTGAAAAGGATCACAAATGGCTGGTAGCAATGTTTCCCTACTTCGGAGAACGGCACTAGGGAATTCGTCCATAGTGCGAGTTTCTGCCAATAAGTCTTTTCGGGAATTGAATAGTCAATCTGGAACACTTCAGGCATTGGCTGGCCCTCTTGTGTTGCATCGGACTTATCCATCGCCGATCTCTCAAGGTCTCCTTTATCAGGCTGCGGCTTAGGGTCCAGTTTATCCGCAACGGGAACCCCGTCGATGGGGGAGGCATCGAACATGGTCTCCTCGTAGAGGAAGATGAAGGCCACGAGGCCCGCGCCAAACAGTATAGCCATCCACCACCAGACCCAGCGCCATCCTTGAGACTGGGTTATGAAGCCACCGGCTAGAGGTGACAAGGTCACTCCGACAGTCATAAACCAGAAGTAGATTGTGTTAGTGAGGCCGCGCTGGTGAACGAAGTAGATATCGGCCACGGTCATCTGCACCAACACTTCCGAAAGAGCTCCCACGATGCAGCTCAATATGTTGACCAGCATGAGATCTGCGACCGTCTGCATCTTTGCAGACCACACGCTCATTCCACACTGTATGGCAGTGCTGAACACGTAGATCGGGCGGCGCCCGTACTTGAGTGCAAAAGGTACCAAGAAGAGGCCTCCGATACAGAGGGAACCGCAGCCTGCAGCGTAGCTGTCATTTAGTAGAGCGTAGCTAAACCCCAGCTCCAGGTTGAGTTCGCCCCAGGTTACTGTCGCGACGTCGATTCTTTGTTTTGGTTAGCAGTCGTGCATTAGAGGCGCTGTAGGGGCGAAGGCTCACAGGGCAAGTACCATCATAACGTAGTAAGAGACAAGTGCAAAGTTCAAATTTTTGCGCCATAATGGCCAGTTCTAGAAGAGGAAATCGAAAGTACAATCAGCGGTTCAAGTCTTCATCTAGTGTCCATCGTAAGCTCTTACCAGCGGGTCATTGGGGCTTCTTGTAGGTCTTGGCTGAAGGACTACCTCCGAATCTCCTGGCCGTGAAAGATCTTTCGTCTTGTCAGCGCTTGCTACTTTGTCTTTTGTGTCGGAAAAATAAAGCTTTGTTGTCGCACCTTCGATTAGGACGGTCCCAGGCGGCCAGGCTGGATCAGTCTGTGATTGGTTAGGCGGCATTGCTGTAGGGTCGACCAAGTAGATGAAATGAGGATTGAGTGGAAATTAAACCAAACAACTCTAAGGATTATAAGAGGCGGTTGACGACAAGCCAAACACTGCAGTCTTGACCTGTCTTCTCGATGCTGGACATGGGTTCGTTATATGATATTGGCTCTGGGTCCCATATCTCCGGATATCAGGGCTGATTTCACAAGCGCATCGCATCAAGGTTAGGATGGTCCGCGGGTGGCATTCTGCAGCCAATCCGCATCTGAAGATTAGGGGCGGTGGAATGAACGTTGTCTTGAAGAGGAAGTTTGAAGCAACAGCCAATTAATCAGTCTCAAACTGGTTTGTCATATTTTTCGTGGATCTGGAATGCGGGGGAAATTTAGGCGTAAAAGCTTGGGTCCCGAGGTCGGGGTAACTCTATCAAGATTGCGGAGTAGTTCCGCTAAGATTGTGCTCTACAACATGTAGGGCAATAAGTGCCGGCTACTCCGCCAGAAGAATCGGATAGACCTCTCAACGGCATCAAATATCAAACTTCCTTCAGCAGGATCGCTGCAATTGCCATAACAATGGCTTATGTTGGCATGGTAACGTAACATAGAATATTCCTATTGCTGCAAGCAGTCCGTATCCAGACTCTCCAATAAGGAAATTCAGGCGCCATTTGGACGAACTATCTTGTGTCCACTGTGTTGACTAAAGCTTCTAAAGCTTTTGCCTTTCCAATGTCCTGACTCCCCCAGAAATGCCAAATCGATTGACCAATAGCGGCAAATTGCGACGCCCCGCTTTAGTGACACGGTCCACTTATTCCAGCCAATCGTCGTTCAGTTTATTGGCCGGTTCTTGTGGACCTGGGGGAAGGCTAAGTCTCTCAGGTATATATCACGGCTGAGCCTTCCCATATTCTCAAAAGGAAACTTCTAGAGATATCGGAACCTTCCAAGGTTGAATACTCCGTATTCCGGCTTCGCAAGAAACAATACGTAATCCACATCCTCCCTTGCGCTTGTTATGCTGTGTTCCAATTCACAACCTCGCACTATGACATCTATTTCAAAAATGGGCGCTTCTTCATGCCGCCACAGATCTCAAAACGTCATGGTCAAGTTTTTGCTGAAGGCACGATAATTGAAGATGACGAAATCTCCTACCTTGGCTCTGTCGATAAAGAGCACACGGGAAGATGCAAGGGTTATTGATTTAGAAAACCACACCGTCATTCCCGGCCTTTATCGACACCTATGTACATATTCTACACTATGGACAATCCTTACGAAAGCCGACCTTATTAGCTACATATCACTGCTGCTGCCCTCAAACGATCCATGATCTCCAGCTCTTTCCTATAGTGGGGATGATTTTCGACGCAATAATGGTCAACCTCTAACCCTCTCGGCCAACACAAGTGCCATTTTGAATTTTCTAATTTCATGCAGCACCTAGCAACACCTAGCAACACCTAGCAGCATCGCAACTAATTATTTAGTAGATGGAAAAGATTGTATCAAGTATGACTTCCTACATAGAAGAAAGGGAAGGCGAAAAGTAGGCCTTCCTTTGGTTGGTTGATATCTGTAAACCAAGTCGATATCAAGGATCCGGAAAATCTTCATCGAAATTCGAATACTAGTCTGCGAATTTGACATTGTTCTAGCTTGGCATTTATGTTCTCTTTTGCGAATATATCTAGCGGCCTGGGGTCGCATGCCTGATTTTGCAGGGCTGCAGCCTTAATATACCTGATTTACGCCTGGTCCATGTCTGATTTATCTCTGATTCTAGACTGGCAGAGATTAAAATACCTGAATTACTATGACAGAGACCTTAGTGAGCAGAGTAACCTCTAGGGCTGGAAATCCCAAGCTTCTAGGATGAATATGGAGATTTGTCGACATGTAGCGGCTTTATTTTACCTGGTTTTAAACCTTAGCCTCCTTGGGGCTAACCATGAAAGTATTGGTGTAATTTGTATGTCAAAATATTTTCTAGAATATTTTTACGGTCTTCTTTCGTGTCTTTCGTCTTTCTTAGTGTGTCTCGTTTTCTTTTTCTTGTTCCTTCAAATTCACCCCCATAAGGCTTAAGACTAGTAAGGAGGCAACTATTCGTTCGGAAGGCTTTATATCGATAAAGACGGGGTCTTTGTATGGGCGGGATAATATGGAGGTTTGTGCCGTGCGAATAGCTTCAATTTAGTACACGGTATGGAGCGGTATCAAAAGGTCGAAAACCAGGCATAATTCAGGCAGCAAGTATGCGAAATCATCCATGTGACCCCAGGCGGCTACCTAGGTATGCACCTTCGCAGTTTTCATAATTTATTTCGATAACCAAGTCCCTTAATACATATCACTCGACGCATAAAGCTCACTTAACAAATATAGCTCTCTTGGTCAGTATGGCTGATGTCTCATCTAGTCGGCCCCAGTCATGCGCGTCTCGACATGCCTGGCGGCTTAGCCGAACTGCATGGCTTGTTCGATCTCTCATTTCTTTTTCGTAATGGTCGATCGCCACGGACGCGATAGCTCCGCCATTATATATTTGTTCAATTGCCTCCATCAGACGATAGGCATCCAGCAGACCATGATTCGCGGCCTCTCCACGATCTGCGACAGTCAGCACGAACGGCAGTTGACTTGAATGAAAATACTTACACATAGTCATGGCGTGGGCCGCATCTCCTGCCAGAGTAACTCGGCCCCCCTGATTGTCCCAACCAAGGCACTCCCAATCTGCGAGCTTGATCTCCGTGACTGGTGTTCCGACCGGAATCCGATCGACTGCCCGTTGAAGGAATGGCACAAATCCTTGCGCTCGCTGCTTCATGTTTGCGAGGCGATCCTCGTCGGTAGTTGCTACTTTGTCCTCCGGCCCTCTCTCTGACCATGACATACAAATCTGCGCTCGGTATCGTTCGTTCTTGGTTGCTACCGTTCCGTTGACCTGTGGTGTCTCCAGCATCGAGAACCAGAAGAAGGTCCCAGTGGGTGGATAGCATCCTTGAAAGAGTAATGGGTCCATCTCTTTCAATGGTCTGATCTCCTCTGGGGTAAAATCCACAGCGACTCCTGTGAAATTGATCCCAAGAGGTACATTTTCGAAGGCATCTGGTCGGAGAATTTGTCGCACCATGGAGCGACTGCCATCGATACCAACAACAAGGCTCCCTGTTACAGTGGAGTGATCATCGAATAATAATTGTACTCGATCTGTTTCCGGCATATTCAGACCCATCACGCGGCGTCCCCAATGAACATGATCCTCGATACCATGAAGCAAAGCTCGACGCGTCTTTTCCCGATTCACACGCCATCGGCGATTAGGGGGAATTTTGAACTTCGGTTGTCCGGTCTCGAGGTTGATGAACAGAAAATTGCCGCTGTCGTTGCGTGCGACGTCTGGATCAACTTGGACGTCTTGGATACGCGCCAGGGTTTCTTCTGGCAACATCTTGAGCATGTACTCCAGGGCCCAGTGTAAGGTGATGGCCCACCCCTGACCGCGCGCTTCAGGGGTTGCATCGCGCTCGTATATTTCAAAAGGGATGTTCTTCTGCTTCAAGGCTTGGCCCAGTGTCAGACCGACAATGCCGGCGCCCACAATAAGCACAGGCCCCATCGTGTGTATTGAGAGAACACCACTTCGCCATTCCCGCCCTTTTTGTATCATAAATTATGAGAAAGGCCACCATCAGACCAACTTTTCCGTATCCGACTTCGTATATCTCCCCGTCGCATAGATAAGATGCGGGGTTAATCGTGTTCCTATCCGACGGCAAATTCCGACGGTTGAACCGCATCTCGGGCATGGAGTGCCACTTAGATAAACTCGGTATTCAAATATAAGGTCATATGGACCATTGAATCTGCAATATTCACCTCACAGATTCAATCATGTCGCACGAGGCTCTCAACCCCATTCATCCCTCAGTCCTCCCCCACCTTGACCCCGTGTTCATTCAACTATACAACGAACACGTCGCGAACACACCTGGGGGCCCGATTGATCTCGCAGTATTACGCGCAAAATATTCCGTATTGTACTCATATGGAACTGGCCCTGCTCCAGACTGCGCGCGCATCTATGATGCTCAAGTACCTGGTCACAACGGAGACCTGATTCCCATTCGCGTATATGAGCCTCCTTGGCCAGGGCCATGGCCAGTGCATATTGATTTCCACGGCGGAGGTAAGAATACCGTATTACAATGAGACAGAAAAGGCAAAAAGGCATGAAAAAGAAGAAGCTTGTGACTGATCAGTTTAATAGGTTGGGGCCTCGGCGACCTTGACACAGAATCGCACATTTGTAAACACTTCTGCGTCAAAGCAAACGTCTGCGTGATTGACGTTGACTATCGCCTTGTACCCGAACACGCATTCCCAATTGGGATTCAAGATTCGTTTGCTGCACTGCAGTACATCCACGCCCAGGGCGCGCAGCAGTTCAATATCGACCCGAGCCGAATCTCTCTAGGTGGTGTCTCAGCTGGAGGCAACATTGCCCTGGTATGCGCACATTTAGCCCGTGACGCCAATATTCCCCTCAAGCTGGTAGCTGTGGGTACACCTACAGTCGACGATATCTCGAAATACAAGTCCGCCGCCGACGCACCATGGCCCTCGATGCAGACCATGGAGCATGCGCCAACCCTCAACTGGGCACGATTGAAGTGGTTCGATAACCTCAAGTGGCAGAGCATTGCGTCCGAAGGACCGGCCCGAGACTCGCAGCTCGCTGCGGTGAAGTGGTTTGCCAACATACTTGACGCTCCGGACTTTACTGACCTACCAAAGACGGTCATCTATACCGCTGGGTGTGATCCGCTGCGCGACGAGGGCGAGGCCTATGCGCAGAAGCTGATTGCGGGTGGAAATGAGGTTACCCAGAAACGATTTGCTGGTGTTCCGCATCCGTTTATGCACATGGATAAGGGTAAGTCTTCAGTTTGATATTTATCGGAAGTATGCTGACTTCCTTCCTAGACCTCTGGCAGGCGAAAGAATTTATTGATTTGACGGCTGCGCACATTAAAGCTGCGCTACGTCCGTAATGGCGATATAGATCGTTGGAATGTAAATTCCAACTACAATAAACCGTTAAATGACATTTCAAATTTCTCGAGCACCCCATTTTATAGTGATGTAGTATAAGAATTTTGAGAATTTAACATAAAACGATCACAAATTCATCTGTATCGTCAAAGTATCGCACAAAGGACTACCTGGAAGAGCCGTAGTGCCAGATCTAAGAATAGACGTTGAAAAAAATCTCTACCTATGACTTTATGGATGAATATAAGGGCAAGAGTTGGTTTGGAAGGGAGCCAGACCTTTGAGCTACTAGTATATCATCGTAGTATCTATCATTGGCTTTGAAAATCCTCAAATAACCGATATGCTACGAATATGTTTGAACTGACTGCGAGTGATATGTTGAGTTGCAGATATATAGTTCACATGTTAACATCCCTCCATGTCATATAGCTGCTGTGCCAAGGGAATAATTGACTCCTCTAATCTCCGAAACTTGACTCCTAGCACCTGTTGCACCTTTGATGAATCGCAGGAGTAGTGCGTGTCAGCAATGCGTTTCCCGGGTTCTCCCACTGGCACGCGCTGTCTGTCCGAAAGCCGTGAACGGACGATATCGGCAATTTCCTGTGTATCGTAGGATCCCTCAGTCACTAGGAATCTTTCATGGCCCGTTCCTGAGAATGTCAAGGCCTTGAGACTTGTTTCAGACAGATCTTCAACATCAATCCAGACTTTAGAAGACTGTGTCAGTTCAGATTCCATAATATCAATTTGAGGAAAGGGCATACCGGGAGCTTTCGTGGGCGGAACTTCCCCCTGATTTCCGGCGCTCAACACCTGCCAGACAATCTGGTTGCTAGCGTTGAGCTGAGATAGAGATGAAATTGGATGGATCATCCGCCCAAACACCATTCCAGGACACAGAGTAACCAGTTGGTATTGTACGGAGTTGTCACGAACGTAATCCCAAGCAGCGCGCTCAGCGACAACCTTCGAAGCACGATATGCGATGGGCTGGACTTTGTCAGCGATGTACAAGACAAAAGAATCGCGAAAATAGTACTTACCACCGCTGCAGCATTCACGCCATCCTCATATGTCAACGGGCACCAATCTTTCTCGGTGTAGACTGACCCGGGTTGCAAGCCAAGACTAGCGTCATAGACACTAGCAAAACTGGACATGATCACAATCCGTCGGATACTTGAATGCTGTTTAGCGGCTTCACACACAATTTGTGTACCCTTAACCGCAGGGATCATCAATTTCTCTTCAAATTCTCCCGGCACAGCATCGTAGGTGAAAGCAGAAGCCAAGTGTAGGACAGCCTGACAGCCTTGCAGTGTTGCAGAGAAGGCCTGTAAATCGGTGGGGTCCGGCACGACGACCAATTCGAGACGAGAAAGATTTTCAACACCAGCCAAAGCTAGTGCATTGCGCGTGTCATCTGCCTTCTGGTTGGAGCGTACTGTAGCTCGAACGCGATAGTTGGACCGCAGGAGAGTCGCGATGCAGTGGGCAGCAATAAAGCCGTTGCCGCCTGTCACCAGTACCAATGATGCGGGGTCGATAGGAGGCATTTTAGATTAGACCTGATAGAATTGAGAGCCAGTGAACAGGATGGCTAACAGGTAATTATAAGCGAATAAATCGGTTGGGTTTATTACCCTGAGATTGGGGCTGCTTGCGCCGCCGTCGGATAGATAGGAATGGATGTCCAGCACGCATAATATTTCCCACACGAGCCATTTGGTGTCTCGGGGCCAAGGGAATCAGGGGGCCCTGCAACTGCCGTCGCAGAAATTCTTGGTTCTTCTACAACGATAACAGTAATAGAAATTGCGGCGGCATCTGTGAAGAGTAACCCACCTACAGGGAGAATCCAGGGTAGAGATATAGTTCAATATATTTCGGTCTCCGAGACCAACGCCTTCCAGTAAGGTTTCATTTAAAATACATAGCGGAAATTCTCATCATCATGAACATCACGTACTGTCCCCTTCTCAGCCAAACGTGTTTCTACGCGACTACGTGCCGGCGTTCCCAGCCGATCTGCGGTAGCGTTGCGCTTCCCGTACACAATGCGCAAGGCAGTGGAGACTATGATGGCGGCGGCATTTGCAGCGACAATAGTGATTTTTGCCGGAATATACCTGTTTCAACAGTAAGCTATACTCATGTTGATCCTTAAACATCCAATGGCTTACCGAGGAGCATCTTTTGCTTGGAAGGTTTGTGGCCCAATAATGTTCGCAATGCTGAACGCAGCGGAGACAAGCGCTGCACCGGAAACCTACAATAATCAGCATGGAACTGTATAGGGTGGCTGAGGTCATATACCTTCATTGTGTATCCCTTGAAGTTCGCACCTGTCCAAGCAAAAATCAAGGCCAACGGAGCGACAGTCTGTCTGGATTAGCCATTCGGACTTCCTTGGGATTCACCAGATACATACCGTGTTAACCAGATAGATACCCGCCAAGGAACCACCTTGGTTCCCAGAAGGAAGAAAGGACATCAAACAAGACCCCAGTAGCGTTGGAAGCAGTAGCAAGTCAATTGCCAACCATCGCGAAAATCCCTTTGAGATCGCGTACGTAGAAACCATAGTCGCCACAATACTCACGACACCGGAAGGCATGTTGAGTAATGCACTTTGCTCGGAGCTATATCCGAAGCCCTTTATCAGAATCGCAGAGAAGGTTGTAATCACACTACTTGGGAATGTGATGAGGATAGTAAGCAGGACAAGAAGCCAGGTCTGGAGATCTCCGAATGCTTCAAGAACCGACCGCAACCGGAAGACTTTCACACCCACGCCAGCTTGATCGTCAGTCAATCGCTGTGCAATGCGCCGTTTTTCTGACTCGTTGAGAAATTTGGCTTCGTCCGGAGTATTAGGGAGAAAGAAGATGACAAGCAATGAAACCAAGATATTGACAACGCCAATGACCACGAACATAATTCGCCAGCCACCGAAAGACATATTTGTCGGCGCTTGTTGAGCAGCAAAAGAGATAAGTCCGCCAACGATCTGCCCGGCGCCCAAGCCACAGTACCAGAGCCCGTAACGTGGTGTCGATTCCGCACGAACATACCACATGCTCGTATACATTGTGAGAGAGGGTGCTGGGAAGTAGTTAATTAGCGCCGAATCGTGGGTTATTTTCTAGATTTTCTCACCGATAACGGCCTCCATCAATCCCAATAGGATTCTCAAGGCGAGCATGTGGGAAAAGTTCTTCGCAGCAGAGGAACAACACAAGATGATACCCCAGCAGAAAACATTGGCCCCGAGCACCTTTATGACTGGGAACCGCTGCAGAAGAGCTCCCTGAGGAATCTCTGCCACGGCGTATGCAATGAAGAAGCCCGTTGCTAACCAGGAGAAATCATTGCCCGTCATCCCTAAGTCGTCCTGCAGTCCCATCACGTTCGCGTACTTGAACCTGTCAGCTCGAAGTACATAAATGTCAGAAATTTGGTGTACATACGTTGATCGATATCTTGTCAATCATCTGCAAGAAATAAGTCAGGAACATGAGAGGCAAAAGGTGCCAGTCAAGCTTGCGAAGCAACTTCTTGTCGTCCATTGCAATGCTTCCCAGAGCACAGTCCTCAGCAGGGTCATATTTATCAGCCAACTTGATGTTCTTATCCATTATTTCAATTGTTTTGAAAGCGTGAAGAATATGTGAAAACCAGGGTACATCAACCCAAGCATATTATCGGTTGATGGGTTGGCTTTATGAACGAGCTTAGATGGAATGTCAGGCTTGGTGGGATAGCAGCTCAACAAGTTGCCCAAACCTTCTTTCTCCGCATAATGATAACCGTGCAGCTACTGACTTGTCGGTGCCAAAGCAAAAACACGAAATGGCAAAGATCAGCAGCGGAGAAGCCAAGGGATGCAGCCGTCGGATAGATAAAGCCCCTCGCCGTCGCTTATCGCGAGATACGAGAAGAGAAGCCCATGGAAACAAGAGAGACCATGCGATCCGATGTAATTGAGAGAAGACGAGAAGGGAGTATATATTATGATAGATGAAGAGGTGTCTCATGGGTTGTAGAACCATCCGAGATTCAAGTCACCATGCCCTCTCGCACAGACTCACCTCTTCAAGTCGCAATTATTGGCGCCGGCCTCGGTGGTCTTGCAGCCGCTGTGGCATTGCGTCGTCAAGGCCATGCCGTCACCGTTTATGAGAGATATGATTTTGCCGGCGAAGTTGGCGCGTCGCTCAGTGCGGCGTCGAACGGATCTCGTTTCTTGGAAGAATGGGGAGTCGATGTAAAGGGAGCTAAGCCGGTATGTCTTGGAGAATTTGGCGAGGAAAGCAACTAATGTTTAGACAAGGTTATTCTTAAACAACTTATAATGCACAATTGGTCCGATGGCGAGGTGCAAAGCACGTACCCGCTTGGCGACTACAAGGCTAAGTTTGGCACAGTAAGTCCCAACTATTAAGTCAATAAACAATACTGACAGGGATAGGATTACAACAACTTCCACCGCATCGATATTCACAAACAACTCCTCAAGTCGGCCTTCGAGGCGCCTGGGGAGGGTCCAAAGTGCGAATTGAACGTGAACTTCAAAGCCACCAATGTGAATGCAGAGGACGGTGTTATCCAATTTGAGAATGGTGCTACAGCGTCAGCCGATATTATTGTGGCCGCTGATGGTATCCGGGTAGGGCCGAAGAATTGAAACATTGAAGTTCCAAAGCTGACATTCGAGATACCAGTCTCTCACCCGAAACCAGATCGGGATCACACCAGACTTTGAGATGTCCACCTCGTGCTGTTACCGATGCATTATTGGAGCTGATAAACTGCGGTCTCTTGGGTTGGAAGACTACATCTCAAATGAGGCCATCGAGTACTGGGGCGGAATCGGAATCAACAAGATTGTCATGTCGCCCTGCAGCAACGGTGAAGTCGTGAGCTGTTACTGCTTCTATCCAGCATCCCACAATAATGTACGTGACGATGGCTGGAACATTAGCGCTTCGCCGCAGCAGTTGGTGGATACCTTCCCAGATCTCGATCCGAGAATGAAGACCCTAATGCTAAATGCCGAGGATATCAAGATGTGGCGTTGTAAGATTTGCATTCTTTCATCTAAAAATTCACCGCTGACATATACTCCAGTGTATAAGCACCAGCCCTATCCTTACTGGGTGAAAGGTAAAGTTTGTCTGCTTGGTGATGCCGGTAAGAGTCCTTTATTGATTCCAGAGGCTGGAGTATCCTCTGGAGTATGCTAATACGCTTCTAGCTCATCCCATGATGCCCGATCAATCCCAGGGCTCTTGTATGGCCTTCGAGGATGCCGGGGCCCTGGGCCTTGTCTTTCACAAAAGCTTCAGGGAGGAGTATGGGGCCTTGGAGGGACTTGCTCTTTACGAAAAGATGCGGAAAGGGAGGGCTACGCGCGTACAGGAAGCGAGTTTTAGAGCTCGTGAGGATATCAACGAGCGGATTGGTTGGAGCTCGTCTATAGATCGGCCAGGGAAGTTGACTATTGAGGAGGTTTGCGGATACAACATGAGGGATCATTTGGCGGAGCTCGTTAGGGAGCGAGGGGAAGCTAGAATGTGACGTTGCTTGTTTGAACTTCCTTTTATACGTGCTTCAAGTGGACGAAATGCATTACATATGTCAAATATGAGCATCCATTATCCCAAATCATACACCATACACGAAATTCTGGAGTCTAGACAAAGACTACACCAGGAAACTGACTATATCGTACAGAAGCCCAGTTCGCATTCGAAGCGTTGTTTCCACCCTTCCAAACAGTCTCCAACAATTGGCGTGCATGGTTGATGTGGGTAAATCCCAGGGTATTTTCCATCACCATAAGCCGCTCTTTCACTATCATTCGTCGCTCGACACTAATACTACTGGATCCAGCAATGACAAGAGGGAAAAGCAAACACCCCTCAACCCTGCTAGCATATGGGATTTGCTGCACAGAGTCTAGAATAGTGACAACCGATCGTTCCACTAATTCATGCATAGGATCATAGCCCTCAACAATTTGGTGTAGCCGAAGCCGGATCGCCCATTCGAAGGCAGTGGTAGCGCGGTCAGTATCCGACGCAGGATCAACAGCCAAGAAACCACAATCATAATCAGCACGCCACTCATCAATCCGATTTTCAATGTGCGCCGCTGCTGCTCGGAAGCCAATTTCGGATAGCTCATCAACGCGCCTGCTGCGGTGATTGGCCAGTAGATTGACCATGCCCAACAAATCGAACAACGCAGGCGAAATACCATATATGGCATCTGTTGACTTACTGCGGTCGAGCTCCGGTACACTGCTGCGCCGGAAAGTGCTCGTGAGTTCCGTCATGCTATCGCTGTTTTGTAGAAGGGGTGCCTTGCAACGAGAGATGGTCGACATGGAGTCCAAATAGCGAAATAGACTGACGCAGAATGCCCACTCATCCGATGAGACCAGCGACTGAAAGGGGTGGGACTTCAGGATTACACTAGCAGCCTTCAGGTGCCATTTCCAGACACGAGATGTTCCATCAATCAACTCGGTTAAACACAGCAAGAGCACTGTAACACATGCTTCAAAAATAGATTGCCTATCCAAGCAACCCAGTAGTTGATTCACTTGGGTTAGTGCTGGAAAATGTCAGCCAATAGTGGAAGCCCGGTCAATGGACACATCCTACCTTGGCCTTGGCGATTCAGAGCACTTCCCCAGATAGTTGGATAGACCCTCTTCCAGTGACAGCCACTTAGACTCAAAATAACACTCGTGACCGTATCTGAAACAGCCGCTAGTGGTAACAGCGTGACAAGGAACGGGTTGCGATCCAAATCATGAGAGCGACAGAGCGCCCTTGATACAACGCGGATATAGTGGTTGAATAATGACCGGTCTTGCTCCGTGCGCAGGTGGGGGTTTGCTGAAACAGGCAACCGGTCCAGGGGCAAAGCTACAGAGTTCTGTCTTGAGAATGGGTGAGGGAAGAGCGTGGCAATGAATTCCTCGGCTTCAAAGGGGGTAATTGGGCTAAGCATGGGCGGGCCACTATCAGGGTCATTAATCGGATCTGCATCAGCAGGTTCCGTCGCATCGGAGGTAGGGGAACAAGAAGCAATGATTGCAGGGCTTTCTAATTCGAAATCCGGTGCACTTCCTTGCCACTGACAGCGGATATTCAGACGGCGGCAGTCACTGCAGGTAGGACGCCGTTCATCACATTTCTTCTTCCTAGATCCGATCAGCTTCCGACGGAAGAAGTCATGGGCTTCAGTAGCTTACCTCGCCTTGCAGGAGAGACAGCCGCCGCGGGACCGCGATGCACGGGGCCGTCGGGTGGTCGTATCCTTATCGGAACTACCTGGCTTGCAAACATGGCCCAGACCTGTGGCCAAGACGTTAGTTCTTGATGTGGGACGTCTCAATGCAGGGGGAGGACGCATACGCTTGCAGCGCTCGCAAGGAAGCTTGCCGTCGCATCGTTGCTTCTACTAACAGATTAGAACCAGACAATATTCATTCAAGGATAGATACACCGACAATACGAGAGCAACGGGCACAGACACGACTAGTGGCGCTCATTTTCGGGGTGATAAAGAGAAGTCACAGGCAAGAAGAGGACTCACCTGGGCAGATCCGTCGGTTTGTGTTTCTTATCGGAGCCTTCCGACTTGATAAGAGCTGTATCGTCCAATCATTGGCTGCGATACAAGTACCAGACTGGAAGTCACCGGAGTGCGGGGAAACGAGTGCCGCTGGTCTAATCTGGCTTGGCGTTCCCCGGATTTCCGCCGAGATCCCAATCTTCCAAGGTTAGAAGGTCAAATATTACATAATGTGCTTCACATCCATCCATAGTTAACTAGATCTATGGATGGAACATCTTATACCCACCAGAAATTGTCTCCAAAGTTTGCGCTCTACTGTAGGAATATTTATACTAGTGGTAAATGTTTCAGTTACAGTAAATATACAGCTTCGCAATTTAAATTTTCGTTTCTAGGAGTTTATCTTTTTTTGTCCAACATCATTAGATATACCACCATATTATGACCCTAGCGCACCTTAGAAAGAGATACTAGCAACAAACCAGTTAACTAGTTATGAGCTATAAGGCCTGAAGAAAAAGGTCAAGCATCTCAACACAAATCAAGTACTCTGATCTAAAGAGGAGAGAAGAAGGGTTGATTCTCTAAAGTAAACAGATGGTAGACAAATAGCTAGGTGGAAGGTGATAAACAAGGTATTTGGTAGATGGTCTGTCTCAACGTCTTCAACGCCATCATCTAATCAAACGTACTGGCATCCTAGCCAGTCGCGCTGGATGTTGAGAAAACAGCCCTCGTGAGATGGAGAGTGTCGAGGAACTTGCCACGAATCTTATCTAAGACCTGGTCAGGGTTAAACTATCAACGATTCCATTGCAATTTCGTGTAGTGGTAGTGCTTGTATAATAGAAATAATATTCGTCTTAGTAGCTATCAGTTGGAAACTTTTACTTTAGTCCTATCCAACTCCCTGCATAAGCAAGTACTCAGCTCATCAAAGGACATCTGGAGGCGACTGCGAGATCGACATGTCTGTGGGAAAATTTCCCGTAGATCATGGTTCTCACCTACATCATCACTAAGACTTAAGATCTAACCACTGGGTAGCCCCTGATTCTCTGCTACCTACATAGTTTCTTCTTTAATTTATCATATAAATTAATATATTACATATGATTTGGTTAAATAGTTAGACGCAAAAAAGCTAGTATATACCATCCATCGCAGGGTAGTTATCAAGATAATTCCCTTCGATATATGATCAGGATCACCCACCCTCTAATGTTAAATATGGAGTGCTAATAAAGAGCGGTTTTCTCCTACGTAGGGATCCAAGGGATTTTGCAGGGTTCTGTCAACACTAGCTAATCACACCGGATATAACCCCAAATCAGCAATACTGACAAACGGGCCGGTCTACGAAGCGGATGAGGACATTGTGGCATTCTACAAAGCGAATGGAGCGTATGAGAGAAGACGCGCGTGAAGACTCCAAGGAAGAGGACGGTGGGACGAAGAGCTACGAGAGGGATGCCGATGCTAAGTTGTGACCTGGTAAAATAGGTGATTCCTGATTTCCGACATGTACTTAGCGGGTTACATCGAGCCCGGTACAAGTGCATGGACTCTGGAAGATGTTTTTAATCGACATCCGACCAAGGTAAATATGGTGGTCGAGAGATGCATCTGCACGTGCATGTACCAAAGAGAAAAGGAAGTGACTCTTTGTCTCTTTCTTTCTAAGGAACGCTTTGAAAAGTGGATTTGCTACATGGTGTATCAGATTGCGTCTTTCAATTTCATGGCATCAATCATCGAACCAGAAATTCATTTCTGGCCTCCAGTACCGGCACCGCCACCAGCGCCACCACCGCCCATCATGTTCCGAGCCCTGTGAGCTTATTGTCAGTAATGCGATCTCTGAAGCAGAGATATTTTATAAACTTACATATCCGCGATGTTGGGATCGCTCATCAAGCTGGACATGTCAGGCATGCCGCCACCCTGACCAAAGTTTTCAGCCATCTGGCGGAGGCGAGGGTTGCTCATTAGGTTGCCAAGCATATCGGGGTTGCTCATGAGATTCTGTGCCATGCTGGAGAACATCGGGTTGCTCATCAGGGAGCCCAAGTCAGGCATACCGCCAGCACCACCGCCGCCTCCACCACCAAGCATGCTAGCCAGGGAAGACAGGTCAGGCATACCACCGGGACCACCACGCGAGGCACCAGGAGCAGTGTCTAGTTCCTCAGATGGGGGCTCGGTGGTCCGGGAGGTCTCTTCAAGCTTCCGTGTCGATGTCTCCAAGCCACGCTTCATGGCCTCACTGCCACCGTTGCCTTCTGCCTCAATGCCCTTCTCGTATGCCTCCTTGGCGGCATGGTAGTCTCCCATATCGAAGCGAGCGAGACCCAGACGGCTCCACGCCTTGGAATACTTGGGATCGGCGGCAGCAGCAACCTCTGCATCCGCCGCGGCCTTCTCGTGCTGACCCGAAGCGGAAAAAGCGGCGGCGCGGTTGGAGAGATAGATAGGGTTGGCCGGGGCAATTTCGAGAGCCTTGGTGTATTGCTCAATGGCAGCGGCGTAGTCCTTCTTGGCCATGAGAGCATTTCCCTCAGACTTCAGCTTGTCAGACTCCGGTGTGGGCACACCAGCCTTCGGCTTCTCTTCCTGGGAAGTCTCAGCTCCGGCGGTGGGTTGCGGGGTCGACTTGTTGCGCAGCTTCTCGTAGACGCTGTAGATTCCGACCAACGATTGTCCGCCCACAGCATCCTTCACAGCAGCCTCATCGGTAGGGTCGACTTTGAAGGTATCCGCAATGCAAGACTGGGCGATTTCGATCGACTCGGCATCGTCGGCGGTGAGGGTGCCATCTTTCAGGCTGGAGCCGAGGAAATCAATGATGGCCAAGGCCAAGCGTTTGTTGCTTTCGGTTGGAGCCTGCCATCAATCAGTACTATGAATCAATCGCAACAGGCGAGAAGCTTACCATTATAGCAATCTTTAATAAATATTGTGAATGAAAGATAAACAGCGTCCAGGAGTGACCGAGATAGAGGGAAAAAGCAGGCGAGGCAATGCAATGCGGGGGAAGAGCTTTTGCACGTGATCGTAGCTTATCGTTTCCCCGATCTGTTTCCATGTAAGTTGCTTGGACATTATTTCTTTACATTTGAAATTGTGCTTTGGGTTTCTTATCTGCGTTGCTGACAGAGAATTGGTTCCTTGGAGATGACTCCATGTGAGCTTCATTATCCATCTTAACACCTGAACATCACCTGAGCCATGTACTGGCCTCATGGAGTTCCCAGGGTCTACGCGGTCAATGGACCCGATATTGCCCATGCCTGTTCTGATGAGGATCGCGAAATCCTGAATACAGCCCCAGCCAATGATCCCGATACCTTTGACGACAACGCGGAAGCAAGAGGTGACGACGGGCAACATGAGTCCGCAGACACCCAGGCCCATCAGTCGCAACCCAACTTGTCTACGAACTCTGGCAAATCAGAATGGGGAGATGAAGCTATTAGGGGAATTTGTGTTTCTCGGTCGGGTCAGATGTTTGCCACGATGTCCGAGTCATCAATTGCTCTTTGGCAGACTCGGGTATGTCGACAGTGTCGTTATGGTTCATGGGGATGTCTGAGCTGGTGACTGACAACTCTGGCAGCCTACAGCAGTAGTTACAGCAATCTCTCGATCCAGATTCTCGCTGAAAACGTACGGCCCCAGTATCTCACTCCTAATGCACCCAGATTCAACAATTCTGGTTGTACACACCCTCAATGGATACCTACTCACATACTCGGTTGCGTCGGATTCAACAACTCAAGTCTACCAGCAAAGATTTGATCACTCTACACACCCTCGTCGTCAGCAATTGGCCCGGTTTTCAGCAGTTGAAGAGGCCAATGTGGTCGGGGACATAAGCATCCGCTTCCGAATGGCCATCAAGATCGAGTCGGGAATCGTCAAGGCGCTGGCGCTAGATCAAGAACTTGTCGTTGCCACCGTGAAACCACCAGCTATACAATGTATTCGGTGGACGGCTGAGGCGGGAGGAACACAAACCACATCCGAGCTATTGAGTCGCATTCTAGGGATCTCGAAGAAGGTCTCGATCGTGGACATGGTTTACGATCGTGCGATGAATCTGCTCATCTGGATTACCAGCAGTGGCCAGGCATATGCTGTGCAACGAGATTCTGGCTCACAGCAGGATCCTGAAGCAGCCAAGAAACTCTTTCACGGACATTGCTTCCATAATCCGAAGGATGACAGCGAAAAGGCTCTGAAGGTGGCAGTAAATGCTCGTTTCTCTTTGGTCACTGTCAGCTGCTCAAATGGCGACGTTTTGGTTTACACTGCAAAAGATTACATGGGCAACATTCCACTCTCACAAAAGCTCCATCTGCCAGCATCACCCACAACCACCGGGGCTTTGACTTTCATGTGCTATTCCCCGGATGGATATTGTCTCTTTGCTGGTTTTGAAAATGGCTGGACAACATGGAGTGTCTTTGGGAAGCCCGGAGGAAATAGCTTTTCGGTGGACACCGCGTTGGCGACCGCTAATTCGGAGGATTGGTTAACTGGGGTGTCAAACGGGTGTTGGATTGGCGGTGGGTCAGACATCATTCTGTCTGGGCAAAACGACCGTCGCCTGTGGGTTCTGGAGACAGCTCGCAGTGCCCTGACGGGTTGTTTTTCGTCTGCAAACTTAGCTAGAGGCCTGCTGCAGACCGGTACGGAATTTATCCTCTACCGTGGTCACGATCTTCCAGATCTCATGACAATCTCGGGGAAGGATTCATTGTGGCATCATGGCCAATATCCTCCGGCATATCTTCATTCCCAGTGGCCGATCCGATCATGCGTCGTGTCTCAGGATGGACGGTATGTTGCAATTGCAGGTCGGCGTGGTCTTGCACATTACAGCGTCAACAGCGGCCGATGGAAGGTATTCGAGGATTCAAAAGCCGAAAACTCTTTTGCTATGCGAGGAGGTATGTGTTGGTATGGCCACATACTGATCGCAGCGGTGGAGAGTGACGGGTCATACGAGGTACGATATCTCTCCCACCTGCATTGTTCACATGCATGACTGATTTGGATTGAAAGATTCGTCTTTATTCGCGCGAGGCTTCTCTCAGTAACAATTCGATTATGTTCATCGAATATCTCCCATCACCAGTTGTATTCATTGGACCTTCTGGGGAAGATTCCCTCTTGGTTTATACATACGATAACATTCTGTACCATTATATCATTAATTCCACGCAGCCTCAGATTACTCTTGTGCCTGTTGGGCAGATCGCTTTCAATGGGATTGTTCGGGCACCCTCTCGCGTCCGATCGATCAGCTGGGTATTGCCTGAGGAGCAGATACGTGAGTTAGCTTGTTTTCTTTGCAGTAATCTGAGCGCATTACTGACAACAAAGCAGGAAACGGTGATCCATCTCAAGACGTGAAGGTCGCATCCGTGCTTCTTCTTGTGGATGGCAATTTGGTATTGTTGCAGCCCACGGTCTCAGATGCCGGTGATCTCAAATACGACATGCGCGTCATATCACACGATGTCGAGTATTATATCTTGATGCGTGACCAAATTTCGTTCAACTTCTCCTCGCAGGCTGATGAATCTCTACCTGCTAGTCCTTCAGTTGATATGGCACTGGCACCACCTCACAGTAGTCTGTCGCTCAGGGACTCTCTTTGGATGTTCCGTGGTCAAAACTTGCTAGCTTGGAATGATGTTCAAGACGTTTTGCGGGAGGAGATGGTGCCGGCACCCCTCAACATCCCCCTGGACTTTTATCCATTGTCTGTGTTACTGAACAAAGGCATTGCGCTCGGCGTTGAGTCGGAAATGATTCAACGACGCGATGTGACTTTCACTGTTCTGAAATTCGCCATCCGGGTAAGTTATTTTCTCTATCGATAACATCTTGTACTGACCTGTGCACCTCAGACGCACCTTTTCTTACCGTATTTCCTTCAATATGGCCTGACCAGTGTCGGAACACCTGCGGCTCTCGCTCTCTGTCGCCACTTTTCACATTTGTCTTACTTCGCCCATGGATTGGAAATCCTACTTCACCACGTGCTGGACGACGAAGTGGACAATGAGAGCCGAGCAAATAAAAGTCAGGGTCCGCAAGCACGAGCAGAGCCACTACTCCCAACTGTCATTGCTTTCCTCCAAGCCTCACTTCCCCCCAGGGATTACCTTGAGATTGTTGTTCAATGCACACGGAAAACGGAGCTCCGATCATGGCGCACACTGTTCACCTACCTGCCTCCACCCAAGGATCTATTTGAACAGGCCTTGAAACTCGACTCCCTCAAAACTGCTGTTGGATACCTTCTTGTGCTGCAAGCCTTCGAGGACGAGGAGCAAGGGCATGATGGCCGCATCGAAGAATACGTTGTTCGTTTGATTGCTCTCGCCTCCCAGAAGGGAGACTGGGAGCTGTGTGCTGAGCTGGCCCGCTTCCTTATTGCCCTAGATGCTTCAGGTGAGATGCTCCGGCGCGCAATTTCTCGAGTTGGTCTGCGGTCCGACTCTCAATCTTCCACGAAAGGCGCGTTTCCTGGCTCAGCACCCCGATTTGGTCCTGCAGGTGTTCAAGGTCTTGGCTTGAACCTTCCAATCAGGTCTCCACCATGGGCGTCCCTTTCTCCAACGTCGTCTATTTCGCCCCGTCCAAGCCGGCAAGATGGTGATGTGTCAGATGAAAACTCGTATTCAGCGGATGAGCGAGATAGATAATTAATGGGAGTTTTGTTGGCAATTTGACGTGTGTGCATTAACGGGTCAACCGCAGCCCCATGGTCAAACATCCTGCTGGGTCCATTTTAATATTCTCTGCTTACCGTCATGGTTCTCCCTGTTACTGTTATAAGCAGTATGAATCTTAAAATGGAAGGATATTAGCCATATGGTAGGAATAGACTATGAGCTAAAGAGAAACAAAGAACTTACTATAAAAGGACTCGTGCATTCCCTTAGCACCTCTATATCAAATCATCAGTCTAAAAATCATCACCACTCACCCGAAAGGACTATTCGCAGACACAACACATGTGTAGGAAACCTACACAAATTCATGCAGTGTCACCAATCAGTTAGCGCCGTAGGGAGCGCCTCAATATCAAATCGCAGGTGTATCTGGTACTGACGGCCAAGAGTATGAATTTTAGCGATGCGATGCGTACCTCTCTCCCAAGCCCCTATCACAAGGCACACCGCCGCCTTCCCTAGCTTTGTACCTAGGATCTCTTTATACTCCTCAGTATCGTACTCCCATGTTTGACTCTCAATTCGGTCAAACTGGGGCCACTCCACATCATGTCTCGGGTAGAGGATTTCCTGCACGTAGGGCAAGGTCTCGTCGTTCTGGACATTAGTAAAATAAAGATATTTGAGAGTATCGATGGGATGGTCAAACCTATATTGAGCGATAGCGACGGTGGACCAATGAGGTCCCGCGTATCTGTAAATACATTCAGCAATTAGAACGCCTTCTGCGATGGAATGTTGATACTGGCTTTCCCTTTTGTGACCATCCTCGTCATAACCGTGGTGTAACAGTCTTGTGAAGCGGTACTTTCTGTGTCTTTTTGGGAGCCCTAATTGTACCAAGTCCTCTTGAATATATAGAGGTGGGTCATCAAAATGGTTCTCGGGACAAGTAAATTTCTCTCTCTTATTGCCGGTGTTGAATAGTTCGAATAATGTCTTTCTTGATATCCCACATCGGCATCCGCCTAGAGTTGGGTCGGCAATCCATGCTTGGTATGCATTTCCCCTTTGATGAAACTCGCAGACTTGTTCGTCCGACACCGGGCCTCTATCGTCAGATACAGGACTAGTGGGTGTAAGAGGAGTCCTTCCATCGGATAGAGTGTTGTCGTCTGGAATGGGATACCGGAGAGGGGACTGAGGGGATCGAACGCATTTTGCGAGGCCTGAGGATTCTGAGGATCCCGGGGATTCCATGGGTTTAGAGGTCAGACGCCTCCGAGTCGGAGAGCGAGAGGTCTCACTGCCATCCGCGTAGCTGCGCCCACGTTTTCGTAGTCCTGCGGGTCGATATGCCATTTTATAGTCTGAGCCTTGCTTTGTCTTTTGTTGTGTAGAAAAGAGGGGACTTTGGGTGTGGTTGATTGTATTTTGGAATGACCTTTCCTGGAATGAATACTTGTAATCAGGAAAGAGAAACCCTACAATTATATAGTCCTGGTGAATTGGCCTTTATGGTTGGATGAGGGCTACTAAAGAAAATGAAAGGAGTCCTCGACTGAAATAAGACATCCAGGAGCCCGTACAAGTCATGAAGATGCCGATTCTTTTTAGACGATTTAGTACAAAGGGGGTAGGGACCCGCGACAATGAGTACAAAAATAAATCCACAAAGACCTCGAGGCAAACAAAGCGGAAACAAAATTCCTTTGTTGGGACAATACTATTCTGAGCTATAGGCTATATTAACCTTTTATCTAGGGGCGAGCTACGTATAATAATAGCCACAGTATTAAACCCTAGGAATTATTCTAAAATGCTAAGTTTATACGGGCTTTTTAGATATTCTTTTAGAATTCTCCACCCTCTAGTTGTAGAGAGGTAGGTGTATATAGAAATAAATTACGAAGAGCAGTGTCGGATATGGAAATGAGTCAAGATAGAGTGAAAGAGCGCTGCTCTACAACTGACCTGACTAAATGTGTATGAACTCCACACCAACACCTCACTACCACATGCATCATGTTACTTACGAACAAGAATCACAAAACCCATATATTAACAGCTTTCTCTTCAGAGGGGTCATTACTGTAGACTAACAGGCTGACCGAGATCTCCCAGAAACAACCCGCAATGGAGCTAGGGATCCCGACTTGCCCGCAGGGCCACCAATTCTTCCGATAGGGAACGCACGGGCAGCCATTTGAGAGCAACCGAAGCAAGCGCAGCCGCGCTCGCAACAAAAAGCTCATCCATGAGCGAAGGTGGTATACATCCCTAAGACCTCCGTAGCCCCACCGGAATAGCTACATATAGACTGACTTCATTTCCCCATGCAGCAAACTCGGCCTATGGAGACGAAGGCACTTTCGGATTCCTGGCTTGCGAGTTGCGAGGCACAAGCTCAATTGGGACTCCATCGGTTGAACTTGAGGTAGGACCAATCCAAGTTACTCTATAGTGGCAGAGCAAGTGATTTGAAGAGGTACTTGGAGAGTGTCATGTGATAAGCGTAAGCCTACTATAGGGATGAATTGACCACTTTATACACGCGTTTCTCACGGATTTCAAGCCATTGCCAGTATGATCTTATTATTTCAATATGATTCGATTCTTTGAGTTTCATAAAATATTTTAACCGTTCTCCTCAGTCTTACCAGTAACAATGTATGACTTGGAAGGTGTGTTGGTAACCATATTGGCATGCTCCCTCCTTGCCACCGCCAGTATAACAAGTAGCATCCCGATATCCATCACACACAAACTTGCCAGCCTCCTCGCCGACCTTCCCTGTAGGGAGATTCGTCCCTTCATATTTACAAAATTTTCCCAAAGGCTTTGAAACCCCTGTCGCCATTGTGAATCCCGGAAAAAGAGCCGTCTTTCTTCACAAAGTCGGGAGCCTGTCTTTGAGGGCATCCACCAGGGTCTCCGGGCTCTCCATAGTCCTCAAAAATTTCCCGTTGAGCCTGACTTGGTACGTGACTCCAGTGAATCAGGATCAAGTTCTGGATCTGGATCTGGAGGTGTGTATATCGCACCTTATGTCTGGAACGACCCTTCACCCGTAATTCAATGTCAACCTCCATGCTCTCTCATTCTGCCTCCGATGCCTCTTGATTCTCCATCCACCATCTCCATCCCACCATGGACCACCCCGGTCACCCGAAGTTACTCAACTACCAGAACGTCAACCGATCAAAACAGCACTACAGCCCCTCATCGTGGGTATAGCACGACAACAGTGTTTGCTATCATCTCTTTCCCAAAATGTAATGCATCCGTCTATCTTCGACCTTGCTCTTATCGAGACTCCGACTAATCAAAATTTTAGCTGTTATCAACAAAATTCCCGTGCGGGGAGGATCGATCAACGCGAGCCAGACGGCCCCTTCGGTCGTGGAGTTGACAAGCACCATCACCTTGCCCCGCATGGTATACGTGCTACCTCCATTCGGATCAGCTCCCACTCCAAGAAGCACTACCACTACCCTCACCCCACCTCCGTACCCTTGGACCGAGACAACCAAGGACACTCGGATCAATAGGGGCACATCCACAACCACTTGGTCCTCGGATAGTCCCACATCCTCCATCAGCAAAGGCAGCAAGGGCAGCGGTCACGGCCGCGCCCCGTTCTGCCACAAGCCATGTATGTTCTGCCCACCTGAATTTAGCAATACATCTGGCGGCGGCGGTAGCAGCGGCGGTACCGGTAGCGGCAGTGGCTCCGAGGGCGACAATGATGATGAATGCAGCACTGAAACAGCGCAAGTGTGTTCTACAGTCTGTTTTGCAGGCTCCGGGTGTGACTTCAATTGCTCCACCACAACCGGGTGCTCTGCAACCGCATCATCGACTAGAGTCGTCGGCACGCTTGCGCCTGGCGTTGCGATCACCATGAATCAGCTGTCGACAACACAGACTGACGACCCGGATAAGGATCTCAACAGTACCATCTCTCTGGAATCGGTCCTCTCTTCCAAGTTTGGGACTCTGACCGTTATCGAGGGGCTAGGACCAACGACAACCACTGCAACTGGGCCCGCCCCCACAAACGGCAATGCCGCTGGGACTATCGTGCTCTACTACTACTACAGTCTTGTCCCACACAGGCTCCTTGAGGGCATTATCCACGTTGACAAGTGCATTCACAAATTGGGCCATAGATGGTAGCATCCTGCCCTGGGGCAGTCGTTCCAGTCTTATCAGTTGTAGGAGCCATGACACTCACTGCACGCTAACTAGTGTAGGTGCATGCATTCATTGGACAGAAGCTATGTGTACAGCTAAAGTCACAGAGACCAGCAAGGTTCCCTTCGCCAGTTCCTGAAGTGCAAGCTGGAGGAAGGAATGGCGAGACAGTCGGCATAACCAAAGGAACGTCTTCAGTGCCGCAGCTCGAGGGCGGGCAATAGCCAAGATTGAAGTCGAAGTTGCGGATTCCACTATAGCCGGCCCCCTCGCCTGCAACGGGGTAGCCGACCACTCCGGTCGAATTGGGCTTCTTGTAGCCCATACCCATATTGGTGCAGGTACAGCCCCCGAGCTGACAGTAGCTGTAATTGCAGGCGAACTCACACAGACCAGCAAAGTTGTTGGCACCAGTGCCTTTCTTGCAACTCTGATCGGAGAGGGTTTGCTTGGGCGATATTGACACCGTATCACCTGTTGCATTACCGACCCAGGCATTCCAGTTCTGGATTGCATGGGGACAACCTGCCGAGATCGGCTTACCCTTGATAGTGGTAAGAATCACGTTGTCTCGCATCAATGACAAGGTAACAGGTCCAGTGCGACCATCAAAGGCCTGACTGCCGTGGTAGATGCCGATGTTATCATCTGGAACTACTGTCCACGCGGCAGTTCGAGCGTCCCCTCCAATGGAAATAACCACTCCCGAAATAAACCAAGCACGGCGGAGTAGAAAATGCGATCCTGTGCCATTTCAGCAGGCGTGTATTCAATCTGCAGTTGCTGCGCGGTGTTTCCACTTGTGCCTCCGCTGCCACAGGCTGCCGCAGGGCTCAATCGATACCAGGAGAAAATCCTCTCTTCGAAGATGTGGGCGGTTCCTTGCTTGTATATGTCGATCCAGAAAGGTGGTGTTTGCGCCAGCCATCGTGGGGCATGTCGGTTACATAGTTGAATGGTGCCTTTCCAATTTTGAATGCCTCCATGGACTTGTCATAAAGAGGGCCAACGCAGTGAGGCTCGCCGTAGTCATTCCATGAGATGATCTGCGGAAACTCAGACTGCACGAAGAGTACCTCCTGCCAGCGGTCATGCCGCAGGTGATCTCCTCGCCACACCCAGTTCTTCTTGTCCCCAGGCAGGTTGGTATAGAACCACGGAGAAACGGGCATAATATAAGGCATGCCAGACAGATATTGAGGGTAGGAAGCGTCAATATAAGTGTCCATGTCTTGAGGACCCCATGGCCATCCAGCGCAGCTGAAAAGACAGTCGACGACTCCAGTTTCAACAGCGGGTTTGGCGCCGAGAGAGACCAGCTCGGAATGAAAAGGCAGCCGGTGGCAGACTTGATCGAAGGCCAATCATCGGCAGAACGAACGTAGACACAAACGCTTAGCCTTTATAGAAGAAGTATGAAGAGTGTGTGCTATACTGATTAATCAGGTTGATGACATCGCTCCTTGGCCAGCTTGCCGCTTCCAGCATAATCGAAGGAAAAAAGAGTTTGAAGCCGGCACTGTCTGCCGCTGGAAAAGCGGCAGGGAGAGCCTCGTCGCATTATGGTAAGCCATGTTCAGCGCAAAGGCGTCAATGTGCGCATCCTGCTCCAGTTGCATGTCTTTCTTCCAGTCACAGGATGTATAGTTGGCCGAGTTGGTCACCTAGTCGTCCCGTCAATAAAGTCGGAATGGAGATAGTTCACGAGATATGACTACTTACCATAAAGTGAGCAAAGACAGACGCTGCCTACTTCTTCCACCTTATCACTGAACTCCTCTAGTAGGGTTCTGCCTTTGAATATAACATTACCAGTCCTGCTATATCTCCCAACATGCCTATACTCGGCTCTCTCTGCACTTTTCCAGAAATGTGGATATAGCATCAACTGAGTTTCATGGCAATGAATGGATTCTGCTTTAGTGGCCCATATCTTCAAAGGAAGACAAGTTTGATACGCCACCCGGGAGCGCTGACCACTAATCCCTCCTGGGAATTCGTGTATATCCTTCAGCTTCGAAATTTTGGCCTTCTGGGCTTCGTTCACCGGTGTTGGAAAGTAGATCCAGAACAATTCACGTAGGAGCACGTTAAGTCGCTAAACCAGGACGAGTCCCTAACCGAAAATGTCTCACGAGAGGACACATATGATTCCTCTACTCTGGAGATTCTCCTGATAGAGCTGGGCGGAAGGCGACCGAGTGAATTACTTCATGTCCGATATTCTCTCCCTTGCTTTATAGTAGGTATTAGTGGGCTGACGCTTGGTACGTTTAAGAAACGCCTCACCTGTAACTAGAAGAATCGTGTCCGGGCGCTCCTGGACTCTTGCCCACCCAGGCCCCTCGTGCCCTGGAGCCTGAAGCAATGGCTGGAAATGTCCATCCCATTCAGTCTCCAGCTCCAGGTCTTTAGGAGCTTGAAACTCGGTCCAGATGAGAATTGCTTGGTCATTGGGGTCGTCGACCGGTGATCGGTCTGCAGCAGGATCTCCCAGGACCCCCATGGCTGAAGATTTGAGTTGTTTTGGATGGCAACAAGATTTTCCGAGGGTAATTTCGCACTTAAGTATGGAGGAGCCGCTAGAGACAAATAGTGGCAAGGTCTAGGGTAAAACGGCGGTATCGTTTCGTATTATCAAGTGGTGACTTTAGTGATATTCTTGGCTATCAAGACCCACTTCTGCCTCCATGTTTGAACTAAGCACCTTTCTCGACGTGTCCCATCTTACTCCACACGCATCCGCACGAGGTAACATCAAGGAAACGTCAACTTACCAAATGTCTTCCCGGCTCGAGAGGCGCACTAATATCTCGTATTCTGTTGAAATATTTTGCACATACGTTGGTTTTCGATCAACACTGAACTGCTCCGAGGTTGCTATGTACGAAGAGCACATTGGGACAAACCCTCGCCAACATCCGAGATCTCACTTTCATCGTCCCGTATTTTTTGCATCTTCGTGAGATCTTTCGGCAATATCCACGTTCAACTGTTAGAAAGAAGGAACATGCACCGCTCGCAGTCTTGTAAACACATCCCGACTATGCACACCTCCTTCACGCCCCATGCCAATCGCCCTGGGGTCGTTGAACCCCGCCCCAAGCTCACGCCCAAGCCAGCAGGGCCCCCACACCAGCCCTGCGTTAAGATGCTCTCCGACTCGCCTCAACCGGCGCAGATCATCGGTCAGCAAAACAGCTCCCATTATGTTGGGGTTGTCATTGCAGAGCTTGACCACCTCCTCGTCTGAGTCGAATGGACAGACAACGGCCACAGGACCAAATATCTCCTCGCGTACCAGGAGACTATCGGGACGGACGTTGCTCAAGACCGTAGGACTGATCCAGAAACCATGCTCTGGAACTTCGTTAGGTATCTCGCCAATCTCGAAATTGGCATGTTCTTCATCAGCCTGTACAAGCTGAGATCTAATCTTGGCATAATGCTCAGCAGAAACAACCGGGCCGAGTTCCTTTTGCATCCGGTAAGCCTTTTGGAAAAATTGCGTGAGCCGGAACAAAAACTGCTTGTAAATCGTTCGGTGGACGTAGATCAGAGAACCGCTCAAGCAGAGTTGTCCACTGCTTTCAAACGCCGCGAAGGCTGCCGAATACACTGCTTCGTTGACTTCGACATCCCCAAACACCAGGATTGGGCTACTGCCTCGGAGCTCTAGAGACAAGCGCTTGTGAAGGTCGGCCGCAGTGTCCTTTCGAATTTGAATCCCTGTTTTGGCCCCTCCAGTGAACGAAACTCCTTGGATAAGCGGTGAGGTGATAAGGGTCGAACCAGTGCCGGGTCCATCACCGAAAATGATGTTTATAACACCAGGTGGTACTCGAGCTTGTCGGAGCACTTCACTGAGCACTATCCAAGTCCGGCTTAGTACAATTATGCAAGTCCGTCAAATGAGATAATCACTTACAGAACGCCGTCATACTGGTCAACTCGCTCGGCTTGGCCACACCTGTGCATCCGAACGCGAGGCAGGGGGCAATGTTTGAAGACAAAAGGTAAAGCGGCATGTTCCACGAAGTGACAATGGCATAGACCCCACCCGGCACCCGACTTTCGTGCGCCAAAGTCGACTCCCTTCGGCCTTTGTTCAGACGTACCGCACTTTCATCTTGCAGTATGTATCTCGCAAAGAATCTGATACAAGGAAAAAGGTCAGATGGGATCACATGCAGAAAGGGATCAAACAAACCGGAAATGTCTAATGGAACTCTCAACTTCGCCCCGTGCACGAACTAGAGATTTGCCTTGGTCAATGCTTTCCCAGATGGCAAACATTTCTTTCTTTTGCTCCATGATTGAGGCAATGCGAAACAGAATGACAGACCGCATCTGAGTGGGTGTCTGTGACCAAGCACGGAAGGCGCAAGATGCGACATTGATGGCATATTCGACGACGTTGGGCGGACTGCGAGGTACATGCACCAGGAGATTGCCCGAGCGGGGATCAAACGAGTCTATCCATTCCGATGTGTGCGCACAATCAAGGAATTGGTTTTCGATGAAGTTCTGAAGACGAAGAGGCTTATTTGCAGGGTTGTTGAGATAGTTCACAGCTCGTCCGAGCGTGTCGAGCTGCCACAATGTTGGAAGGGCTTCCATGACGGAACGGGTGATAGGGAGGTGAAGTCTCCCCGCGCGTTCGATCAACCCTATGGGATACAAGGAGAGAGACCAGGGAAGTGCTTTACATTTTCAAGTGTAAGAACAAACCTCGTGGGGGATGCTTCTTGGTTGAGGCGTATCGATAGCCCCGATAAACGATTATAGTTGGTCATGCTTTGGTTTCGCTCTCAGTTTTCACTCTCACGCGCCAGCCAAAGTGCGTGAGACCTAATCATAACATACTTGTTCTCCCATCTTCAATGGATGCCTTATGTTTCAGACAAAGCCTTCGGCTTGTTTGTTGTTTGTGGCCTTATTAAGGTCCTTCCTTCCTAGATTGAATGTAGCAGATTCTTCTTCCTTAGTTTCTCCAGGAGTTCGCTGCCGTAGCCCCAACAATCCTGAAAGGAAGGCTGCTCAAGAATAGCCGGTAGCCTACTCTGAATTGCTTCATTCAATCCAGACGGACATTCCATAATTATGCATCTGATCCGTGATCTGAACAGAGAACGGATCCTTTCCTCATTCGCTGGGAAGAGCTTTGCCTCGGGTGGAAGGCCATTCTTTATATCCTATTCTCTCGTCGCACAATCCAATCCGGTCACTAAGGCATTAGATATCCAAGATCGATGTCCAGCACTCATGTTATTGATAATATGTTCTGTGGTCATTACTGCATCAGGATCGAACCAGACGAACCATAAGTTTCATAGCTTTTCATGAAGTTCTATCGACTCCTTAGATCAAGATATACGAGTGGAGACTTCCGAAGTGACCCAGACGGGATCCAGGAAGATCGTTGAGCTTGCAGACATTTCGACCGTCAGCTATGGGGGGCATGGTCCATCTCAAATCTACTGTGAGTCTCTGCACCCACGCTCTCTTGTATAAAATGGGATTTCTCTAGGGCTGCCATGCAGAAACTTAACAATTGCAGTTCTAGTCCTAGAGAACCATACGATACTAGATAATTACCTACAGATCTAGTTATTTTAACTAATTCAATAGTTATAAAGGACCGGTTAAAGATGCAATTTTTGTTTAGGTATCGATCTAATTCTAGTCCTAGATAGTAAAAGCCCATCTTTAACTCTATTTTGACTGCAGCAACCGCGTTCACTGCGCCTTCAACTATATGCAAGTTAAACATAGCGTCTGTTAGGTCATAGGGTGCCTCGGCTAACCCTCGATCCAGCCTCGACGTCCCTCGCCGACTCAAGTTAGTTCGACTCGAACCGGCGCAGCTGCATCTCACGATAGCTGATTGTCATGCTGGACGCCTTCAAAATATCAGGACCTTCAGACTTCAAAGCAGGCTTAAGATAGCTAAAGCGACTTCCAATCTTTATCCACTATTAGAATATTCCTTCTCGTGCGCAAAACATTGTTATAGTGACATTTCTATATACGGTCCGTGACCACCTTGATATCATTGAATTAGTATTGACTGTTCATATTTTCAGTATTCCTCCCATTCATTTGCCATAAAAAACCCTACACGGGCGCGGCCGAATTTTCTGGAAAGGAAATTGAAAAGGGCTTGGACCAACTTTGGAAGCAGCAATTCAAATGTCGCCTGGCTGTTATTAATTTGAATATGAATATATTATATGTTCGTCGGGCCAGTTAGATCTCTGCCAGCCGCTTGAAATATTTCTCCTTCAACGAAACAGAGACCTCAAGATACCATTCATTGAGTGAAAGACAGGGGCAGGAGTTCACCCATGGATATCTCCTTTGTCCATGACAAGGCCAAGGAAATCCACGAAGGATACTCCTGTGTTCTTTGATGTTTTGACTCTTGGAGTCTTTGTCAGTCTATTCATCGCAATGTGTGCTCCACAATGGCATTATGAGGGTTACTTTGTTGCTTGTCTTTGTATGTGCTCGGCTTGAATATATAACTCTGCTACAGGAACCCTGTTTTTCATTCAGACTGCCACCTCAACCCCATGCTACGATGGCTTTTAAGTATCCTCAGTTTGAGCCGTATGGGGATAAGCTAATCCGATGGATGGAAAAGGCCACCGAACCCGGATGCCCAATTCCCAAAACTACACTCAACGCATTGACTCTGCCACAGCCTGCCGACTGGCATATCGAGCACGAGAGAGAATGGTTAACGCCGGACCGGATTGCCTCTATCGTGGGTCTTGGTCTGCCGGTTGGGGAGCTAATTCCACATGATCTATATCCAACAGAGTCCCCGTGTGTACGGCATTCAATCATCAAGTCCCGCATTGGAATTACAGCTCTGGTCGGAACGGTTGGACCAGGTGTGCTTTTTGTTTATTCTATTAGGAGGTACCATGGATCGAACGATCCCTACGTGTCCGAGCTTGCCAAGATTGCCTATGAAACGCACTATCCATTAGATACTGTGAGGTATATCTTTATGAACGATGTACTGGAACCTGCAACTGAACCATTTATCGAGGAACAGATCTATCCATCCCGTGAGGGACTTAAGTATCGATCTGCAGAGCCTCAAACCTGGGACTCTCCTGCACCAGAGTTTAGCGCTATTATGGGTACCCCTATCGGTAAGGTTGTCGGCTCCTTCATCCTAGGTGCGTTTGGCCAGGGTGTTAAACGGGTCGCACGAATTGTTACTTTCCAGAGTGGTCTTGACCTTCACAAATTAGACATTCGTTTTGATATCGAAGATGTTTGAAGTGAAGTTTTCTTTTTAGGGGATTTGACTGACAGGTGGGTATCATAGAGATTATCTAATGCTTTTTCTGTAGAGCAAGATGGACTAGAGAGACCAATTTCTATTGAATTTCATTTTAGCAGTGTATCAGAGCCTTGAGGGTCTAAATACTTTACTAGCGCGTTGTATCCTACCCTTTCCGAGGAAGATGAATTCACCAACAAAATTCATGTCAGGGTCTGAGCGGAGGCGGTAGTTCAATATTATTACTGTCTATCAACCGAACGGACCACCGAGTGTAGGGCACGGGACAGTATTCAATGGATTAGAGTAAGTATCGGCACGTAGCTACAACGAGCCAAATTCCGTTTCATGCTTCAGACGAGTAGCTTCCGCCTCAGAACGCTTAGTAAACTTCTCAAAGGTGAGGCTTTTGTCATGAAATTTAGGTTCAACCGCACTCATCGTCTGTTGGTCAGACCGACACCCAGCTCGTACTAGAAGAACCCATAACGTCTTCCATGTACGCCGGATCTGTACAGAAACTTGCACAGGTAGGTGTAAAGGTTATCTGTGGGCTTCATGTCCTTCAGCTAGTACTCCGTGGGATCGTCGCCAAACATCATCTCAACGTCTTCGAACATGTCCTGGACTGTAGTGTACGGAAGAAGGGCATCCTGGTTCAAACGGGTGTTTTAAGTGCAGATGAGCCTTTCCAGTGGTTCGACATGCTACGTAGATAATTTTGTCTCAGTGAGGAAATGGTCCGCGTTGAACAGAAGCTTGTCGCGCATATGAATGAGCCAGCTCTCGAAGGGGGAGTCGACTCTATCGTCGAGTCGTTCCGGATCTGGGAGGTAGGTGGACTTGCTGATTCGGGGCTCGATGTCCCCTTCGACGCTCTCAGCAGCAAAGGCAGATAGGATTGGGTTCGGCTGGGGGTTTCAATGGAAGCAAGTATCTCGGGGCCAGCAGAAGTTGGTTCGTCAAGTCGCAGACGGCGCAGTGCATAGGCGTAATCCTTTGCCTCTTCAACGGCGCGATCGTGCCGCGCCTTTAGCTCCTTGTGCTTCCTCCGCTCGTTGTATTTCGTTCATATTAACTCGTCGGAGTGCTCAGCTGAGGCGGCCCTGAGGCGTTCGGTAACGGCACTAGTTCGGTGACGTTCAAGTTGGAGGAGTTTGTCGTATCCCGCCTGAGCAGAAAGGATAGTAGCGTACAAGCAATCGGGGTCAAGGCCGGACCAGCCCATGAAATTTTCGTGGTCCGCCACACCCTGCTCCAGTTCACTAATCCCGGACTGATAGCCACGGTGAGTGGGGCTGTGGGACTCTTCATCACCTGCAGGGTTGCCGAGATCAGATGGACCGTCTGGTTTGTGTTCCTGGTAGTCAGCGCCAACAGGCGACTGTGATTCGGTGGTTTTCTTTGCCATGATCGCAGGGTTCGGATCGATTGTAGATCGGATCTTGCTCAGCCAGGCGAGCGGAGCGGTAGGTGGGGCCGAGGGCGCAGGGCCGGCAAGCCGGTTCGGTTCGGGCCGAGTCTTGGCGTGTATCAGTGACAGCTGTGCAGGTAAGAATGGTGATAAAAGGAGACAAAAGGACAGGTGGTATTGGTCCGACGTGAAAACTCACTTTCGATCAAACATTTACAGTGCCTATATGCAAGACAACAGGTACAGGGGAAGAAAGGAAGTAAGAAAGAGAGAATATTTCGAGAAACCGTTGCAATAGAATGGATACTGCACCGGACACGCTAGAGACATGTATATCGCTCACCTCACGCTCACGTCTCGTCAGGACCACTCCCTAATGGCCCAGCCAATCTAGCCTGTTGATCTTTGACACGGAGAGAAGAACCCACGATGATTTCGCCAGGTCCCTCATGTGAGATTTCTTGCCGATATCCCAAGGGCCGTACTCGTGCAAGTGGAGGAACCTACTCTCGGGCTAGTTCTTCAACCCTTTAAATTCTCCCTTTAGGAACTTTACCTACTCCTCATGGTAGCTGGCGAGTGTCGAATAGGTCTCATGTCGATTCAAAGAGATCAAGAGGCACCTACAACACTTAGCACGAAACGCAGTCTTCACAAAACAGACCCTGTTCGTCTACTAGGAATAGCTTCATTACCAGGGCGATTGGAAAGTAGCTAGCCGACCTATGGTCGTGGGGAGTGTTTGCATGGTTTGGAACTTTCCCATATTTGTCTCCCATGGTCCAGCCACCTCTGTCTTTCTCCCTTCTCGACGATCTTCTCGATACCATTACATTGCATATTGACCCCTGCTATCGTGCGTAGTGCCTCAGCATTATGACTGAAGAGTACGGGGTGCCTTCATCGCAATCGAAATGTGCCCTTAGGTTGTTCTTTGAAAACCCATGGTCTATAGCTCACTTTCCATCCTCGTGTCTTTCCAGCAACCCTGATAGGGCAGTCATATTAAACAGCTAAAAGTTCAAGCTCATAGACGTAACAGGGCCGACAAGAGAGCTAATAATAGGATTCGGCTCTTCCAAGGCTATCGGAACTGGCTGGCTCATATCATAACGAACGAAAAGTTCAACTGGTGCCGTTTCGTCATCCGCAAAACCCAATAGCTGAGAATATTGCAAAAGCAAGCTTTCTCCATGCAATGAAGGGATGTTGGAAGGTTACTAGGAAGCATAGGTAACATCCATGTCTCGTTGGTCGTCCAGGTCCGCGTTGCATAGTCTGTCTGCAACCTCATTCGCCTCCCTCGGAATCCAGATGTAGTCCACTTCTCCTTCCTCTTTCAATCTATCCTCAAGATCAGAAGCCTCCTCCAGAAGGTCTCGATTCGCAACACTGTTGCCTGCAGAATTGATCCACCCGTTGTTGGCCCACTTGTAGATCCAGTTTGTCATACAATCAACCGCATATCTAGAATCAGAATAGATCCTGACATGCAGACGTGGATTGTTGTCGAGCTCTTCAAACTTCTCCAGGGCTTGCTCAAGTGCCACGATGATGGCTGTCATTTCGGCGCGCTGGTTCGTAGGCGGAGGGTATGAGGGTAAGGTCCTTGTCCAGCAGTCATATTTTCCATTTTTTTTCTTGAAAGCAGCGGCAGCGGCTCCTATCGCTCCCAGTTGTCCATTGCCTCTACAACCACCGTCGGCGTAGATTTCCATGATGTAGACCATGCCTGCGAGATTTGCCGGTGTAGAAGAGGTGGCGAAGGTTCGGAGTGAGGCACCAATATGTGCAATGGGGAAGCTTGACTGCCTTCCGTGTCGTGCGCGTGAATGTTCAGGAAGTGATCCTATGGGAATATGTTCGGATACACAACAATTCTTCTTCCACTCGGGTGTCTGTCGCTTCTACTTACCTCCACTGCTTATTTTCTCATTGAAGTCTCTTTGGAAAGAAGTATGAACGTAGGGTAGCAAAAGAATGACACGATTTATTCAAAGTTTGAGGGAGCAGGGTACACTGGCGGTGTCGCTACCAAGTGCGGGGTCACTTGGGTATCTCGAACGCCGTCTCGGTGGAGCCGACGGCAGGTGTCAGGGGCGCGGCCCCCAAGAGGGAATGTGTGTTCGCCTTCACTCCCAGAACAGAATAACTCGAACCTCATGAAACGAACAAGCTTCTGCCGATCTGCGTATGCCTGCCTAACGCTGAGCAACACGAACCTACTAAGGCACCCAGACCCGCACGTGACACCAACAGCAACCCATACGGGTAGAATGTGGCAGTAGGGATGATCGTCGTACATACATTCCTATTCGGGTAACCAGCACCGCAAGCAAGCCTTAGCGGCAGGAGCCGTAAGGCATGTGGGGCGTGGTGGACGCTCGTTGGGTGCCCGTAATCTGGCTGCAGTAAGATTGTCTCCACCTTGTCTTTGCCTAGTTCTGAAATCGCAGTCGGCTGTCGGATGTACGAGGGACTACCTAGGTTTTGTGATGAAATGACGAGGTGCAAGTGAATGGGATAGGCTAAGATGGACTAGGATGGGATGGTATGAGATGGGCACAAAGACATCGGGGACTGCCTGTCCACGTAAGCTACATGGCTGCTGCCTTTGTTGCGCAGTTGACCGTCAACCATCCAATAGTCGGTGGATACGCTATTGTACTCACCCAAAGGCGCCATGCCGTTGGCGAGGTGCTTATAATGCCTTGGCGTGCTTATAACCCTAAACCTTATGTGTCGATCGCGGGATTTCAGGTTGATATATTGGTATTTGACCAATAGGACTAACCAAGTCTCAAAAAGATGCTTGATAAACGCACAGCCCCCCTCATAAAGCGGCGGCACCCCGATCGGGAAATTCGCATCCGCGGCCTAAAATCTGGTACATACAGCTACATATACATTATAGTTGGAATTGAACGATTTAACAACGAACTACATCACCGCGTGCACGGCGCCCATATTCTTATGATATATACTGCAACCAATTCTCATGTTTGTTATTTATTTTGAAACCCCGTCCTCCCGTTCCTGTAACAGCTGACGAACTTTAGGGAGCACGAACCGTCCATAATCAATGGCGTCGTTGAGATTATCATAACCCCGGATAGAGATGAGGTCGGCTCCAAGATCAATGTAGTCCAGAAGGGACTCTACTATAGTCTTCGGCGATCCAACCAGAGCAGTGGATGCACCACGCGCATTCGTGGCGGTGACAGTTGGATACCAAAGAGCTCGGTCCTGGACCTCCCCACGGGCGGCAATATCAAGAAGGCGCTGGGATCCTGCGTTCTGTGGGGGCGGCGCATCCGCGGGGGCCTTTCCTTGTCCTTTGGCACGGTTGGTAGTCAGTGCGTCGAGGGTTTGGTGTGCTTTCGCCCAAGCGAGATCTTCAGTCTCCGCGATGATAGGACGGAAGGTCACCCAGATGCGAGGTTTGTCCGACTCCGGGCGACCGGCCTTCGCCGCCTCAGCATAGATGCGATCAATTTGGTCCTTGGTCTCTTTTAGAGGTTCACCCCAGAGTCCAAAGATATCAGCCAGGGAGCCTCCAATGCGGTATGCTTCGTCCGATGAGCCGCCGACTGAGACGGGGATTGTGCCGCTGGTCGGCCGAACGCGGTTGCTGAATTGTTTGAACTGGTAGTATTTGCTGTCCCAGTTAAAGGGCTCGTCGGACTGCCATGCACGACGGAGAATCTTAATATAATCCTCAAGGCGTGCGTAACGTTCATCCTTGCCCAGGAAGTCTCCTTCCTTGGCCTGTTCTGCATCACTTCCGCCTGCGATAAAGTGAACGACGACGCGACCGGAACTCAGTTGATCCAGTGTAGCGAGCGCCTTTGCCGCAACTGTAGGGTACAGGGTGTTGGGTCGCAGGGCAATGATGACCTTGATGCTTTTGGTCACAGAGAGAATGGTGGCTCCGATGGTGAATGGATCATATGATGAAGAGTCGTAGGGCACTAGTGTATAGTTGTAACCATAATCATCGAGGTTGCGAGCGTATCGAACGAGGTACTCTGGATCAATCGAGGCGTTGGGGATTGGATTGATCTCGGTAGATGCGTTCGGGAAGGTGACGCTGATGAATTCCGGCATCGTGACTTTTTCCACCGTCTTCTTAGTTTTCTTTTCAGATACTGTGGTACTTCTCACATCGTGGTAGACCCTTCCTCTTTTAATACTTTAGTATTCAACTATCTCCGGGATGATTTGGCATCAACGCATGACGCAAGATGCTAAGGGATTGCGTCTTAGCACGCAAGTCGACAATCATATCCTTCCGGATCAGATGTTTCTTTTACTTTACTACTAATTGAACTAAGCGTTATTCCTTCGGTCGCATCAAGTAAGGAATAGTACAGAAGTAAACATATTGCGACAGTATTGCGCAAGATGGACCATCAGAATCGCAATATGATGTCTACTAGGACCAGCATAGAAACTGGCCGACATCGCAGTTCAATTTCAGGCCTTAACTTATCCATATCTTACGTCCCGAGATAACAAGCTTGCAGGGCGAATTCCATTCATGACACCGTCACTGGGACGATCTTCGTATGCCTCACCGTGGCCAGCTATTTGGGATGCCATCTGATATACAAGTGCAAAAGAGAGATTTGAACTACATATGGAACCGCATTCCTTACTAATAGAGTACAGACTCGCTTTTTACTACAGCTGCCCGCCCAAACCCTGCAGGAAGCGCTCTCGAATATCCTTGCAGATCTCCACGTTGTTTCGCGCCCGAGCCTGAGAATCCTGCGCGCGACGCGCCAGCCACTCGTTCCTGTCCTTGACAAAAGCCTCCATCCGCTCATCGCGCTGCTTAACCATGGCCAGCTTATCAGAACTCATGATGCTCATATCCGGCTCAGGCACATCATCGGCAGGCGGGAACTGCGGCTTGCGCGGAATGCGCTTTTCGACCGGCAGGATATCGAGCTTGGGACCAGGAAGCGTCTGGTACCAATATGCGGTAGTGCTCCAGTCATCACGGAGATGGTTGGCATGGCCAGACTCCATGGTAACCTTGATTTTCTTGTTGAAGCGCACTGGGTCCGTGAGGTGCCAGCGGTAGCTGACTTGGTAGTTCGGGACATCTTCCTCGTGGATGATAGTACCGCAGAATGGGTATGCGTTCTTCTGCATGCCCCATCCCTGTGTAAAGTAGTCTTCGCCACCTGTGCCGTGCATGCTGGGTGGCCAGGTGTCGTCGTCGATGAAGATCATATCGTCGCCCTCACCCCACCAAGTGCCTTGGAAATGGGCCACGGATTGGTTGCAGCCGATGAATTGGCCAGCGCCTTCGGTCTCTAAAATGACGTAATTATCCTTTCCGTCCAGGTTTGGCACTTGCGTCTCGAGGCTGTTTGTTTGAATACGAGGTGGCGCCCAGCCGTTGGTTGGGTTCATGCGACGCCAGTGCGCGTGGAAGTACAGCGTATCCGCGGGCAGGGGCTCCGGGTAGAGTTCGTAGTCGACATAGAAGTACTGGAAATAGGCCTCGTCGTTCTGGTTCTCGATTTCAATGCGTGCCCGTTTGTTGAAAGGCATGGTGAGATAGCAATTAAACGCGGCAGCTCCACCGAACTTCTTCTCCTCGGATGGCTTGACCGAGACCGTGAACGGAAGTGACTGGAAGTTGGCTGCCATGGAATGGCCAAGACAGAAGAAGTCTCCGATCGGTGCGATCACGTTGGGGGTCTCCGAGCCATCCCAATACATCTTGATGAGTACCTTGCGATAGTAGTCTGGGTCGTTGACTTCGTAGTTGAGGCCGAGCGCATTGTGGATTTCCATCATCGCAACGCCGGACTTGGAGTAGGGAATCAGGCCTGGGCCTATAATTTTGCGGCAGGTTTGGACAAACCACAAATGTGTGATGGCACCGGGCCCTTCGAGGTCGGCCAGCACGATTGACTCGCCCGGCAGGACTACAAAAGCATCCTCGTTGAGACCCTTCTGGTCCCAACTAGCCACGCGAGCGCTGCGAGCTACCTTTCTCTTTGCCATGCTGGCCAACAGGTCATTTCCAATGGGCATCTTCAAGGTATGATCAGAGATAAGGAAGTTGAGTCAATTTGTTTGCAATTGCAGATATCGAAGGCGACTCTTCGGGACCCTTTAATAGCCACATCTTGCGTCTCTTCTTCCTCACACGACAATGACCACAGTCGAGTTGTGCGGAGCTGACAATTCTCCCGCGAGAAACAAACTAAACTCAGAGTTTGAATTAATGGGCGTTTGGGTTTCGCGGAGGACCACCGATTGTCCGCGGAGGACCACCGATTGTCCGCGGAGGACCACCGATTGTCCGCGATCTTGAGTGCGGGGTTGACAGATTCGCCAGGGCGGAGGCCCCGTCTTCGTCCGCGATATAATACCTTCCCAAGTTCAACTTCTAACATCATACAATGGAGGACCACCGCCCGCATAAGCGAAAACGCACGACCCTGGCATGTGATGCCTGTCGAGCGCGGAGGACCAAGTGCGACTCGCAGAGGCCGTCCTGTCGTTATTGTCAAAGCCAAGGACTTGACTGTCTCTACCAAGAGGCCCCAGCGGAGCCGCCCAGTCGGTATGTGACTGCTTTCCCTACAGCCACAGAGATAGTACTAACATGTGGGACAGGGTAGAAGAAGAATTGAATGCCGTGAATAAACGACTTGATCAACTAATCAGCCTAATGCTTCCAGCGCAGCCCGTTTCCCCAGATGTTCGTGCTGGGGATCCGCGAACTGAATATGATGTGTTGACCAATCAGGAAGATTCGCCATTCGATTTACCTTCTAAGCTACTTGGTAATCCGTCTGTTATGCTTGCACTCGGACTCGATGCAGATTTCGCGCAGGTCCTAACCCGAAAGGAACGAATTACAGGGCCCGAGGGGCTGGCGAATGCAGGTGCACAGGTGCTTGTTGTTCATTATCAGCATGCAGTGAGGTGCGTCGAGCCAATGATCAACTGATCGCAACTAATCATCACTTCAGCGCCTTGGCTGCATTCTCTGCTCGCGTCCACACCTGGTATCCCATTCTTCCCTCAGGATTTTCGCAGGAATACTTCCGGGTTCTCTCTGGCCCCTTACTTCCTTCTTCGGAATCTTGCCTTTCACTTCTTGTGGCAGCAGTCGGCCATATAGTAGAGGAAGACGAGGCAGTCTTAGATACGCCATACTTCGCAACAGCTCTTGCCGCGCTGCCAATCATCATCGCCGAGTGCAGTATTCGCAGTGTCCAATGCTTGATGATGGTTAGCTTGTATTATTGCTGTTTATTAAAGCCCTGTCAAGCTCATGACTATTGCTTAATTGCGTCTTCCAAAGTCCAGAACATTATGAAAAGGTGATTCCTCCCTACTCGGAGAAATTGGAGGCAAAGCTTATATAAATATTTTAGTGGACTGGAAGGTGATGATCCACATACAATTGAACAGACTCGGCGAGCGTACTGGGGTGTGCTATTACTCGAGAAGTAGGCAGTCCAACATTTCCAAGTGCGGTTTATTACTAACGTCCGTTACAGCGAGATCGGCGGCCAACTGGATGTTGCCAAGAGTGGTATCTGGTGTCTGGATGAACATGTTCCACTGCCTCTATGCCACCAGACATGGCAATTTACACCCGAGAGTACACCCGCAGCAATTGCATCGTCTCCTTCCCCGGGTAGCGTACCTTCCACTGACACAAGCGTGCAAAATATGGAATCTTATTTCCTTGCTGAGATTGCTATGAGACGTATGCTACATCGATGCAACACAGCTGTCCAGGTGACGTCCGGCGGAAAATACGTCTATGCACCAGGTATCGCACTGGAGCTGGAACACCAGCTTGAGGAGTGGTATCGTTACCTGCCCGAAATGAACTCTTTCGGAAAAGGCGATGTGTCACAGCCTTTAGCACTGGTCAATATACCATCCTGTCCTCTGTCGAACTTCCTACGGGTCCAATACTACTGCTGCAAGCTTTCCATATATTGGCCGGCTGTTTATCAGGCCATGCAAGATGGAGCTGTTACAAACATCCTGCTTGATCATTGCCAGAAATTCTTCGATTCTTACGCGCTGCTGATACCGAGTATTGTTACCGCATTTCATGACTGCCGAGTGAACAGGTGGACATTATTTGTCAGGTGGGTTTACAATCTATATGCTGAAATCGGTAAATATGTTTTCGCTAATATTGAGAGATAGTCTTTTTATTACTTCCGTGGCCGCCATGACTGCAGCAAATGCCCCCTGTTTAAGTGGGCTCTGTTCGCCTCAGTTTTATCGATGTATTCAAGCATCTGCACGCGCCGAACAGACAATACTACAGAAGAGTCCGTCCTTGATGCTACTACAAGGAGTACTAGAGCGGCGCCTTTTAGAGGCTGGTCTTATTTGAAAAAGAAAAGAAAACAAAAAGAAAAAGAAAAAGAAGCAACCTTGAGTGGAACTACTTTCAACTCTTTTAACCAGTAAAAGGTTCTCCAAAGCCTCCGAACTTAAGAGCATATACTCATGATCTCCGAGCAGTCGACAATCCCTCCCAAATATTTACCTCCTCAATAACAGCACTCCCCTCTTTCCCCTTAGCAAATGCTGATATGCCAGCAGGGCTAATATCCTGCGGAGAATAGACCACCGTAGCCAAGGCAAACCAATCATTTGCAAAGACCTCCAAGACATCCGCATCAGAGATTATGCGAATACGCAAGTTCTCCAATTTGTCTCTGGGTTCGACACCCACATTTTCAGTCCTGTAAAAGAGGGTAAAGGGGCCTTGTTCGGGGCAATTGCGTATGTTTGGATCAGATGATCTTCCTTTGCTGACACTGATCGTCTCTTCCTGAAGCGAAAACTTGACGGTAGTGCATATGGACATATCGCTATTGTGGCGAATATGGAAGCCGACTTCAAAGCAGCAACTTGGGTTGATAGTGATTTCTCCCTCGAGCTCCCAGGTAGTAGAGAACGTTGAGCACAGTGCATGTGATGCTCCGGCTGTCGGAGCTGGGAGTGAGATATGTTTTCGTCGGCAAGAATGACGATGGCGTTTGCGGAGTCGAACTATCTCTTTCACAGGCCGTATTCCGAGCGTGTAGATAGTGGCTGAACCATCTCGGTTTGGGGCCTGTTCAACAGATGATATTTCCGACAAAGGACTGTGAAGAGCTCGAGTAACATTTGAGATAGAAAGGAGAAAGAGCTCGCGAGGAATGGCCAATGCGCCATTCCATCCTTTGCCTTTGGCGTGACTCGCTGATATGTCCTCTTCGGGAATCCACGCGTGCATTATATGTCTCTTAGACACCGGATCGAAAAATGAATTGGCTGCGTACAATGACCCGCAGTCCAAATACCCGCCATGGGTGTAGTCAACACGAGCCGAGTTGCTTTCGACCTTCAAGTCACCAAACATCCACAGTAGAGAACGAACAGTCCTTGGAGGGATATGTGCATCGGATTCAAAGTTCCGGATGTGTTCACGTTCTACATCTCCCTCCGCTCCAAGGATCAGACACACGCGGCTGTTGCTGCCGGATTCGAGGGTCAGTAAATTCACGCATTCCCAGTTGACGCCGAAACTTCCAGACCATTTCTGTGACGGCTGGAATCGAGCAGGCATATCGACCAAAGGAGACAAATAGTTCCATTCGGATACGTTCTTATGCGGCACGGAATATAGGAAGGCTGTCGGTCCGCGGCCTTCAATTCCACCTGACACAAGCCCATACATGGAATTTTGCCCACGAAGATCATTCAAAGCATGCCACTCAGCTAAAAAGGGATCACGAAAGCCAGTCACTTGAAGCCCTTTGGGCTCGCCAACCAAGATTGGATTTTCTGAGCATTTTCTCCATGTCTTCCCATTATCCCTGGATTCAGCGATTGCTAGACCAGCAGCGTTGCGGGGATATGGAGGTGTGCTCCAGTGAAATGGCAGATGGCGGACTGATGAGTAGATAATTTTCAGAGAACCTGGCTCGGAATTTTCGGGTGGTGCCATACAGCCTGTAAAGACTCCATCACGATCATAAGGCTGATCAGGAATCAAAGCAGGCTTGGTATAGGATGTCCAGGATATGAGATCCTCGCTGGTGACATGACCCCAAGACATCGATCCCCATTCAGTACCATGTGGATTGCCTGTTTAGTGTAAGTTATGTAAGATAAATCGAACCGCAGCACCACAAACACTCACACTGATAGAAGACATGGTATAAGCCCGTTTCCAGATCGTACCCGGGAGCACAAGGATCGTTGATCCAGCAGTCAGCGGTGAAATGCAGAGACGGCTTGATGCGATCAGAATCCATGATTTTGCTTTCGTCACAGAGGGAGATCAGCGTTAAACTTAAATATAATTGATACGAGACTGCTATTGCCAAGTCCCGTAAGACGGCGATCTTGGCGTGTATAGAGCATCGCGGAGTAGCCTCGTGACTCCGCGAGACTGATAAACTCTAAATCCCCGGACTCCACCGTTTCCCCACGGGGTAATAGAGAATGTATTGGGGCTGCATATATAACTGGATACTCTGCCCACCGGAAATGTGGGTATAATGCACCACTCTATTGGTGAGGATCTAGCACGATGACCGACGAGTACAGAGTCCACACCCTCAGCAGGTTGCAGCCACTAACTTCTGGCCAGAATTGACTACACCGTTATCAACCCTGATAAGAGATGGCGAATGCTTCGCTTGCAGTGGCGGTTCGCTCTCTGGGGTAAGTCCGGGCCTCTCAGGAAGCATGCATGTACTTACCTTGTTAGCACTCTGGATATCCAGCGGTGTTATGATGCAGGGCTTTGATATCGTCGCGGGAAGTCAATTGGTATCGTTGCCCGCATTCCGAAAGCAATTTGGTATTCTTGAGCCGTCGGGGAACTACCTCGTCCCAGCGTATTACATATCGGCTTGGAGCTCGATTGCCCCAGCGTGTGAGATTGTAGCGACCTTTATTGTTGTTCCCTCGCTGGAGAAATTCGGCCGCAAGCCGGGAATTCTGGTGGCATCGATGATATCTGTTGCCGGCGTCCTCCTGCAGCAGTTGGCCACAGATTGGCGAGCGCACCTTGCCGGCAGAGGGGTCAATGGTGAGCGAAGCTCTTCACAAGCCTTTCTTAATCTGACATCACCCTAGGAATCGCCATTGGCATCATGTTTACTATATCGCCTCTGTGGATTGGGGAGACATGTCGACCAGAGCTACGGGGTTTCTTCCTGTGCTTCTTCAATACGAGCATTGTGCTTGGTCAGTTTGCGATGTCAGTATTTCCTTTACCTCGGGTATGTATCTACTGTTACTGAATCCCTGAAAAGTGTCGTTGTCTCAAAGGGAGCAAGTAATATTGATGGAAAATGGTAAGATTCGGACTTACCCTGCGTCATGAGCTTCAATTGACTCAGCATGGTAGGCAATGGTGGCTCCCCGTTGTGGCCATGTACATCTTCCCACGTGCGTACAAAACCGGTCATGTCACGACTATTATTAACCTTTTGGGTAGTCATTCTCACCGCAGGATGGTTTTTCTTCCCCGAGTCACCATATTGGCTAGTCAGATACGGAAAATCAACCCAAGCAAAGAGGGAATTAAGGAAAGTCTATGGCTTCAACGATGATGCTTTCTACGACATTGAAATCCGAAGAATGGAAGAAGAAATCCGCCTTGCAGCCGAGATTCAAGAAACGGCAGACGCACCTAAACACAAGTTCTTAGGCGTTGACATGTCAGCAGAAGTCGAGTGCTTCCAAAGCAAAAACCGCAAACGCACCTTCACTGCTATCTTTGCTGCCAGTGGTCAGCAAATGATTGGAGCTACCTTTGTGATCGGCTACGCGACCTATTTCCTTGAATTGATCCACGTAAAAGCATATTTTGACGCATCTGTGGTCCTTTACATCGTCATGCTTCTGTCCAGCATGGCAGCCTTCCCCCTGACGGAGATTTTAGGACGTCGGACCCTCATCGTCTGGCCGCAATTTGCACTGTGCTTTATGCTCCTGGTCATAGGGGTTCTGGGATGTGTCCCAGACCAAACAAAAGCTAGTTGGGGAATCATAGTATTTATCTACTTGTGGGCAATCATTTTTCAGCTCTCCATCGGGGCGACAGGATTTGTTTTAGCATCGGAAATTGCTACCATACGTCTTCGTGGCGCGACCCAGGGACTCGTCACCATTTCCAACGCGGTCTGGGGGCTAATTATGCAATTTACCATCCCTTACATGGTCAGAAGTAACATGGATTCATCCTGGTATATTGGCTAAACAAGTTAACAGATCAATCCCGATGCCGGAAACTTGGGTGGTAAAGTCGGTTTCATCTTTCTGGGGACGGGACTTATTGCTGCAACTGGGGGGTGGTTCTTATACCCGGAAACAAAGGTGCGATTTCCTATGTGATATTCCAAGCGTTTACTAAACTGTTATTAGGGAATCTCGTTCGAGAAACTTGACGAACTATATGCACTACAAGTGGCGCCCAGGCATTTCAAACGCATAGGAAATGAACTAAGCCTGGCTGATGAGCTAGGCCCGGTTGGGGAGAGCCAGAAAGGTGGGAGTGTACATGTTGAATAGGGCTCACAAGGGTTGTTTGTTTCAATACCAGACGTGCAGCATGTCCTTTGTCAACAATGCCATCGTGAATCATAGTACCAATCTCGCAGAGCTAATATGTAAAGGCCCAGAAATCGCTCAATTATTTGCGGCAATTCGCCAGTAACCCTTTGACCCCTTTTGGGAAGATGGAAAGTACCATTAATCGTAGGTCTCTGTCGATGAATCTTAGAATAAGTCATTCAGGTCAGTATCCCGAAGATCATAAGTGGCTTCCTCAGCGGCACTATTGCTTGCGGCGTTGAGGCATACTATATTTCGGGTGTTTTCATGTGCCATCCTCCACGCGAATCTCTATAAGATCCATCGGACAGGGACATACTGTCTAGAATCTTGAAATGCCTCCAGCTCGACATCATTATGTTGAGACCAATGAGGAAAGTGAGAACTGTTGAGAGGGGGGATGATACGACGCTAGTCTCAATCAGGATACTACGTCATTGATGAGGGATCGGTTATATCCGCGACCTAACTCACTTTGCGTCCGTTTCTTCTTCAACGCATATCCTCATTTCAATAAATTGACTACTTTAAACCAGCCATCATGCCACTCGTCGTTCCAGGAATCAACTCCTCATTTGGTGATAAGTCCGAGTGGGTCAACAAGCTGATGGGCAAGACGATTGGCGACACTAGTAATGAGATAGTACGTCAACTCTGAGAAATCGTCGAAGTCAACCTGATATTCTGACAGTTCGATAGTGCTTTGCAAAAAAGGATCTTCCTGCATCTCACCGGGTATTGAAGCCGGGTGACATGAAGACCATGGATCATAATCCGAACAGGTAAGCCTCATTGCAAATGTCATGAACCCAACGACCATGTTGCTGACAGTATACGACTGAACATAGACTCAATATCCATGTTAACGAGGATGGAGCTGTCCATGATGTGACCTACGGTTAGAATTACGATATATATACTAGACCTGGTGGTCCAGGCTCAAACGACAAGAACAAATTGAACCGATTGAATATCTATTGCTCGAAAGTCTATTGCTGTCCTCATGATACCATGTCGTGTGAGCCGACTCACTCAGCCTTCCATCTCAGTAGAGTAAGCGAGTGTCGCGGGAACACATAAGTCCCACTTCCATTCCAGGTCGACTCCTGGATCGCTACTTCTTCCTTGCCGTTCATATTTGTCACGGACAAATCGTCCGCTGTGACGGTGAAGACAGTCACCTCTCCCTTGGCTCCCTCGACACGACTCTCAAAGTCTTGAGAGTCATGAATATTCACCACAGCAACATTGACAAACCCATCATCACCCAGAGTAGCACTAACATCCAACCAGGGCGTATCCTTGGCACTTCGAATCCACTTAGGCGTGGTCTCACCATCGTATGTTCCACAAGAGACATGACTGGCAACGGTCCAACCGCGCATGTAGCGAGAAAACAACCAAAGCGGCCACCAGGTGGTCTGCTTGGTAATTCCCTCCGGGGTGGTCATCAACGGCGAGATGACATTCACGGTTTGCGCGATACACGCCATGCTGACATCCTTGCTCTTTCGGACAAAGACATTCAACCAGGAGGCGACGGCGAGAGCGTCGGAGAGCGTGTAGTTTTCTTCGGCGCCTTGGCTTCCCTCCGCGCGGATTGGATCCCAGACGTTCCACTCGTCGAAGCAGATCGTCGGTCGGAGTTGCTCGGGGGGAACTTTGTTCTCAACTCTGGCAAGATCGATCAAGGCGGACGTGATTTCAATTGCGCGCTCGGCTGCCAGTGGTGCAGTCACATTGTGGAGGTGGGATGATGAGGAGGTGTACAGATGGATGCTGTGCATGTCAATCAAAGGGACTGAGCTGGTTGACAATGCGGAATGAGCGGGGACAAGACACTGGTTTAGTGTGTAGTAATCCCATGAAGCAGTGCCATCTTGGCCGCAGAGGATCAAGACAAGGGTGGGATCCAAGAGTTTGAGCGCTGCAAGAAAAGTCTATTAGCGCGAGCTTCCTGCTGGTAATGCAACGAGGTATTACCTTTGGCCCATTGAATCGCCTTGTGAGCATATGCTTCTTTGGTCATCTGCTCCACCTGCCAGGGACCCCAACACTCATTTCCGAGGGCCCAGTACTTGACCTGCTCGTTTGTTAGGTTGATTGCAGCTCAACAGGTTGCACATCTTATCGAACATACATTGTAGGGCTCCTCACGGCCGTTCTTTCTTCGCAAATTGGCATAGTAAGTATTGCCAGTTCCATTGCAGTACTCAACCCAGCCCAAGGCTAAGACGGTCCAACGTCAGCATGTGCGCCTTCAAAGTAGGCTTGAAGTAAGAACATACCTTCATCCAGGGTACCTGTACCGAAGTTGAAGCAAAGGTACGGCTCTGTGCCCAGAGCCTCACACCATTGCATGAACTCGTCAGTGCCAAATTGGTTCGTCTCGGTTCCGAGCCAAGCAAGCTCGGGTCTTTGGGCAGGTCGGCATCAGCAAAGTTCTTGCTAAAGTAATGTGACATGGGAAGTAATCACCTTGCTGGTCGTTGATCCTTAGGACCAACACCATCGAGCCAGTGATAGGTGGCGCAGAAATTGCCGCCGGGATACCGAACGACAGGGATGTTGAGCCCCTTCAACGCCTCCAGGACGTCTTTGCGGAATCCCTTCTCGTCTGACAGCGGATTTCCGGGGTCATAGATGCCACCATAGATACACCGACCCATATGCCTGTGTAACTAGTTAGTTCATATCATGAAACTGGAAGTAGTCCAAGATGGCTTACTCGGTAAAGCCGGCGTAAATGTTCGGGTTGATCTTGGAGATGCGCCTCGATGGGTGCACGGAGATGAGAGGCGTCTCATGATCATCCAATTTGGTAAAGGTCGCCATTTTCTGTACGAATGGGAGTTTTTCCTTTCTACTGTTTATGTTGGAGGGGTCACTGGCTAAATATGTGATTTTAACTCCGTTCACTTTAGGGAAAAGATGTCCTTGTTAAGGACCGAAGGGGGCGATTCGAGAAAGGCAATGAAAGAAGCGAAATCCATCCTGATCACAAGGAATTTATCGAAATAACCGATGTCTCCAGGCTTGAAGCGGCAAAACTCCTGCGGGGGAAACAGTCGTGAAATTCGGACGATGAACCCCGTATTAGCACTAGTAGCGCTTGTGGTTGCTCCCAGAAAAACGAGACGAAGCCCTTAGTCGGCTTTCTGGATCAGAAATAGATGAATAGACCAATAAATCGGTCGTCTAGCCTCACGATGTTCCCGAGATGGTAGAAACGCCGGAGATCTTCCGTCAATCACAGACGAGATCGAGCGCCACATTTCTTTGCGGACTCCTCCCCGCATATTTGGACTGGTCATCTCGGACCGTTTCTAGCAAAAGTAAAAATGCGGGAATCGATTGGTAAAGCAGGTTCCGCATTTTCCTCCGTTTGCACGCGACGTTAGCGCAGTTCAAGCCTTGACTTCCTGAAGTATACGATTCTCCGAAGTCGTCCATGGATGGTTAATTGCCGCATTTGCGTCTGTTCTTGGGTTCCTTCGTATATGTAGAGATGATTCCCCGGGGAATCAGTGCCATGTGGAGGTAGATCTTCATTCCCCATATTCTTCGATTAAATATCCACTTCTCAAAACCATGCGTCTCTCGCCATCATGGTACCAGGTATGAAGGGACAACCCCATTTAAGAAGACCAAGCTCATGTTTCGACATAGTTCCTGGTCGGCGTTTTTGCCTCCCTTGGATCATTTCTTTATGGATGTATGTCTCCAATCGTCCTTCTTGACACGCGGAATCTAATATAGTCGCAGATGATCTGGGTGTCATCGCCGCGGTGCTTGTCTGTCAATCATTCAAAACCAAGTTTGAGGCAAATGATACCGAAACGTCAGTCGCACATCTTGCATGAAATATGAAAGTATCTGACAACCTTGTAGAGGAGTAATCGTGTCTCTATTCACAGCTGGCGCATGCGTCGGTGCCGGCTTGGCGGGTCCCAGTGGTGACTATTTGGGCAGACGACGGACTATCTCATTGGGATCACTCATCTTCACTCTCGGAGGTGGCCTTCAAACCGGTGCGAGAACAATTGCTTACCTTTACAGCGGACGATTCATCGCCGGGTTAGGGTATGTGATCTCTCTCAGAGACAGCCCTGGAGATATCTAAACAAGCACTAATCGCATTGGGCTTTAGGGTCGGTTTCCTTACGATGATGATTCCTCTCTACCAAGCTGAGATCTGTCACCCTAGCATCCGTGGCCGGGTCACGTCCTTGCAGCAATTCATGCTGGGCATTGGGGCGCTCTGTGCTGCATGGATTGGCTATGGGACCTACACCAACTTAGCACCGGATAACGATGCACAATGGCAAGTGCCTCTCGGTTTGCAGATTGCTCCTGCCGTGCTCTTGGGTCTTTTGATCTCTTTCTTCCCTGAGGTAGGTCTATTCCCGTCGGGTCAAGTCCAATAACTAATATCTATCCAGTCGCCTCGCTGGCTCATCGATCACAACCGCGCCGAAGAGGGACTGCGCACATTGGCCAAGCTGCATGCGCATGGGGACGAAAACGATGCTTGGGTCCAGGCAGAATTCGCTCAAATTCAGGAGACCATCACATTCGAGCATGAGCACGAGGCGAAGTCATATGCCGAGCTGTTCACCAATCGCTCATCGTTCCGTCGTCTGTTCCTTTGTTGTGCATTGCAAGCCTCGGGCCAGATGACGGGTGTATCCGCCATTCAGTGAGTGTTCAATCCATTTGCCCCCGACACGGATGATCGACATAGAATCAATTAGCTGACATGATTTCGTGCAGATACTACTCACCCCAAATTTATAGTCAAATCGGTATCGCCAACGACGACACATTGAAGTATCAGGCAATCAACTCCATCATTGCATTGATCGCACAGTTCCTGTGCATGATGTATATTGATCGCTTCGGTCGCCGCTGGACTCTAATCATCGGCAATCTTGGCAACATGGTGACCTTCATTGTTGCAACCATACTGCTTGCACAGTTCCCTCCATCGACCAACAACAACGGGGCCCATTGGGGTTTCATTATTATGACGTGGCTGTATAACTTCTCCTTCTCCTCAACCTGCGGTCCTCTGTCCTGGATTATCCCAGCCGAAGTGTTCGATACTCGCACACGTGCCAAGGGTGTCTCGATTGCCACCATGATGTCGTTCGCTTTCAACACGATGATCGGCCAGGTGACACCCATTGCAATGACTAATATCGGATATCGCTACTACTATCTGTTCGTCATCTGCAACTTCACCAATGCGCTCTTCTTCTGGCTCTTGCTTCCAGAGACAAAGCGCGTGCCTCTCGAGGAGATGAACCAAATGTTCACAAATGCCCCATGGATTGTGCCTGGAACTCGCAAGGAAGACTATATGACTCATGACCTGGAGCGGAAGGTCGAGGAGCAGGAAGTGAAACAAAACGTGCTGCATGTTGAGTAGAGCACGTCACAGTGGAGTTGCAGGGGATATCGTTGGTGTCGTAGGTGTGAAATGTTTAGTCGATTTGGTATTGAGATACAGTACTCGGTTGTTACCCACATATGTATGGATTAAAAAGGATTGAAATGTTTGTAAATTCATTGGCCAGATGTATATTAGAAAACATACTAAAACAGATGATTTGAAAATGCCAACACATAGGATACTAGGGATAATCTATAGATACTGGTGACAGGCAAAGCTATGCCTTCTTGTTATACCTGTAGAGACATTTGCTTATTCGATTAATTTGATCTACATCATACAGTCCTAAGGTAGTATTTGTACTAACTCCCATGGTTATCTATGGATGTTGGCGCATCATTCAGAATCTGAGCTGTATCCGCCCAAGCCAAGCGAAACCAGCGTTGGTTTTGTGGGGCTTTTTGGCTGTACTTGTCCCTTCTCTGTAGCTGTCACTACCTTGGACTGTGTGGCAGGATTTGGGATTTCAGATGCCGCGGCAGAAGTAGCAGGTGTGGTTGTACTGGACTTCGAAGTCCCTTGATCCAGCTTTTTGGTACTTGAACCGCCAGCTCCGGCCTGATTCTGCGAGTCTGTCCCATTCTGTATGCCCTTCCCAGCGGTGTTCTCGGTGACTGAAGCCTTGCGCTTCTTCCCTGCAATCAATGAGTTCCTATGTTTATCCTTCCGTCTCTTGCGAGCCAGTGCTGTCCATTCTTCTCCTTGCTCAGGTGTCATATTCAACGAGGTTGATTCAAGCAGTGCTTTCTGTGCCTCCTCGCGCCGTCGGTGGAAGGCTTCAAGTTGTTCCGCTGTCTCTCTCTTCACAGCGGCCTCCTTGGCGCGTGTTGACTCGAGAACAGAATCCAGGAACTCGACTTCGTCTTCATCGAGGGAGCGAAATTGGTTTTTGAGACGGGATTTCTCTTCAAATGCTTCCTGTTTGGCCACTGCATAATAACCGAGGAAAATCACCCTAACATGTTAGCCAGATTCTGTGGATGAATTGTCCGCTCGTCCATTCGTGCAGAGCAGGGCCAGCCAACTGAGTTGGGCTCACTTTTATTCCGCTCCAACACCTCAAAGAGACTTTTGCCGTCATCCTGCTTCCCTATCTCGGCCTTTCGTCTCCGCTCCTCCTCTAACTCTTGCTGCGCTCTAAGCCATTCATCGTCCCGCTCGATTGGCTTCTCGTTCGTTCCGGCTGAAACGAAACCTGATGACATAGTGATGGGGCTGGGTAAAACGATGATGGGTGACGGGGATGGAGCATTCGGGTATAATGGTCGGAATGCGAAATTATCCGGCGTCGGTCGGGATGGGATGTGGGGCGTGGAATGAACCGAAAGGCGAATAATAATGTTGAACGAAAGAGATTGGGAAGTTTCTGGAATGGGAAGTTTCAAGGAGACCTCGGTGAATTGGAAGAACTAGGTCGATCTCAATTGGACGATGTGGGCCAATGTGAGTGGAATGGAGCATTTAGCCAAAATGGCGTTTCCCCGGTGTCCGGTGTCCCCTTGATTATACCCTCAGAGAACTCTGGGGCTCCAGTATGTTGTATCACGATGTACGCGTCTCTCGCAATGGCCAGTCGGGTAATTCTTGATCACCTCGTCCACGGTTAACTCCAATATGTTGCAAATACAACAGAAAGTTGAGAGAAAATGTCCAATATTGCCAATTCCCACCCCACTGCCCCTCCTACTCTCCCCCACTCTCCCCCACGACATCATCGATTGCTCTTGGACCTGCCCACTTGAAACCTGGCCATTATATAAAGCCCCTTGTCTCTTGAGGGTCTTCATCCTTTTTATTCATTATTTCATCGCTCAAAATATATCAAAATGTCGAACCAACACACTCAGTATGTCCCTATGCGATAGGATTCCCCTTGACCATCGCATTAACCCTTCTCTCCCTATAGGAAGACCTACACCCTCAACACCGGCGACAAGATCCCCGCCATCGGTCTGGGAACATGGCAGTCCAAGCCCAATGAGGTCCGCGAGGCTGTGAAGAACGCCCTTCTCGCCGGTTACCGCCACATTGACACTGCTCTGGCTTACGGCAACGAGGCCGAGGTCGGTGCAGGTATCAAGGACTCCGGTGTGCCCCGCGACCAGATCTGGCTCACCACCAAGCTGGACAACCCCTGGCACAAGCGCGTCACTGAGGGCATCGATTCCTCTCTCAAGGACCTCCAGACCGATTACGTCGACCTCTACTTGGTTCACTGGCCCAGCTCCACCGACCCCAATGACTTGTCTAAGCACCTGCCCGACTGGGACTTCATCAAGACCTGGTAAGTGACACCTCACGTCCATTCAACGGAGAACTATTGCCGACTCCTCGTGCGCACCACAGGGAAGAAATGCAGAAGCTGCCTGCCACTGGCAAAGTTCGCAACATCGGTGTCTCCAACTTTGGAATCAAGAACCTTGAGATCCTCCTGAACCATCCCAGTTGCAAGATCGTGCCTGCCGTCAACCAGATCGAGCTGCACCCCAACAACCCCTCCCCCAAGCTGGTCGCCTACAACACCTCCAAGGGCATCCACTCTACCGGTTACTCTTGCCTGGGCTCCACCAACTCCCCCCTGTACAAGGACCCCACCCTCCTCCAGATCGCGGAGAAGAAGGGCAAGACTCCTCAGCAGGTCCTCCTGGTTTGGGGTATCCAGAAGGGCTGGAGTGTCATTCCCAAGTCCGTCAGCAAGTCTCGCATTGAGGGCAACTTTGACATCAATGGCTGGGACTTGACTGCCGATGAGGTCAACCAGCTTGACAACCTCAAAGACCGCTTCAAGGTCTGTGGTGACGCATGGCTCCCCATCAAGGTGTTCTTCGGCGATGACGAGTAAATATGTCAAAGATGATGAATGTTTTATGAGTACATAGGCTTTAGATACCAAAAGAATGATTTTGCCATGACTCCGATACCTACTATATTAAGTAACTATGTACGTAGGCTTTAATTGCCATAGGAATTATATTATACCACTACAAAAGTACAACGCTTTCTGAATCCACTCGGATGTCATCATCGTGTCAAACCTAACATATGGAACAAAATGAACAAACATCACTTTTGGTCACGCGGGTGGCGTCACACAGCCACTGCGGAGCCTCGGGTCTGAGGCGGAGAGATAAGCGTGTATACCCCAGCGTCATCAGGCATCCTTCCTCTCTTCTTAGCATCCGTCCCCACCATATCCGGTGAAGTATTCATCTCTGAAATATCACCATGGCGCCTTCAGCAGGGCACCTGCTACTTCCTAAAATATGGAGAGCAGCAAGGTATGTCTCCCCTCTTCTGTCACCATATCAAGTTACAATGGAGCATTGACTGACACCCTCCTAGGTTTGCCTACGCCAAGGCCTCCAAGGCTATACGTTCCAAGTTACCAGAGCCAACAGAGTACCATTTGGTGCAATACCAACCTGCCTATGTCCGAATCAACCCTCGCCAGCCAATTAGCCGTGCCGCGGCCATCCGTCAAGCCCGCAGTCGGCACTTCTCGACCCGTGCGGCCGGCGCCTTCGCCTCTGCGATTCGATCCGGACTAGGATCTGATGCCACTGCCCGTAACACCTCTCGCATTGTGTCTAGTATCAGTCGGCTCAGCGGCCGCGCACCTTTCGCTTCTACTCTTCGTCCTAATCTGACCGGTGGCACCCTTGGCCGGACTGCAGGAGGATACGCGGCTGGAGCTGGCCGTTTTGGTGGAGCTAGATACTTTTCCCATGGGCCCGCAGCACCAGCACAGGTTATTCAGAATGTGTCGCAAGGTGTCCGTGCTTTCTTCCTGTCTGGGCAGAAAGTCCGCTTCGACGGCATCGATCCCCGCACTGGAGAGAAGCGGTACAAGTCAGTCAGCACACTACAGGACGAGGCGGAGCGAAAGATGAATGCCAACCTACACAATGCATCTGGCTCGTACATTGACTTCCAAGTTTCCCCGACCATCACTGCACTCAGTGCTGTTGGTGGTCTCGGCAACCAGGATCGCTCTGCCTCGTGCACTTCTCTGAATTCTGAAGGTCTGATGGATCTGCTTTCTGCCGATTTCGCTCGAGCTTTGAAGGATTTCTCCGCTGTCATGAACGACCTGAAGCGTCTCTCATCACTTGGTGATCTTCCGATCTCCCTTCACGACCGATCGACTATACGAGTGCGCTTCCCAGGCTGTGACGCGGAAACCGTAGAGCAGCTGTGTTGTGAGGCCGGGATTCAGCGAGGCCGAGTCGCGCAGGATGAAGACTTCGATATTCGCATCGGCGCTGATTTGGCTCTCTTGTTCCCTTTCGCCCCGAGCATTGCCACTACCTCCGATACTGACTATTACTTCGAAAAAGCCCCGAAGTCGCAGTCGCAGTATCCAACAGATCTTGACTGGCAAGGGATGATGACGCCAGAAAGCTGCACGCCATCATCGCCAGGTGGCAGTCGGGATTCGGGCAATGCCATCAGTTTCGAGGACCGTGAGCTATTTGGTGCCAATCCATGGAGATCTTCGACCAAGAGCTACTCTAGTATTAACATCAGTGAGCTTGGAGATCAGCCTTTCTTCCCGGAAATCTCGAGCTCTGGCCAAGTCGAGAGTAACTCTGCATACGACGGTGTCGAGGGTATTCACAAGTTCTTGGCCGAGTGTGATCAAGCTAAACGTTGACGAAGACGCTTAGATTGGGCTCATATTTTTCCTGTCTTTCCCTCCCTTCCATTACTCTTCTGATCATTCGCTTTTTCTTTCGTTCCTTTTCTTTTTTTCCCCTTTGGCACATATCCCAGGCTGATTCCGGGACTATGCATATACATGATGATGATACAGATACCACTCCACTCTTTAACACTTATTTCCGTGTTATATTTCCTCAATTGAATGAAGTCATATTGAAAGCTACTCCCCTAATTAAAAGAAATCAATGTCACTGGCGACATCGTCTAGCAGATATCCATGGATCCTTTATGCGCTTGACTTTGCTCAACCATATTGCATCACTCTCAACCCGGTTTTCACCCTTCACAGCCATAACAGGAGGTCATGTTATTTCAGCCTAGACAACTGAATTCAGCCTTTTGGGAAATCGTGGCCTAAAGTGTCCGTTGGTACACCCTTAATTTCCTTTGCATGAAATATACTTGTTTCATATAAAGACAGATCCGGCTGAAGAACACTGCCGCCACGGTGCGGGGTCCGGGGAATGTGAATAATGTGGCTAGTCGAAAGCAAATGGCGTTTTCGTAGCAATTTCCTTCTGAAGTTTTCATCGCGTATACACGTCTCTAGCGTGCCTGGTGCAGTGTTCACTCCGTCGTAACGGCTTCTCGAAATTATTCCTCCATCAATCGGGCGGAATCATTTTTTTTGGTCCACTTCTACTTCCCCTTGTGTTAGCAAAAGATATTCATATACTATGGTAGCAGTTAAGCAAAGACGAATAGCTTAACCTCTCAACGTGGGGCGAGCCTAATATGGTCCTCCCGCGCCGAGTTTAGGGACGATCGACGATGAATGTCCTGTTCCGGGACGGGGGATCAGTTCCGCGCTGATGTCGGGGGTTTGATATTACATTACACCCCCTCCCCTTGACTATATAGGCAATTTATAGTGGGTTCAAGGCTGCAGATTACTTTGTCTTCATCGTTGCTGTGTCCCATCTACCCCGGACGAGACAACATTTAGCCAGGTTTAACCACGTGTAGGGCAGAGCACGCTACCCTCTGCCTCCTCTGCCGTGCATATGTCTCGGCAATGTCATCTCATACTCCACTATCTCGATATGGTGTGACACTGTCTTCGGGTTTCCGGCTTCAATCTCCGCAAGAGTGACAAGGCATGCATCTCGCTGGGGTATATAAAGAGATCTAATTCCTGCAAAAATGCTCTCAGAATCACAGAGAAACCAGCTAAATTCAAATTCATTGTTTCAAGACCGCCATTATGCGATCTCTCATTCCATTTGTGTCTCTGCTGGCTACTTCCGCAGCGGCAGCCGCTATCGCAAGTGCAGCTAGCCCAACTGTCACCGCTGCAGCTGCGGGCAATCCCTTCTCAGGATACCAGCTCTACGTCAACTCGTATTATGCATCCGAAGTCTCAGCCTCGGCCTTGCCATCCATGACGGGAGCTGCTAAAGCCGCTGCCAGCGCAGCCGCGAAAGTCCCGTCCTTTTATTGGCTGTGAGTTCATTGCATTGATATCCTATGCACCTCGAGCAGAACTAAATTCCTTTACAGGGATACTGCAGCGAAGGTGCCAACGATGGGCGAGTTCTTGGCCGATATCAGGGCCAAAAACAAGGCCGGTGCTAGCCCACCGATTGCTGGCCAATTTGTTGTTTACGATCTGCCTGATCGCGACTGCGCGGCATTGGCGAGTAATGGAGAGTACTCCATTGCCGATGGTGGTGTTGCGAAGTACAAGGCGTACATTGACGCCATCCGCAAGATCCTGGTCGAATATTCTGATATCCAGACTATCCTTGTTGTTGGTGAGTAGACTTGCTGATTGATCGCCTTGCCGCGAGAAGCTCGGAATAGTCAGTGCTGACATTTTTTCTAGAACCTGATAGTCTGGCTAATTTGGTTACCAACATGGCTGTGTCCAAGTGTGCAAATGCACATGACGCATACTTGGAGTGCACTAATTACGCTGTCACTCAGTTAAACTTGGACAATGTTGCCATGTATCTTGACGCCGGTAAGCTTAAGCATTCTGTTTGAGTCTTTGAAGACACAAACCCCCGGCGACAAACAAAATAGAGAATCGCCCTGGTAGATTTTATATCTGTTTCTTTCTGGTCATGTGTCATTTCTTGCGGCGCCATCAAGGAAATTCAATCATCATTCGAATACGCTAACTATTGATATAGGACATGCCGGATGGCTTGGCTGGCCCGCCAATCTGGGCCCAGCAGCTAACCTCTACGCCAATGTCTACAACACTGCCAAGAAACCCGCCTCCCTGCGAGGACTTGCCACTAACGTTGCCAACTACAACGGCTGGTCTCTCTCTACCTGCCCATCATACACCTCGGGAGATCCCAACTGCGATGAGAAGAAATACATCAACGCCATTGCTCCCCTTCTCAAGAGTGCAGGCTGGGATGCACACTTCATCACCGACACCGGTATGTAACCAGTAATCCTTTTGAAACAGCAGCATATCAACTTCCCCTTCCTACCAGTCAAAGATCTCACGCTGACCCATTTTGTCCAGGCCGCAATGGAGTCCAACCCACTTCACAAAATGCCTGGGGTGATTGGTGCAATGTCAAGGGAACTGGCTTCGGTGTTCGGCCAACCACTGAGACTGGTGATGCTTTGGCCGATGCCTTCGTCTGGGTGAAGCCCGGTGGTGAAAGTGACGGTACTTCGGATACCAGCGCGGCCCGCTATGATGCCCACTGTGGATATAGCGATGCTCTTCAGCCTGCACCTGAAGCTGGCACGTGGTTCCAGGTAAGAGTTCCCTGATTGAAGGGAAATTTTATATGATACTGACAACTTCACAGGCATACTTTGCCCAGCTTGTGCAGAATGCCAATCCCTCGTTCTAAATCAGTGGGATCAGTAGTGAGACAGGTTCCAGGGGTGGCGGCAGACAGAGCGAAGATTCTGTGCTGAATTCAAGGTTGCAATCATGACAGTTCAATAGCATCAATTTGGAATCTCGGGTTATGGCGCAACCTTAGACATTCTATCCACTTTGCCCCCGTACTTAAAGCTGTATCTCAAACGTGTATATTCTTCGAGTGGGCTATGAGCGCGCATTGGCATATTTGTCTAGTCTTGAGCAGGCCTGTGTCACTACAATATACGCTGCTGTTCGATCGAGCTTGACCGGAAAGGGAACTTTTATCTAGAAGGGGCTTCTGTAGTGGTCCAGCCGATTCCTTCGGATGCTATTGCACTTGAGTATGAATGTATATTTGATGAGGCTAAGAAGGAGTTGATTTGGGTAGGAGTCGATTATGACGATCTCCAATATATATATGCAGAGACTACTCAAAAGCAAATAGCTGTTAATCAAAATGATAATCGGTTGATTCATGGAAAGGACTAGTACAATTGAGCTCTACTTAGCTTTACCCGAAGGTTACTAGTCACCAGCACTGCGAAGAAGTGCGAGCTCGTTGATGTGGCTGGCACTCCACATCCATCAGAGTCAGCCGCCCCGAAATATGGGAGTTTAGCAAGTGTCAAGCAATGCTGCGACGACCAATCAGATCAACTCTGGTGGGAACTATATTCTAAATCCGCCGCTCTCAGGGAATGCCGACGTCGCATCCTATTGAACCATTTGGCTGATACCATTGTGTTCGGAGGCACAACGTATGTGCGTCTTTGCTCTGATGCTGCACATGCACGTGCACGGGTAAATCAATTGCCAAAGGGCGGTCTGATAGACGCCGGCAGTAGACTGACCGCCCTGTAGGCGAAATGAATCGATAAGCGGATTGCGGGATATCTTGCCCACTTCCCACTGCCACAACTTCATAACTTGCAGCAATCCTTGAGAGAGTCTCAGATTATTCTCATTTATAGCATCAGCGGTGAATACAAACCCATCTGCATTCCCCAGCTGTGCAGATTTGGGTGCTTCAGGGCCCGGGCTTGATCACCCCACCTGGTGACCAATACTCTTGACACAGAGAGCCAGAGAGTCCGCATACCGCATGATGGAGGACTTCAACAGTGAAACCGACAGTGACTATACCAGCTATTGGCGAGACTGGGTAAGTCAATTTCTCTTGTCATCATTTGATTTCCCTTGAGATGAGCGCCGTTGTGGCGGGAGACAGGGCCACTGGGGTTGGGTTGGATCGATCGAATGGAGGATATGGAGGGGATGTCGTGCGCGCGCGACTCGAGTGATTATGACCCGGAACTGCCAACGTCTTGAAGCCTGGTTGCCCCGACGATCTGGATACACACGCGACCTTCTCGCAGGTCTGGTTTTGATCCTTCAAATCACTTCCTGCATACCCACCTTCTTGCAAGTCTTCTTATTACTTTTTTTGTTCTCTACCTCATCATGGACGACCTCCGGGTCTCTCGCCGGACTCTCCACACCATCTTGGTCTTCATGTTCGCGGCATCCACCGTGTTGTTTGAAAGAGCGTCTCAGTTCGCGAGCGGTGGCGACATGCTTACTAGCGTCATCCTCATTTTCTGTGCCATTACTTGCATCGGCGGCTTTATCCGTTTGTTCTGCGTTTACGCGCAGTTCGACATTCATCCTTCTGCTCTTGGCCCTTGGGGCCCAGATGATCACGATGGTCCCAATGGCCCTCCCGCTCCCGATTCCAACCCCGGTGGACAAGGATCCCGCCCTCATGGACACTCGTCGGGTGACCCTGGGCGTGGAAGATCCTCCACGACCTCGCGTTCTTCTGATTCCGCTCCTGTATCCAGTTCTGGTCGATACAGACGTCATGCGGTCTTCCTCATGATCGTGCTAATCGCAATTATGTGTCTACAGTTTGTCTCCTCCCGCGGTAACGAATACTTCTGCGAAATCGACGAGGATTACCTGACCGATCGGTTTAATCTCACCGGGTTGAACACCGAGGTTTCCTACTACCAGTACGCGCTTGATCTCGTGACTGACGTTTTCGACCTTGATGCCGACGATGATCTGCGTGAGCAAATCGAAAAATCCGCCCGCCACCTCTATGGCTTGGTTCATGCTCGATACATTGTTACCACCCGTGGTCTTGCTAAAATGGTACGTTGGAACCATAAACTTGTCCCCTAGAAAAAAAGTACTAATCTTTATCTAGCTCGAGAAATACAAGAAGAGTGACTTCGGAAAGTGCCCACGCGTGATGTGCGATGGACATGCGCTGCTCCCTCTGGGCGAGTCTGATCTTCCGAACATCAGCACCGTCAAGCTGTACTGCCCCAAGTGTGAGGACATCTACAACCCCAAGTCTTCACGTCACTCGTCTATAGATGGTGCATACTTCGGTACCTCATTCCACTCTATCCTTTTCCAGGTCTACCCGGCGCTCAATCCCGAGAAGAGCAGTCGTCGTTATGAGCCCCGGATCTACGGTTTCAAGGTTCACGCTGCAGCTGCACTTGCTCGTTACCAGGACAATCAGCGTGAGGATCTCAAGTGGCGTCTTGCCGAGGCGGACGTCAACCACAAGTTCATCGAGGATAGTGAGAGCGATGATGACGCATTCGAATACGACGATGATTATGCGGAGTCAGCCAAACATGACAAGCTCCTCGGTGACGCAGCTTCCGCTCGCATGAACGTCGCCAAGTAATCTTGACACGCATTCCATTACCAGTCTTCCATGGGCAACATTTCGGCGCAACGAGGGATACTTAAGATGCTTTCACGAATGACGGCGTTGTCTGGCTCGCATGGTTGGTCCATTTGCGATGGGATTTTTTTTCTCCAAGTTCGTTTGTACCTAAATTAGCAGTCTAGTCCATTCCTAGGGAAAATCAGGACTCAATTGAAACCACATAACTTTTATCCCATTACTTCCAGGTTTGTATGGATACCAAAAGACAATAAACTCACTACTAAGCATGAACGCGTATATTATTCCGGGTACTCTACTTACAGGCGCCTCCTGGAATGCCCAACAAGTATGTTCTTCTCAGCATCTGAACTACGGGGTCAGGCCCATTTCCTGCAGTTGTTCGAATGCAAACGTCACCGCGCGAGCCAGTTGCTCGCCATTCTCCCATGCCTCATCATGAGCACCGCTGATCGACAGGACGCGGAGCCGTCTAGCACGGTGTGAAACCCCTCGCACGGGTATATGTGCCTCTGTCTTCTCCCAGTTCCTCAAAGCCTCCTTCATGGCCTCCACCTGAGACCCGTCCACCAACTCATCGTCCTTGGAATGCGCTAGAACAGCCAACCTTCCAGACTTCCACCCGCCTTCCACTCCACGAGAGCCAGTCACCTGGGCCGGCGATACACCGTCCCAAAGCATCTCATCCGCCCCGAAAGCCCCCTCAATAAACCCCTGGTAAGCCGAGATGTCAGCATGCGTATCCCGCAGGCGTCGCAGATCGTAGATACCCGCCACACCGACAATGGCAGTAGGTTGCGCCGCCAATGTAGGTGGCAGGGGACCGGGAGAGCCAGATCTAGTGGACGCCTCTTCACGATGACCTGAGACCGCGCCCATTACAGCTTGGAAGGCCAACGTTGCGCCACAACTGTGGCCAACCAGGATATATCGCCCACCGAACCCGTATGTATTCTGCAGGAGCGCGAGCGCTGCCTCCACGTCGTTGATGTGGCCAGGGTGTTTCGCATCTTGGAAGTCCTTCGGGTCGGTATTTATTGGGTCTTGTGGGTGACTTGGGTGTGCGCTAAGCCGGTATGAGATCGAGGCGAAGCCGGCAATGGGTAGGCCTCTCTCGCGAAGTATGGATTCTGTGGCTGCGAAGGATGCCGATGTAACCACTGGATCCCGCCAGGCACCACCGTGGATGAAGCTAGATAAGTACATCAGCCGTTAGTTGTTGCTTTTGGGTAGGATTGTGCTGCGGACTCGTGTACATCACCCAGTAGCCATCTTTGCGTGGAGCTAAGGTTGTGACGGCGACGCTTTGTAGATTATGGACTGAGCCATAGACTACAGTCCGAGTACTTGAGTGATCTGACATGGTGCCTTGCGGAGTTCTACCTTGGTTTATGGGGAAGTGGGACATATCGATAGATTACGGGCTTGGGAGGAGCTGATGCAGAAGCCGTTACATACACTCCACTGGACTGTCTGAAAATATAGGTTGACTTTGGGTTTGGCTCTTCCAGTGTCCCGATGTCCTGTGATTATTTTGTTTGTTCTTCTTCCCGTCTGCTGTATTGTTTCAGACCAAAACATAGCTCGAGGAGTCTCTGGTCGAATAAGAATTCTCCGATCGAGTCTATGGGAATGTAATATGACTGTATTGCCCCTCCATCTACGTAGTATAGTCCTGTAACATATTACATTGCGTATTGGTCACACACTAAACCCGATCGGGAATAAATGGTCCCTTTCACACAAACCCTCCAAGACCACCGTCTCGACCTTAACAACCGCCTAACTGTTGCAATCTTTCACAATGGCCGAGTAAGCGATGATCTTTTTTTGATCCATGGTGACATGATGCTGACAGACTCGCAGAATTCCAGCTCCCCTCGCGGCCGTTCAGGTCGAGGCCTTGGTATGGTCTTCCCGACGAAAATCTCGCCCAGTCCTTGCCAACCAGAAATACTGACGTCGGATATTCCAGGTGGTCATGAAAATCATCAAGCACTGCTCCCAGACCTTCCCTTCTACTGCGACCGGCGGCATCGTTGGTATGGATGTCGATGGCACCCTCGAGATCACCAACACTTTCCCATTCCCCGTCGTCGAAGTCCCCGCTGATTCGCACTTTGAGAACGCGGCTCCCAACCCGGCCGCTGCCGCTCCTCGCGCCAAGGCAAACGCCGCATACTCTGCAGAGATGATTCGCATGTTGCGTGAGGTCAACACTGATGCCAACAGCGTCGGATGGTACACCAGCGCCAACATGGGCAACTTCGTCAACATGAACGTGATCGAGAACCAGTATTACTACCAGAGCCAGTTGAACGAGCGCACAGTCGCCCTCGTTCACGATGTCAGCCGCAGCGCCCAGGGCAGCCTTAGCCTCCGGGCCTTCCGCCTGTCGCAGAAGTTCATGACTGCGTTCAAGGAGAACAAGTTCACTTCCGAGGAGTACGTGCAATGACCTGGATAATTCACAAAAGTATGTGAACCACATGAATACTAACAAGAATTTCAGCCTCCAAAAGTCCAACATGCGCCACCCCGACATCTTCGAGGAACTGCCCGTCAAGCTCCACAACTCCCACCTGATCACCTCTTTCATCCACCAGCTGCAGAGCCCGACTTCCTCAACTTCCACTGAGCTCCCCTCCTCCCTGGCTGCCCTCGAGTCCAGCCCCTTCACAAAAACCTCTACCCTCACCCCCAACCTCGACAACCTGTCCCTCAGCATCGACCCCTTCCTGGAGAAGAACTGCGATCTCCTTCTGGACAGCATCGAGACCCACAATACCGAGGTCAACAACTACCAATACTACCAGCGTGTGCTCGGCCGCGAGCAGCAGAAGATCAACGCCTGGAAGGCGAAGCGCGCACAAGAGAACGCCACCCGTGCCACTCTCAACCAGCCCCTCCTCCCCGAGGACGAGTGGCAGCGTCTGTTCAAGCTTCCCGCCGAGCCCAGCCGTCTGGAGAGCATGCTCAACACTCGCCAGGTGGACCAGTACGCGCGCCAGGTCGACAGCTTCGTCTCGTCCAGCACGGGCAAGATGTTTGCCATCAAGGGCAACCTGCTGCCCAACGAGACTTCGAACTGAACGGTGATGATTGCGAAGGGGAGACACGACGCTTCTGGTATTGCATGACCTTTTTACGGCGTAGGGAGGGAAAATGTTCTCTATTTTGGATGTTAATATGACTTCCTGTTTCTTTTTTCTTCTATGAGCGGAGCTGAGTCTCTGGGCATTAGACTCCTGCGTTGTATCGACTTGTATTCGATCATAGAAGGAAATCTTTATTTTGTTTAGAATATAACAGACACATTGAACAGGTCAAAGTCTCATGTATAGCTTTTTATAATAGGATAATCTACGCTCACAAATGTAAGGTTAGATTGATCTATGAAATGGGATATCTATGGATGCATCTGCATGCATCGTCACTACCATGTGGCTGGCCGATTGAAAGGATCTCGAGCCTCCGGGGGAACTGCACCCTCAAGCGCATCGGAGACCCTATATCCATCGAACTCATCAATGTCTGCCAACAGAGTGGCAACTGCGGGCTGGAACAGAGGCTGAAGAGTACAGCAAATCTGGTGGAAAAGAGTGTCACCGACGACACGCGAAGCCTCAATGCATCCAGGCGTCAGCCGAGAGAGCTCTCGAAGCCCCTGAACCACAAAGAGACGATTACCGGGGTCAGATCGGAGCTTCACGATCTGGGTCACTAGAAGGTCAAGGAAGTAGGCCCGCTCCCTGACGTAAATACTGTCGGCAGCAGGCTTGGTCATGGTGAAGCTGTGATGGGATGATGGGACTAACAGAAGGTCAGTATGGATCTGTGTGATCTGTGGGATCTATTTGAGCTGGGAGGATTCTGTTCGAGACACTGTTCTTGGTGAGAAGATATCCAGGTGGGATCGGAGCTATTTATGCAGTTCGAGTACTCGACTTCGAATACTCGAGAAGCACAGCTCGGAAGATAGGAACAATAGAGGTACGATAGATCCTTTGTTATATCTTGTCTTCTTAGTCCCGGGAATCAATCCGAATACAAAGGCCATTGTAGTCTGCGAAGGACGAGAAGAAGGGACTAGACAAAGCGAAGAGATATTGGCTTTTGCAACTATGAAGGACATTAGGAACCATCCTCTCACAACATGCAATGAAGAGGCTCGCCATATAGATGTGCAAGGCTATCGAATTTGGAACGACGATAAGACGCTGCTTGATTTGATGTCGCTTGAGGAAAATACATATGCAGAAATACACGTAGTTGAACTAGAAAAGGGGTCGCGGCCGGTTGAATGTACCTCTTTTCGTCTTTGACTAGCGAATAGTGGATAAGCATGTACTTTGTACTTTTGCCAATCGTATATCTCGGTTACCAGACTTCCCCTGTGAGCTTTAATGGAAGGTGAAGCAACCGATGGCCAAATTTCGTTGGCGAAGGAAGTTGTCCCGCTCGAATGTTGATCTGCAAAGATTGATGGAGAAGCTTCGGTGCTGCCAATCCTGCATCACGTTCCTTTCGCAAAGTCACAAACTCTTCTTCGCTGATGCCGTCTTTCAGATGTTTATTCAGCTTCTTATGATCCTGGACGCTCACCCAAGGCACGGGTTCACTCCGTCCCTCCGGCGGATAATCATGACCTGTCCAGATCTTGACGTGGTCAGACAGGCTCAGAAGCTTGCGACCTGATCGAAAGAGATCGTTGGCGTCGCCACCGGGGAAGTCACAGCGTGCAGTGCCGATGTCCACATGGAAGAGGGAATCACCGCAGAATAGATTATCTGGAAAAGTCTTGTGAGTAATTGTATGATAAGGTTAGTATTGCTGGTGGATAATTACCTCCAATCATGTAACCAAGATGATCCGGGGTGTGCCCAGGTAAATGAATAGCCTGTCCTTTCAGGTTCCCAATAGTGAAGGTCTCATCGTCGTCAAAAAGCCTATCAAAAATACCCCTATATTCCTCTGGTAGGACACCATATCTTTCAGCAAACAATTTTTGCACTTGCTCGATACGCTTGCCAATGCAGATAGGCGGCTTATGGTCTTGATCGTGGGCAAGATGTTTTTGAAGATAAGATGCTGCAGTCAAATGATCAGCATGAGCATGGGTTTCGAGAATTTTGTCAATCGTATAGCCCTTTTCCTTGATAAGGGCGAGCAAGGAGTCGGCGGCCTGAGTGGTCACAGCCTGAGTGGCGGGATCATAGTTCAAGACTGGGTCGATGATGACAGCGGTTGATGTCGACGGATCGGCGATGAGATACTGCCATGTTCCTGATGCGGGTTCGAAGACATCGTGAATGACAGGTTCAGTAGATATAGTGGATGCAGTGCTGTATCTAGCTCGATGTGAGATTGCATGCTTGGTAGGGATGGAGCATGAACATGGCGAGAATGGTTGGTTCCAGCTGTGAACTGGTGGTCGTTTTTTTGATTGACAAACTGTCCCCTTGATGGAAGCGCCGTTTCTTGAAGAATCTGGGGTATAAGATACAGCTGTCCGTGTCGCTTGTTGGATACGACGCGATTGCCTAGAGTTGCCCAGCGTTGAAGTTCGAATTGGCTGGTTAGACAATCTGAAAAGATCTGACGACCATTGCCAGCCGACTCTCGATGATTGCTGCCGAAAGCTCATCATGATATGCAGAATTTGAACAAACAAAGGGGTGAGAAATGTAGGAGCTGTGGCCATACTTGAAAGGCCACGGTCGGCGACTCGGCGAGCATCTAGGTCGGCGATTGAAAAGACCTCGGGAGTCATTACGGACAACATCCATGGATATGTGCCGCATTTTCTTGCCACCAACTGTCAACTTCCAGGGACGTATGATCTTGTTGCGATATACATTGTTTTAGGTCCTGTTGCTAAGGCTTTAAGCCCGTATGTTTAAGGCCGATCAAGGCCACACATCAACATTGTCACCGCACAACTACGATCAATCCCTAAAGCGAGAGATACTTAAAGTCCAAGTGAAACTTTGAAAAATATGCGAAGTAAACATGAAACATCCAAGTACTTTCAGTTCCTTTCCCTGAGGGAACCCCGAAGGTGGTCGGCGAAGAAAGGCCAAGACTCCCCGATATCGGAACGAGTTAATCCGAAATCACGACATCATAAGTTCAGCTATTTGGCTGCTTCGGGGCTTTTTTTTTGTGATATTTTGCATTATACCCAAACATGTTTCAGCGTCGCACAGTAGTTGCTGCCAAGCGCTCCGTCGCTCAATGGAGGACCCTCGCAACTGCATCTCCCGTGAAAGCTGCACGAAACCACAAGATTGTAGTGGTCGGCGGTGGTACTGCTGGTCTCTCCATCAGCCACCAGCTGCTGCACTCTGGCAAATTTGCGCAAGATGACATTGCTGTGGTCGATCCAGCCGCGTGGCATAACTACCAACCTGGTTGGACACTGGTTGGCGGTGGCCTCAAGGACAAACAGGAGCTGCGCAAGCCATTGAACAGCTTGATCGATCCCAAATTCAAGTTTTATAACGAGGGTGTTGGCGCCTTTACCCCCACGGAAAATGCGCTCACCCTCGAGAATGGCAACAAGATCAACTACCAGCATCTGGTCGTGGTGCCCGGTATTAGCATCAACTATGGCGCTATCAAGGGTCTCTCTGAGGCTCTCGCGGACCGGAACTCAACGGTTTCAACAATCTACAGCTACGACACATGCGACAAGGCTTTCCGCAATATTGAAAACTTCCGCGGAGGCAACGCCATTTTCACTCAGCCAGCTGGTGTGATCAAGTGTGCGGGTGCTCCGCAGAAGATCATGTGGCTTGCGTTGGATCATTGGAAACGAGCTGGCCTTTACAACCCTACCGGCCCCTCTGATGTCAAGATCAGCTTTGCAACCGGTCTCCCAGTGATGTTCGGTGTGCCCAAGTACAGCGCCGTCCTCGAGCAGATGCGGAAGGATCGCGGTGTCGAGGGATTGTTCCAGCACGATCTCCTTGCCATTGAAGGCAAGGCTGCCATCTTTGCCTCTCCCGAGGGAGAGGTCACCAAACAATTCGACCTGTTGCACGTCACCCCCAAGATGGGTGCTCATGCTTTCGTCAAGAACAGCCCTCTGGCCAACGAGGCCGGATACGTCGATGTGGACGACAACACCACCCGTCACAAGAAATTCCCTAATGTCTGGTCTGCTGGTGATGCCTCCAGCTTGCCCACATCCAAGACCGCCGCGGCAGTCACCTCTGAGGCACCGGTTCTTGTTCGCAACCTTTTGCAGAGCATGGAGGGCAAGGAACTGGATGCTTCTTACGATGGATACACCTCGTGCCCGCTCTTGACCCAGTATGGCAAGGTCCTTCTTGCTGAATTCAAGTACGCCGGAGTGCCCAAGGAGACATTCGGCGACTGGTTCGGTATTGACCAGGCTGAGCCCCGTCGTTCGTTCTACCACCTGAAGAAGGACTTCTTCCCTTGGGTGTACTTCAACTATATGATCAAGGGTAACTGGGGTGGACCGAAGGGCTGGCTATAGAGGAATCTGTGGAGGCCGTGTATATTATCCCTGTGTTGCGATATGATGGTAGTACCTCGAGGTTTAATGATTACGGGTTAGCGATAGAAAATAAACATCCTTGAGTAAAGCATCTCGACGGTTTGAAGTGTGTTCAGGTCAATACAAAGCTAACTCAGGTCATAGTATAATAGTCTAGACGTCCAGGGCTGTTCTCACCTTCTGCTGTATACACGTGACTATAGTGTGGGTGACGTCATCTCTCATCATATCGGCGATATCGATAAGCGTCAACTGAATCAGGTGGAATTGTTCAATGGCATTCCCTTGTTTCAATATTTGAGTATTTACAATGGCTCTTCCCCAGAAAACTGAGCTCTTTTGTTCTCCATTTCCTCCATGTACAACACTCCTTCAGATATTTGGGTTGTGAGTCTCTAGTCCAACTGGACGCTATCCTAAATTTGACCCCAAGATACAAGTTTCAGAGTTCAATGGCTAACTACAATTTGTTCCTTAATAGGCAGGCGCATTTGCTGCGGTCGCAGTCGATTTTATCGTCTATCCTTTTGACACGCTGAAGACCCGTGTCCAGTCCCCGGACTATGAGAAGGTCTTCAAAGATGCGCGCACAGGAGCTGTGCAGCGCAATGTACTCTTCCGAGGATTGTACCAAGGCGTCTGGAGTGTGGTTCTCTCGACGATTCCGGCTTGTATGTGTTGACTGTTATAGATGAACGGGGAACGGAGAACACCACAGCTGACGATTCTATCTACACCGATCTAGCTGGTGCATTCTTTACCACATACGAAGCTGTGAAGAGCATTATGTACAATTCCTCATCAGAAGCTCCCACGAGCATGACAAGTGGCAGGAGGACTTTCCCGGATGGTTCCCTGAACAGTCTTCGCTTGCCCTTCACACATTCCCTGCCTACTCCCATTATGCATGGAATTGCCTCTTCAACCGGGGAGATGGTATCATGCCTCATGCTCACACCAGCAGAGGTACTAAAGCAAAATGCGCAAATGATCCAAGGTTCCCAAACGAACACATCTGCCATGCGACAAGTACTTTTGCGATTTCGACGTCATCCTTGGCGCCTATGGAGTGGGTATACGGCACTGGTTGGTCGAAACCTCCCAACCACGGCTTTACAATTCCCGCTCTTTGAGTATGTGCGATTATATCTCATTGACCGAAGGAGACAACGGAAAGCGACTCGCACCAGCACTGGCCGACCGCCATCGGAACAGTCAGATCAACTAGTCGAACGGGCCGGCTTGACGGGTATAGCTGCGGCGATTTCAGGGACGGTCGCGGCGACAATGACGACCCCAATTGACGTAATAAAGACCCGCGTTATGCTTTCGGCAAGTGATGCTGGCGCTTGTTCTCAAGACAAAGCTCCTCTGGCTGGTACTCGTGACAGTGGAGCGGTATCTTCGGAGGCACCAGCAAAGACCAAACCCAGCAAGTCTTTGATTTCTGTCGGTCGCGATATCATACGCTATGAGGGCATTCGTGGCTTGTTCAAGGGCGGAGTGATACGGGCTGGTTGGACTGCAATTGCATTGGGCCTGTATCTCAGTCTGTATGAAGGAGGCCGGTTTTATCTGGAGAATCGACGCAAGGAGCGGGACCGTGTCAGTGGAAAATTTGGAAAGCAAACTGATCAAGATGATGAATGGATCTAGTGAGAAGGGACTGCGCGGTGTTAGTTACAGCCTTTCGTCACGCTGCCGTCCCTGTCAGTGAAAGGTTCATGGATGCTCGACCCACAATTTCCATCATCGACAGCTGGCAGCCCAGGCTTGAGAAGAGGATGTTCTTTGTTTTCTAGGGTTTTTGGTGTGTCACTCTGATTCCATTTTGGAGACAAAGTGACTGACTGGCAATGAACAAAGAAGAAACCCCGCTTTATGGAGGCCATTGTATTTTAGTCTCTCGAAGCCGTCTTTGAATACAGGACAAAGGCGAAAAGAGAACAAAGGGTACCCTTGAATTCACATATAATACCGTGACTGGAGCTTCAACTATATATATGATATTCCCACGCTGCACATAACTGCAGACCAAAATCCTACTAGTCCGTTTCCATTCCTCTATTCAATCCATTCAAGCGATCACAAGATTCAATCATGCCCAACCCATGTAAACTCCAGAATCTGGAGATCCCTTTTGACATCGACGAGAGCTGGGATGCAGACGACGAGGACTCTGGTTCCGACACCACTTTAGATGCCTTTGACTTTGTGCCGATGTCGCTGGCACTGGGATCCGGATATGAAGTCCAACGCTCATTTGACAAATCCTTATTTCATTTCAGTGTCCACCGTGAAGAAACCAAGTTAGTAGGTGGGTCGGGTAAGTCTGATGGCTGGATTAGCATCTCCCATTTTCTCTGGACCATGTGCGCTACACTCGCGGATGCAGGCACTGATATGGAGTGGACAGCGACATTCGAAGAATGGCGACCCCAGTGGAACCAGATCCAGGTGCAGGTGAAGACATTCGGATATACTCAGTTCTCTTCTGAGATCGCGCCTGCACCGGTTGATCTTGCGTCGGTCCGATTCTTCGGATTCGGATCTGATGAGGAACCCAGAGAGTTTGAGATTGAACAGGAAGGCCCAGATAGTGTCTCTGATTGTCAGGATATTTGGACTCTCTGGCGATACATTATTGAGACGCCTGCAAACCACCTTAAAGAGTTTCATGTTTGCCTTAAAGATACTGCGAGACTTATTGGCTCTCTGTAGATTGTAAGATGTGTTGAGCATTTGCATATGTGAGGGATGATTTTTGCTGTTCAGTCAAACTTGTTTCTGATGTTTCTCTTTTCAACCAGACATACCTACATACCTTTACCGTCCTCATCTTCACAGTCTACAGAAAATATAGCTTCACACGTCATACTTCTATTCTACAAATCATACAATATATATTGCCACGTAGCTGTTTAGATACTATTAGATTTGGAGTGGACTATTTAATGCGCAAATAAAACTCTAGTTAATTAGAGACAATGGGCCTGCACAAGCTATATAGGAACAGCAGAGACCATGTCTATAGCATTATCAACTTTCAAACAGTGTTCGAGAACTATTATCAAAGGAAACATGAAATAATCTTGTTAGATAAAGATGGAGTTGTATGGAGTCCCACATAACTCAGTTTAGGTTACAAACTTCAACGGAGGGTGACTATAGAGTTCTTAAACGTTCTATCTTTAAGTAACACTTGATATTTCTTGTCGATATTTACACCAAATGAAGTAAAGCCCTTTTAAAAAAACATGTATAGGCGTATAATTTCTCCATCTATGTAGAGGGTTGAGAAAAATAGAAGTTATGGAATTTGTGTCCTTTGTACCTTTTGTATGAGTATACCATATAAAAGGTACCTGCTTTTACGATTTTACCGTTCAGTGCCAATTATCGTTCACGGGGGCGCACCAACACAGGGAAGGTGTTTAGGGCGCTTGGCGCGTCGTTGTTAGCCTCTTCTTTTGGGGGCTAAAGTTACCGCCCCGCCCGAGGTCCTCTTGTTATTTTGTCCTATCGTATTGCTTTTGCTTCGCTTTAGCTTGCTTATGCATCGTTACTGGTAACTGACTCTAGCATTACGCGAGATAAAATCACATCGAGGGCTTTTGCACCCTGCTCGTATCACGCGGATCTCCAGCGCCCCTGCATCACTCTGTGTCGGCGCTTATTATCGAGTTCTCCTTGAAATGGCGGACAAAGAACAAAAAGTTCAAATCGAATGGCATCCCCTATTCTCACCACCCCGCAAGAGATTTGGCGCATGATATGTGCATCCCTATCGCCTAGCGATCTTTGGGGAATATGTCTTACGCGTAGGGTCTTGCGCTTCCTTGCTGAGCCATTTCTCTATGCCCATATTGAATGGACATGGACAATGTCCGAGAACCCCCCGATCACTCAGTTCTTGCGAAGCATTGTGCACAGGCCCGAGCTGGCCAGTTTTGTCCACACTACGATCCTCAATGGGGACACTTTCGATCCCGACCTGAAGGGCAGTCATCACGAAAGTCCCGAACTTCCAGGCACCGAGGTTGTCTTGGAAGAGCTCGTGGAATGCATTATTCCATATGCTGAAGAATGGATCCAAGAATTCACCGCCGGAACGATGGACGGATTTCTCACACTTTTATTATCACAGCTCCCCGATCTGAGATTTCTCTACGTGGGCAAGAATTTTACCCGAGAGAGCCGGCTCATGGGCATGATCCCTGCTCAAGACTAGACAAATATGCTAGTGCGCGCTTATCATTTACTACGGCTTCCATTTCACCCCGGGAGTAATTCTGAAGATTATGACTCACAAAGGTCCTAGGATGTACATTCAGTCTAGTTAGAAAGGCCGTATGCTCCATATAAGCGTTCAATCTGGGTGGTCATATAGATATACTGTTTCGTCAAAATTGGTATTGTCCCTCTAGCAAAAATTAACCACCCGGGAATGGAACTATGGCATAAAGCGCGCGGTTTCTAGTAAGGTATCTTTTAGATGATAGAAGAGAAAGAAATGCGCCAAATAGTCCATTCCAGATTGAAGTTCAAAAGCTATCTTTAGTAGACCCATATCTCCTACATACTCTCCGCCCAGGGCACAGTGAGAATACGTGACATGGAAGTTTTGGGTTAAAAAGTGTATCCTTAGGATAGGATTATTTACGTCCCATATTCATAGATTCAACCTTAGAAAGCATCAGTCTAGCATATTATAGAAGCCTTATCACCCTCCTGCGGCGAGCATATACGATACATTGGTTTAGTTGGGTGGAGATGAGTCTGCTGATCCGAGAATGCCCCTTGATCAGATGTCTTCTTTCCAGGAATGCCTTTATCTGATGAAAGCCCTACTTCTGAAGAGAAAGTCCCGGTCAATAGCAATGTCCTCAGACACGATATCCTCCCTATAGCATTCCGCAAGCCTTATAACGATGGCAAGACACTCGCTGCGACTAGCGCCGTAAATTGAGACCGGGAGCGATATGCAAAATCCCCTGCCCTGGTGTATGGGCTCGGAGTCCACTGTGAACTCTCCGCTTTGAAGGCGTTCAATTGTAAGATTCATCAACTCGTCGTCAGAACAGTGGCGATCATTGTTCGAAAATCTCACTGTAAACCACAGCGTGCCTCGGAACAAGCCATACTCGTCGACGGTAGGAAGGCCTTCACGGAGAAATACGGTTCGTGTGGAAGACATACTTTTGGTCCCTTAGCAGTAATCCCAGACTTGAAATGGCTAACCAAGAGAGAGTTGAGGTTGTAGTGGCGGACATAGATAGGTGTTCAAGCAGTGAGACGAAAGGTGTGGATGCTTTCTTTGACTTGATTAGCAACAAGGTTCTTTCATCCATTGTCCTTTTAACTTGAGTTGTAATGAGCCAAAGAAATCCGACGCTTTGTTATTGTGTTCATATATCAAAGCCCCAAAGCCAGAATCCCAGTTCAAAGACTTGAAACAAAGGCACTGCAACAAATGAAGAATAATGACTTTGTTCCCACACAATTCAACGACACTGTGAGCCTAACTATAGAAGGCCCCCGATTTCCGGTCCTTTTTAGGGATATTCCATTTGTTGAGCCCATTTATCCAGTCCATCGGAGACATATTACAACTAACCATTTTCACTACAAATACATACGCCTTATCCATTGCCAACATGGCTGACCGCAAGAAATCTACCCGAACAGGAAAGGCTCCCATTATACCAACCAACAACGGTTTTACCACTGAGCGCGCTGTCGGCGGTGAGCGTCGTTCGATCCGCCACTACCATGCTGGTCGAGTATCGTAACGAGAAGGTCCCATGCCTCCCGCTGTCCGAACACTAACCGAGGACAAAGTCATCTCTAGGAAGAGCAGCGCTAGAAGTCTCTCCGACGGCAAGGCTGTTCCGAAGCCCAAAGAAGAGGAGCATAAATCCCCTACTCTTGCTGAAATTGAGAACCTCTCTGGTGCTGTTACTAACCTCTTCCACCCAGGACGCGCTGAGCCCTTTGAGAAGCTTCCCCAGGAGACAGAGAGCCTACAGTCGTGGAGCTCTGATAGCTCCTATGGCATTATTACCCCACCTTTCCCTGTAGCCTCCCCTAGTCCTGAAGACTCACCCGAGCTAATGAGCGCTGACGTTTTCCTCCCTCCAGTGATTTCTAACCCGGATACCCTAGATGAGGATGCTAACACTATTTCGAAACGGTGGGCCGACATGCGTGCGAAGAACCGCATTGGACGTTAAGATATTCATGACTGAATGGATATCTATTGGGGCAGTTCGCACGAGCGACTGACTAGCTCAGAGCTAAGATAGGACTATTCGAGCGGTATAAGACCTGGTAAGAAAGATATTCTTTGTAAAGATGTATTCTCAATGTAGGAAAGTACAACCTAGGCAAGTGTATAGCAGGAGATCCGTACACCCTTATTACCGTCGTAACACAGTAGTACCACCATAATCAGTCAAGCTTACTCTATCGTTAAGTTGAAACATTGAACTTCCACTTTCATTATCCTCCAAAGACCCTGCCCTTCCAAGGTTCCGAGTTTCAATGCCTAAGTGAGTCCTCGAGCACTTTCACAACTCCGACTTTGTCGAGCATCCTGGCACAATCCAAAGCAGTGCGACCATTTGCGTCTTTATGCTTAGGTGTATCCCTTCACGAATCGAAAAAGCTGACAACTTGAACATTTCCAAGCTCCGCCACCTTGTGTAAGATAGTACTAAGCCATGAAGAAGTAAAGCGCTCAAGCAGGATGATGATTCTGATACATTGTAGCATTGAGCGAAGCACCTTCTCTGAGAAGGGGTTGCAAAACTTCAATGATTTCCGATTTTCGTTCGAGCGCGTGAAATAGAAGCTGGCCTTGTTGTGTGCCGCCTTCGCTATCTAGCAAGAGCTTAATATTTGAGATAGGGGCATACTTGACAGGCTTGTTGGTATTACGCTACTTTTTCGTGAAGGATGCTGTCGCTCAAGGACACTTCAACATTCGACGAGTTGATACCAAGAAAAATATAGCCGACGGCTTTATAACGGCACTTACAAAAGATTAGTTCAAGATCTTTGTTCAGCTGCTATGAAAAATGGAGTTTTACTATATGATTCCACTTTGATATTGATGTTTCTCATGGGTAGAGCTGGCATCTGTAAGGGGGATGTCCACGTAGATGCCTTATTAGCCAGGCATCTATGGGACAGATCCTGTTTGCCTGTAGATAGCTAGATAGCTCTCTCCCTCTCTTGTTCTCTCTCTGTCTTCTCCTCTCTCCGTCCACTTGGTTCCATCGCAACCGACTGCATTGTTTCTCCACAGATCTCCTTTGTAGTACGATTCCTAGAACTGGCGAGAAGCAAACCATCGATATCGATTCGCACTCGCCGCACGAATCTTCTTCCCGTAATAGATAAAAATCAAAGTAATCATAAAGATCGCAGTTGAAAGGACAGCCACAATGATGTAGACATTTAGAAGGCCCATACGATGTATCCATGATAGTAGGAAGAATGGTAGGACCATTGACGGGAGGTTGCGAAAGAATGTAATTCCCACCATGGCATCACCCAGGATCTGCCTCAAATTAGATAAGCCTTATAGATTAGAAATCCACTTACCTCGGTATAAGCATCGGTGACATAGGTCAAAGCTATACTGTTTGCTGGTGCAACCCCCAAAGAAGCGGCGCCGAACCCCACAGCAATAATAGGCCATGGTAGGCTGTAGTGGAAACCGCAGCCTGCCATCATCAAGCCAGCAGGGATCCACGGGATAAAGGCAACAAGCAACCATAAGCGCATTTCAGGCTCATAGATCCCATCATTTCTCCTGGAAAGGTAGAGGATCAATCTATCACAGGTAGGTCCAACAATAGCCATTCCTATAGCTGTTCCAATAAAAACGGGCAGAATCATGAGACCAACAGCGGACGGACTGAAGTTATATGGCGGAGAGGGCATAAATTCCGCCATGTTTGTCCCAATGATTGTCATGATAGCAAATGAAATGCCATAGACGATAGCCATGTATAAAATGCCGGGAATGCAAATCATAATGTGAAAAGGCTGATAGGTATGCAAGAGAAGCTTCGATATAGATCCGGGGCTAATTGCCGTTTGGAATAGGCGTTGTCGATAGGTCATGGTCGGAATTGACTCGTCAATATCAACGACGTATAAAGGAGAATTTTCGATGAAGCTGGTCTTTTCCAAGGGTTGTTGAGTCTCCAAGGGTTGTTGAATTTCCAAGGGCTGTTGAGGGCTTTTTTTTTCCAATTCCGTCTTGATCTCACCACGTTCAAAGAGATTCTGTTTTATCCCGACCTCCCCTGTTGCTTCTGGCGGGATTCCTTCCGTCACAGTAGCAAAGAACCTATATGGTACCTTGCTTAGCTAGAGCCCAGTCTGACGGCAAGAAGTTGTAAGACGTACTTAGTCTCTTCATATAGAAATATGAAGACGACCAGGCCAATTCCCAGCAGAATAGCCATGGCCCACCATACCGCTCGCCAGCCAAGCCGATCGGTAATGTAACCGGCGACAACAGGAGCTACCGCACTGCCGATCTGCTGACAAAAAATAAAGATACTGTTCATAGCCCCTCGCTGGTGGATGAAGAAGACGTCGGCAACAGTCATTTGAATAAGAATCTCCGCAAGGGCTCCCAGGAAGCAACTGAGAAAAGTAACAAGGTAGAGATCTGCAGCTGTCTGAAGCCTGGCTTCCCAAATGCAAATACCAACCTGCAGAGCAGTACTGACAATATAAATCTGGCGTCTGCCGAATTTGAGAGCAAAGGGGGTAAGGACGACGGCTCCAAAAGCAACGCCCCCAGAGCCAAGGGCGTAGCTATTGTTAAGGACCTGATAACTAAAGCCGATCTCTTCATGCATTGGTGCCCAGGTTGGTATGGCGACGGTAATGCTGCAATTCAATCCCATATTAGAAACAAATCCACGAAAGGCAAGAAGTCCTTTCAAACGTACAATGCGAATACCACAAGAGCGTAATAACACAGAAGACCAAAATTGAGATATTTTCGCCAAAGGGGCCAATTCTTCCATTGTTAGGAGGAATGAATCGATCTTTTCTTGGTGACGTACCAAAGGATCGTTAGGGTCACGGCTGGGACGTGGTAGTAGAACTGTTCGTACAATCTCATTCTGCCCCTGGATATCTAGCGTCTGTCAGTTCCGCTTGGTGAAGTGGGTTTCAATGTCCAATACCTTCAAGCGCGACAGTACCAGGCGGGAATCTTGAATCGTCGTGAACAGCTTCCAGTGCCATGATGGACGGTGGTAATTTTGTACGCGAGCCAATGAATGGAAGTTCGAATTAAGGATAGAACCGTTGAAAAAGAAGCAAACATGGAGGATAATTCGGCTTTATAATGCTTAGTGGCGCTATGCATAGTCTCGACAAGATGGCTAGTCAAGGAATTGTTGCCGACTTGTGATCATAATATGCAACGGACACAAGTGACTTACTACTCTAGGTAGATAAGCGAACGAAAAGTTAGATACTCAACCCTACCAGTAAGCGAATGGCAAAATTAACGTTTACAAATTATCATTCTGAGATAAGGTTGATAGGATTGCGAGGAAGCACATGATATCGTCGTTTTCGTTCAGCTTTTATGGATATATAATTTATATCAAGGACGATGACAACCTTTGCAGTTAATTACCTAGCGGTAGGGCAAGTTGTGTCTACGTTTAAGGATTCGAAAGAACCTAATTCTACATTAAAGTTCATCTGAAAGTATCTGCAGACTGGCGTATCTAGCTGACCTGGAGATTCCTTCCGTCCGACATCTCGGATGAGCGCTCAGGGGGAGAGACCACAAACGTCCATACATGAAAGTAGTGAGAAATGACGCACGGCGCCCAACGAGGTCTTTGTAAGTTGCCGAAATTCGTATAGGTAGATCCTGATAGGTAATTATATTACTTGTCTTATCCATCCTATGGATTTGGTATGGTCAGGAAGAGTGATCAGTGTTCCGAGGTTCCTAATAGGGGCATTTGTCATTGTTTGTCATTGTCTGCTATCATTCATAATCACCACCCCAATCAGCTGTCTAATCAACGCGAGAGCGCTGGAGGTCATCAGTGATGACAACACAATTCAGACAATTCAGATACTTTCCATTCTGCCAGTTGTAGGTGTCCTTACATGTTGTTCTGAATTTGTACAACATATATCTCGTCTCTCCGCAGCGGAGATCGCCTAGGGCAATAGGTATCCATTGAACCAACTGCTACCCAGTAGACTACAACCTCATTCTCTGAGACTTAGCCTTGTGAATCCCCCCGCGGGTTTTCGCCCTAACTGAATTAAGGACAAGTCCGTCGTGAAGACCTTTTAGGCTTTTGAACTACACCCATCCTATTGGGTATTGCATCCAGGGAAGTTCAAGCTCGCATATTATCCTAATCAGGAAGGTTGCTGTAGCTATCGGGTATGGTAATATTGAGTATTTGTGCTGGAGACCCATTTCAATTCGCGGATGTCTTGTCTAGCTTCCCCGCATTGTCTACCTTCCCCGCATTGTATGCCCGTTAGGACAACGTACGGGGCAATGACAGCTCATCGAGACGAGTGAAAGTTGAATAGTCACGCTGCTCGCTGTCCGGCTCCTAGAGAAATAACGGGGGACTGAGAGCGCATCTCTGAATTTCTAAGCCGTCCAAGGCTTTAGATGAGATATTTTGACACCCATTTGACTTTTGCTCCGTCGTAGCGAGCCTTACAATTCTACGACGTATCCTTGCTCAGCCGGACCCGGCCATGTGAGATAGCCAGCCGCTCAGAGTTGTCTGCTCCTTCCTTCGACGAAGTAGTCAGCGGACCCGGAAGATGTTGACGGGAAATTCACAGCACGAAAATAGCCTTCCGCAATGGAAGGGGCTCTGTCGGGACTATTCGCCCATTCGAAGAATTCACTGGCATGCAGGAATTGTAGGTATATTTTTATACAAGTCGTGGCCTTCGAACGGGCATGGGCTCACAGGCATCAATTCTAACAGACGAAAAAAAGTCCGTTGTACCGGAGAGCGCCTACAGCATAGAATGTTCGACTTGCAGGCGGCTTCGCCAAGTGTGCACCTACGCCTCCGGTTGCAGTCATGTCACCGAAGAGAGGGCCACAATGAGAATAAACGTACGGTCATGAGAAGAAGTGGATTCTCTCAGTTTAATATGGCATAGGATTATACTGATCTTCAGCCGCTCCAGACAATAACGGAAACACCACATGGGACAACCTCTGCTGCGATGAGGTTTCAATAATGCGTTGATCATCTGGAAGGTCTTTGCAAATACCGGGGAAATGCTTGATAATGGTAAGATCGCTCCCTTCGTGATTGGTCCGGCCTAACTTGATAGCAAAAATCGAAATTTAAGGAATTAGCCATTCGTGTTCTCAGATTCCGCGCTCTGATGGATAGAAGTCCTTTCGATCGACCAATTGATCAAACACGATCAAGAATTTATGTGGAGTCTAATGGATTACAGCACTATTTCGGGAAGTTCCCTACTGTGTCCCCGGTGGAAAGACTTTGCGAAACTAGTGTAGACGAAGACTATATAGATTCCTCCGTCTTGTTATGACCTTTTCCTAAGACTGCGCAGGAAAGTACATACAGAGCCTGTCAAAATATCCCAACGAACTAATTTGACCTTCCACCCGCCAGAAGGTCGTCGCTGACGGCGGCTCTGCAATTCAATTGGCACTGGATTTCCGCGGTACCAAGCAATCTCTGCCCTAAGCTATGACTGAATAAAGTAATGACCTGAACGCGTGACTGTCTTATGGGATGAGTTTCGTGTACGCTCCGCACGTCTCAAGTTGCCGACAATAATTAGAAGATCTCCAAGCCACCCATAATTTGCGATTCATGTACTCGAAGTATCAACTACTGTCCACATATGCTTGGGCTGATAAAAGCAGGGTTTCTGGGCATTATCTTTATTTAGCAGAATACTTTCGCTCACTGTGGTAGTCACCATGATGTTTGTGTTTATCATAGAATTCGCCGATAGTGTATTTCCGACTGACAACTATCTAATAGAAACCATGCGATCCTTACAGAATCTTAGCCCTGGCAAACGTGGATCATGTGCCCGCATCACGAGATTCCAACAAAAGGACCCCTACAGAGTGGATATGGCCCGCTCTCGGTCAGCGAGGGCCCTTTGTGTCGGGCCACAAAGGGGAGCCGAGAAATCGAACCCGTGAGGAAGGCCCGGGTAGACATGAAGCTCCACTTCGATGTTGACTTCTGCTATGCGGGCCGCGTAGTCCAGTGCCTCGTCGCGAAAGATATCCAGTGTACCAACCTCAATGTATGTAGGTGGTAAACCCTCAACAATATCTGATCGGGATGGAGCTGCGTACTGGGGTACGCGGTCTGTGCCGTAGAGATCACCTAGGTAAGCAGACCAAGCGATAATGTTGCTTTCAGTCGTCCACGTTAAGAGAGGATTCAAAGCAGAGTTGTGAACAATATTCCGATCGTCCAACATCGGGTAGACGAGGATTTGCTTCGCTATGGGTGGAAGAAGGCCACGGTCGCGGGCCATGAGCGTTATACTAGCCGCTAGGTTTCCACCTGCGCTTTCGCCCATTGTTCCAATACGGCGGCGGTCAATAGCGAACTGCTCAGCGTGCTCGTGGGCCCAGACTAGTCCTGCGTAACAATCTTCTGCGGGTGTTGGGAAAGGATGTTCAGGGGAAAGTCGGTATTCCACGGAGAAGATTTGCACCCCGGTCCTTTGCACCATGTCCACTATATACTTTTGGAACCAGTTGACGCTACCCGTAATCATGCCTCCGCCATGAGCGTGTACGATTGCAGGGCCTGATTTGGGATTATCGGTGATTTTCTTTGAGAACCGGTGTATAGTAATAGTCTGACCGTCGTAAGAAGGAATAGTGTGCACAGTGTGGTCCACATCTGGAGATTCTGGCTGAGACTGAGACTCCAGTAACTTTTCCCATAAAGCTGTTTCCCTAGAGCGGATCGACAGGGCATCATCCGGAGCCAATTTTCCGGTACAGGCAGGTAGAAGAGACACCACAGCTCGGGAGTAGTCGCGATCATAGGAGGGCGGCGTTCTGACTCTGTTTGACATGTCCGCAAGGCTCATGTTGGGATTTGAAAAGGAAAGAATGGGCACAAGTACAACGCCTTTTAAGTTCGGTTCTTTGGCCACCGAAACGCTCCTTAGCTTGAGAGGACGTGAATCACGCTTGACACGTCAAGAGAATTTAAGAGTCGTCTTACGACTTTCGTGCGCAGGCATTGTGTTTGACTATCAGCAGCGCACTTGCGTGTCGGCTATAGGGTCTCGGGTGCTGACTCAATAAGGCAACTGAACTAGTTAATTTCCAAGGTTGGGAACCACCGACTTGCAGCCATTAGCTAAACCAAAAATTGGGGGAAAGAAGAGGATGTGGGGGGAAGAAACGAGTGGAGTGAGAACGGCAAAAGACTAATTCGGTTGCGTCGCTCTTCTAGTCCCCCGCCGTCGCCTCGCAGCCCAAGAAGGCAAGTTTATTTCAACCCCCACAATAAGTTAGCGACCGATGGTGGCGCAGGTTATCTCCTATACGACCATTATCTTTGAGATACGCTACTATTTTCGAGCCGTGCTTTATATGATTTGACGGCTACTGCGTCGCATCGGCCAATCTGCTAGTATGTGGAAACGCTTCAGTCGTCCTCGCTACAGTCTTGCTGCGTTCCGCCCTCGACTTCCCGAATGAGGGTGCAAGCGATGGAAAGGCCGTGCTTGGAAGTAACCGCGCATTCTCATTCTCAGTATAAATAAGATGTTATGTGATCATGGCCACCCAACCCCCTCCAAACTTCAGCTGACTTCTGCACTACACTCCCGATCGCGCTTCTCTTCTCGCCTCTCTATCGATTGAGGCAACGACTTTAACAGAAGCATCCGACGCCTCGGTCTTAAAATAGAACCGGCACCATGTCGAAAGCTACTGGCCTTTGTGATCCGAAATTCTACGGCCTCAAGAAAATTCTTGAGGATAATGTTGCTTCCGGAAAGGAACTCGGGGCGTCGCTCTATGTCAATGTTGGAGGCAAAGCCGTCGTCGACATGTACGCTGGTTTTGTGGATGAGGCCAAAAAAAACCCATGGGCTGAGAACACGAAAACGGCTGTCTTCTCCACCTCCAAGTGTATCACCAACTTAGCCGCTCTAGTTCTGGTCGATCGTGGGCTTCTAGATCTTGATGCTAAGGTATCCAAATACTGGCCCGAATTTGCTGTCAACGGCAAAGAGGATATCGAGGTACGCCATATTCTCAGCCATTCCTCAGGTTTGTCCGGCTGGGATGAACCAGTTACAATGGAGAAAATATACGACCTTGAAGGTTCGGCGAAGCTGCTAGCGGAGCAAACTCCGTGGTGGAAGCCTGGATCAGCTTCTGGATATCACGCCATGACACAAGGTACACTGATCGGCAAACTCGTAAAGGAGGTTACCGGAAAATCGCTGGAAGACTTTATTGAGGACGAGCTTGCACAACCTCTCCTTGCCGATTATTCTCTGGGTGTTAAAGAAAGTGACTGGCCTCGTGTGGCACCAATCGTCCCATTACCGAGTCTGCCGTTCACTTCTAACGCAGACCCTGACAGCGTGCTGGGCAAAACACTTAAATCCCTACCCCTGAAAGCCGAATACTTTAACGAACCGCCAATGAGACGCGCCGCTCTTGGTGGCTCTAACGGTTATGGGAATGCACGTTCTGTTGGCACAATCATGTCTATCATATCGCTCGGTGGGGATGTTGCTGGGAAGAAGTTTCTCTCGCAAAAGACTCTGGATCGCATCTTTCAGGTAGAGGTTGATTCCATTGATCATCTTGAACTACGTCGCTACAAATGGGGTCCAGGCTTCGCTTTGCCAATTGAAGACGACTCCAAAATCCCCATTCCCCAGGGCAACGTCTGTTTCTGGGGTGGTTGGGGGGGCTCCATAGCCATAATGGATGCCGATCGAAAGACGACTATCTGCTATGTCATGAACAAGTTGGGTGATGATACCGGATGCTTAGGTACAGACCGAACATGGGCTTACGTTGAGGAAATCTATCGAGTCATGCAGGAATAGAACTTGTTGTTGGAAGCCTGACCTGTGAGGCCACCAATTGGTGACAGGACTAGATAACTAGCTCTCTCTCTCTCACACCCTCTCTTTTCCTTTCTCTCTTCTTCTCTCTCGCCGTGGGCTTCGCTCGGAATGCAACTCCGTCTTTCTCCATTCCTCCTGGCTAGCCTTTGCATCACTTTTTGAACTGGGAGGTAGTATTTTACCACCAAGGAAAGCTGATTTAGTGTCTACACACTCCGCCGTATGCTTTTACATGGTAAAACGGGCCGATTCGGTATACCCGCGTCATAACACGCTAATACTAAGGTTTCGCGAAGGATGCAATGGCTGCGCAACTGGCTCACTAGAAGACGGATCGTCAGCGGACACAATCCGGGCGCGCCGACCTAAGAGAAGTCGTAAATTCTCGAAGGTAGATGCACCTTTATGATAAGAGCAAAAGTCGTGTCGACTGCCAACCTGTCTTAGATCGGGTGTTAACTTGTGTCTTGCTTTTTTTTCCATTATGGCTGAAATAAAACTTAAAGCGACATTGGAAACTGCTCGGCATTTTGTTGTTGTTTAGACTCAAATGAAAAAGATACTTGCTTATCTCCTTTTAATACGGTACATGTCTTTGAGATACGTCTTGCCTTAGTATAAGTCTAAAGATTCCTCTCATTCCTGTTTAGTCTGTGGCCGGAGACAGCGTGGGCGGCTATCTCAGCGTCGTCGCCGGTCTGAACCATGTCGCCGGTATCCGAGCTGTAACGGCAGTCTACCCCTTGGTCGATGGCAGAAGCCCTGGTTACACTGATGCATATGACAAGCCAATATTTGGCTTCCCTTAATTTCCAATTAAGCTGGTTGAAGAACACAAAGCCAAGCTGAAGAATAAGGAAGTCCCCGCTGTCCTCTCGGCGGACTGTCAGTGCACACGCGCCCAGCTGATATTCAGCTTCTTAAGAACAGCAAGTTTAGGAGCTCCTCCCCTTGAGCTGAAGGGATCTCCTTCCCCTAGATAAAATAGAAGACGGGACAAGGCTTCCTCTAGGCAGCGTGTGAGGCATGGCAAGGGGGACAGCGTTATGCCCATTGAAGGTAGCATTAGACTCGCTGACAACTTAAAGAGGTTGATCCACAACTCGCCTTTACGCTTGCCATACCAGATGGCGAACATGGCTTCGATGCGACCTCTTCAATTGATGAGCCATGGTTTGAGAGGCCTGCAGCCTTTGATCTCTGCTTGGTTGGCGTGAGATTTTATGTCAGATAGTCTAGAGTCAACGTCATCAATCTATTTTATAACCACTTACCGAGATACCAGAGAATTGTCGACTAAATTAAAGAGACCGGTTGAGTAGGCTGTGCAATATATGGTCTAAACTGAAACTACTCAAATGAGGGCGGGCCGAATGGACAACTAATTTTTGGGATAATCTGCAAGCTCCGTCAGAGCATACATCAAAATACAAAATCGGGAGGAGCGTACCTGTAACAGTGCGTTCCGAGTTGAACCTTATAACCTCAACCTCGTCGCCAACCTTGATGACTACTCGATCGGCGAGCTCGGTGGCTTGTGTAAGAAAGCCATATCTTCCAAAAACCGGATTCCATTTCATCCCCGGATCGACCCTCCTGTCCTTGCTAAGCTTCTTCAAAACTTTTCCTGATTCCGCCTGGCCTGGCTTTCCCGTGGCGTAGTCTACGTTGAGGCTACTACACCGCGCACAGTTCTGGGTCAGCTTCATGGTGACGGACCTGCGGATCCGCAGTTCGGCCCATAAATCTTCTTCGTAGGCCTCCTTGACTCCCGACACGGCGATATTAGCTCAGATTTTGGTGATGTCCATCTCTTCATCCCATCTCTTCATCTTCGGGAAGCCTGTCCTTGACGTCTTGATAGCTCCTCTTGCTGATGACGAGATAAGCGGCCAGGTCCGAAAACGTGATCATGGGCTGGGTCTTGGATAGGCAGCGTCTTAGGTGTCGGACAAGAATCAAGGAACTGGCGAGAAACAAGAGCGCAGTCAAAGCTAGCCGTGTACCATCTCCTCAAAGGGACGAGTATCCTAGCAGGGGTATGACCGGAATGGCCGCCAACGACAGGTGGACCAAGGGGTCGAACCGGAGCCTACTCCTTGTCCCATGTTGCCCAACACCGTTCTGCGGTAGTCGCCAATGTAGAGCAGTCTGACCGGGTACCCAAGCCGACAACTAAACCACTCACTGGAGGTCTCCCCCATCGTACGCTGGACATGGACTCAGATGCATGGTGACCGTGACCTGAGTCAGCCCGTTCGTATTGGGCACCAGTGGCACGGATAAGGTCGAAACTTCAACAGCGTCGAGTGGTTGATCAAAGGCGTGGCTCATCCCATACTGAACATCAATGCTGGTCGGGTCAGCCTCGGGGATCAGGATGGTACTGAATAGGCATAGGGCAGGCCGAAGACCAATATGAAGCTTCTCGGACTTGTTGACATTCCAGAGCATGAAATGACGGTCGTAAGCAAACCCAGTCTAGGTGGCATGTATGGAGGGAAGGGCTACACCCCTGAGAGACTTGATGGGACATGTATAGAGCTAATCTATCAGTGTCCTAGTATGCAAAAGTGCAGATGGAGTCAAGGGACGCGCGTATACCTGTTCGACATGCATGGGCATGGTGGCAATCAAGCTTCTCTCGTGATACCGCTATCTTTTTCCTGGCGGTCGACGCTTATCGCTCAACGAAGAACTAGGAGAGTTGGGAATGCTAATGTGAGGGAGGGAGACACGGAGGCAGGTTTGCCCAGATAACATTAAGACAATAGTGCCGCCAAAATGATGATGGCTGATAACCTTAGTAACCTAGTCTGGCGGTCTTGCCTTTTTCAGAAGATTGCCGGGTTGGCAAAACCGATACCTTCCCGCGAGGTGCAAACCCACCCTCCCCCACCACAAGAAAAGCCTATCCCTCTCATCCTTGGCTTCAAGCTGGCCCGCGCCGAGACTGTTTCCCGTGGGTCAGCGTGGCTTTAACTCATGTGCGGGGATTTCAGACTCTGATAACGACGAAGTAATAGACTTATCTCCGCGCGTCAGAGCATGAGCCTCGCACTCATGCCGAAAACGGAAAGAGGCTAATATTCAATACTAGCAGCAGATCTAGATTATTGGTTCCCTATCCCAGATGCCAAAGTCGACAATGGGCTGAAGGGTAAGACAGCCTCTCACAACAACAGAAGTGAATAATCCACGTCGTTATCACTGGTAGTAGAGGGGCCCACGGTCGTCGGTTTTCAATCTCAGACCGGGCCATCTTTCGGTTCTCTTTACGAATCTATATTCCTTACTGCCATACTGACCTGACTTCGCCCATCCTGCCACTGGATTATCGCTACTATGGACCCTAAGGACCTGGAAGGTGGCGACAAGCCGTCGACAAACGACTGCACGCAGACTCACGACATCACAAAGACCGAGTCCTTGATCATGGGTGAACAAAAGGACCTCTCGGCAGATGCTGCCAAACTCATAGGTGCGAGCCCCAGCACAAGCTTTAGGAGTCCTACATCCACTGACCTCTGCCAGCCATGGGATATAAACCTCAAATGAAGAGAGAGCTGAGCACTCTCCAGCTCGTCGGTGTTGCCTTCATGGTCACAGCATCCTGGCTCGGCGTGACCGGCGGCTTCTCGGCCGGCGTCGTCATCGGCGGCTCCGCTTCACTCGTCTACGGGATTATCATTGTCGCGGTCTTCAATATCTTCTTTGTCACTACCCTCTCCGAGCTGGTCAGCGCCATGCCCAACGCTGGTGGGCAGTACTACTGGGTCACTAAGCTGGCCCCTAAGAAGCTGGCCCGTGTATCAGCCTACTTCACTGGAATCTGCAACCTCTCTGGGGGTATCGTAGCTTCCGCTGGTGCTACCGTGCTGATGGGCCATATGGTCTTGGCCTGCGCCAAACTCGCCTATCCTGATTAGTGAGTCGCTCTCATAGCCGACTCCCCAGTGCCGTGGTCAGCATAACTAACGGCGATCGGAATGAGCAGCGTTATCCAGCAATGGCATTCTTATTTGATTGGCGTTGCCTTCAATATTTCGACCTTTGTCATCAATATCAACAAGGACCACGTGGCCAGAGGCTTTTTGATTGGCATGTTCGTCAACGTCGTTCTCTGCGCCGCTATCATCATTGTCATACCTGCTGTCAGCCCTTCGCACAGGGAGCCGTCCTTCATCTTCGCTAGTGTGGAAAACATCAGCGGCTGGAAGTCCAAGGGTATGGCCTTCCTCGTCGGTTTGATCAACGCGAACTACAGCTTTGGCCTGATCGATACTGCCGTCCACATGGCTGAGGAGATCACCGAGCCCGAGAAGAACGTCCCCAAGGCCCTGTACCTCACAGTCGGTATCGGCTTCGTCACGGCTTGGCCCCTTGCAGTCCTCCTCATGTACTGCATGACCGACTTTGACGCAATCGTCAACACCGAAACCGGTGTGCCGCTGCTCGAGCTCTTCTATCTTGCCCTGCGAAAAAGCAAGGTAGGCGCAATAATCATGATGTCCTGCCTAATCGTGGCCTGGACCTTTGCGCTTGTGGCCCTCCACGCATACCAGTCGAGAATCTGCTGGTCCTTTTCTCGAGACAATGGACTCCCATTCTCAAGACTCTGGTCAAGGGTTCATCCCACCCTCAACATCCCACTTAACGCCCTCGTTCTGTGTGCTAGCCTGAGCGCCATTGTGTCGGTGCTGTGCATCGCCTCCACGACGGCCTTCAACAGGTAAGTAATTCTCACGGCCCAGGATGATATCAATCTAACATTTGTTGCAGTCTGGCTGCCGGCGTCATCATCTTCCCATCCATTACCTACACGCTGCCTGCTGCATATTCGTTGCTTCCTCGAAACAAGGATGTCAGGGGCTCTTTCAACACCGGGGTTTTTGGAACCATCTCGAGAGTCTTGACCATATGTTTCTGCGTGTTTGCCATTGTCATCTACTCGTTCCCTTACATCATGCCTGCCACTGGATCCAGTGAGTGTCGCATTGCACCGCGGCGCGTTGTTGACTCTGCACTAACCAAAATATGCAGACATGAACTACGTCTCTGCCATCATTGCGATCATTGTCTTTGGCACTGTTATCGACTGGATCTTTCGCGCTCGCAGGCACTTCAGGATCAGAGAATCTGCATAGCTTTTTCTCGCCCCCGCCATGCTGATGGACGAGAGTGTCTTACGTTCGGTAGCGTAGGCCATAAGGTGGTAGTAGGTGTGAGTGTTATAAATCCGTTCCGAGAGATATACTATTACGAGAGTTTTTGAGTCAACAGGCGGTGGGTGCCGACAGCCATCACCCGTTAATGCTTGTGTTTGTATAAGGAAGGATACCAGGAAGAGTCACAAGAGGAAGAATCAGAAATAATAGAGATAAATGCGTGATCTCTCATTCCTTGAAGCAATCTGTCAATATTTCAGATCCAGATGATGGCGCCCCGTAAGGAGAAATAGTATTGGATAGTACATAGGCACGGACTAGGAGGATTTTGGAAAGAAACTGCGGCTACTAGAGAGATTTAAAATTGGTAAGCTACAGTATTATCTGTTGAAGAAAGGAATTGCGTTCATTTAATAAATTATTAGCACAAGTTTCTGTACCACAGGAAAGTAATTAATTCAACAGTATTCAAAGACTCTCAGTACAAAATATTACCTTGAATTTTGCATAAGATATGTATACTGATTGATGTTTACTGTGTTTAAATCCGCTGGATATCGGCGCATATGCATCCAATCTGCGCTGCTTGGATATCACATTCGCGCCTATATCCGCAATGTGCGGAGCGGATAGTTGGGTTTTGTCGAGGCTGCCGTAGCCTAAAAGATACAAAGCAAATAGTGAATCGTCCATAATGAGTTTGATTCAGGCAAGCGATGGAAGCCATTCATCGACGTTGACGCCTCCAAGTGCTGTTAACCCAACATTTATGCCTAAACCTTCCAAACGTACCGCGAATCACCCGTACGGCTCTTTTATGAGGAGCTATTAATCTCGGGCTGAAAGGCCAGCTGGGATGAGCCTTACTTGGAATATCACTAGTCTGATAGTCTCTGTATGAACTAGTGTCTTCTCGTCACTAGGTCGAGAGACAATCGAAGAGAGTAAGTAGTGCCACGATTTACGGAACTACTATAAACGGATCTTTGGTACGGAGTCTATAGTGAGCATCGCTGTATGCTCCTCCCCAAGGAGATAGTCACCTCCGATGCAAGGAACCCGTGGGTTACCCAGAAGAAGAGGAAGAGGGTGATATATCATGCTTCTTGCTGATTATCCCGTTGGTTATTCTTCGATGCGCACTGCACAGTTAAGCCCTCTTATGAATGAGAATACTTGTAACTATGTTGTACATCCTTGCATGTGAACGTAACAAGAAGGCCGGAGTCATGTTCCGTGTTTATCCTCCCTGAGCCCGCCCCACATTTGCCAAGAAGTCTCGGCTATCTTGCAGGAAGTCTGAATCTGAATCTCTCACGCACCGCGCCCCAGCTACCCCGCCCCAAGACAGCCCAGTTGGAGGGTGGAGTGTCGTTTTACCTTTAAACCAATAGCATCTTTGTAATTCAGCCACCTCGCGTGCTGCCCCTTTTAGGCAACCCTGCTCTGCTCTGAAGGCCAGATTTATAATCTCTGTACAGCACGTGCAGGAACAAGTTGAGCTCACATTCGCAACTTTTCCCAAAAAGGCAGGGCTTAGAAATGATGATGGTCAGGGACCGACCCATTTTCGTTTCGGATCGCACCTCAGACAAGCAAGGAAGGCTTCCTCTTCACAAGATGAGTATTAACAAGATTAAAGTGATAACTACATGCTCGCCCCCCCGTTATCCGGGACTCTTCCTGTCGAGACCCGATTGAGCCATCAACACTGAAAGGCACATCCACAGACTGACAGTCGTCCGCATCCTTCTCGCCTCGTTCCTTACTGCTGCCTATCCTGACTGTAAGCCATGGCAGAGCAACGATATGGGCAGGATAGACCTGTCTCGGATCCCTCAGCGCTGGGGCAGCCTCTGGAGCTGGCCTTTTCCAAGCGAACGGCCAAAAACAGATTCCTGAAGGCCGCTATGACTGAGAGGCTGAGCTCCTGGGACCCCAATGATCTGAGCAAGCGTGGCATTCCGACTCCGGAGATCATCAACGCCTACAAGTGGTTCGGTGAAGGTGGCATTGGAACTATCCTGACGGGCAATCTCATAGTTGACGCTGTTAACATCGAGAGCGCCGGCAATCTCATCATCCCGCCAGACGCCCCATTCGAAGGACCCCGGTTTGAGGCCTACCAACGCCTTGCTTGGGCCGGCAATCACGACGGAAGTTTGATCCTCGGTCAGCTTTCGCATGGTGGCCGGCAAGTTCAGAGCCGCTTCCAGTGTGACCCGGTCTCGGCGTCAGCAGTCCATCTCGACAAGGAAGTGTGGGGCATGAAGTTTGCCAAACCGCACGCTGCTACTCATGACGAAATCAAGGACATTGTGCAGTCATTTGCTCACGCCGCTGAGTATCTTTACCGCGCTGGGTTCGATGGCGTACAGTTGCATGGGGCTCACGGCTATCTGCTGTCCCAGTTCCTCTCTCGCAGGACCAACCAGCGCACCGACGCGTACGGTGGTTCCATTGCCAACCGTTCGCGCATCATCGTGGAAATCGTCTCTGCAATTAGAGAACGAATTCCTCTCCACAGTGGCTTCGTTCTCGGCATCAAGCTCAACTCCGTAGAGTTTGATGAGAAAGGCTTTACGCCAGAAGAATGTGGCGAACTGTGCGTACTCCTCGAGAAGCAATGCCAATTCGACTTTGTCGAGCTCTCCGGCGGCACCTACGAGGACATGGCATTCGAACACAAGCGTGAATCGACTAAACATCGCGAGGCCTTTTTTCTCGAGTTTGCCGAAGCCATTGTGCCAAGACTCGAAAAGACGAAGGTTTTTGTCACTGGAGGTCTCTTGACTGTCAACGCCATGGTGAAGGCACTGGATGTGGTCGACGGGGTCGGATTGGCCCGGGCCCTCTGCGCGGAGCCCAATCTGGCCAGAGACATATTGGAGGGCAGAATCAAGACGGGAGCTGTCATCCAGATAATTGACAGACAGGACTACGGACTGACTGAAACGGTGGCGGGAACCCAGATCCGGCAGATGGGAAGGAACCAAGCCCCTATGGATCTGACAAAGGAAGACGTGGTGGAAGCTTTCCGGAAGAGCACTAGCAAGTGGGAGAGCGCATTAGAAGAGGACGGAGACAAGGCAGAGGTCTATGGCTACGTTGACCTGGAGGGTGTTGAGTTGGCTCCGATGAGCAACAGTGACAAGACCTGTAAACTCTAGGGTAGAAGTAGGATAGATCAGGTAACACCACTGTTATTCTCTCCCCGCCTTCTCCAGATTTTGTTATCAAGGACGTTGCCGAAATTAGTTTACTTGGTCACGGGTCATCCTATAGATTATTGAAAGATTTCCAGAGCGAGGGACCAACAGCCAGACTTGTTTATCCCCTCCCAATTCCATCATCTGCGCAGCAATCGTTGCCTTCTCGCTTATCAAGCTGTCTTCTCCTGATATCCGAAAAGGACTCCTTATCTCAAAGTGCTACGTTAGCATGTGGATCCCAACCATCTCTAGGCCTGTTGAAGTTTTCTAGTGGCTTTCCACTCCGAGCAGCGGCCCCAGTCGACCAGCTGCAGAAATCGAGCCCCTCGTCTTTATATTCATCCCAGTCCCGGCTGAGGGGCAGATGCAGATCTGGCTGCAAAGAATGCAAGCTGCGCCGCGTCAAATACGATGAGACATACCCGGTCTGCCTCTCCGCTGCCAAGGCCGCGGCTCAATCTGCCGGTCCTCGACGCCGTCAACACAGTGGCAGGTCGATACGCCCTGGATGATGATAGGGAGGCTGCTGCATTACTGGCTTGAGAAGGGCAGCCGGATAATGACCCTGTGCCCCGGCAACAACCCGCTGTCGTTCCCACTGCTCACACACCTTACGTCCAACCCGTCGCTTCTGCTTAACGTGCAGCGCCTGAGTGCGGGACAGGAGCACTTCTTTCAGGCGTCCAGCTTGACAACATGTCTCCAAGAAGGAGGTCTCACCATACAGGCATTGCGACACGAGATCACAGACCCTGGCCCAGTCAAACCTCCGTCCGTTCTCGCTATTTTCCCTCAGAGCGTCTCGTGGACGTGGACGGAAGATCATCCAGACAATTACAGCAAGGAGCACCTCCTAGCCGGCCGTACCTTACTAGAAAGGATGCTCGATGACCCGGAGAAAAGACACGACCGTTGGTACAATTTATGCTCGGCTGGTACCTGTACTGGGACATGTCATGTGCCTTCAGTCGAACCCCACTAACCCGCTCCTTTGAACACGGCCCAGATTTTGACACCATCCAAACCAGTCGCGGCTCTTCCCATCCAACCGTTGGCTTCTCTGCAGGACTGTTCTATTTGATCGCTTGCCTTGGTCGGCGCTGTTGGCTGGTCATGGAAACCGGAGTCAAGGACCCTATTCTTGATGCTACTTTTGAGGGGCAGCTGTTGACCTGGGAGCCCGAACACGACGACCAGAACCTCGTCCATATGAGCATCGGGTACCGCAAGCACGGACTTATCATGTTGTACACCATCTGCGGAATCCCAATTCCGGTCAGTGACCCCAGCTCCCCAGCGAAGGACAGTGTGACAGGTGCCGAAGGCTCTGGGCCTCGAATACGTGGTTTGACCATGGGCTCTCTGGGGCGTCTGTTCAGGACTTCTGTGGATGCGCCGTACCTCAGTTTCCACTCGACCCCCTTGCTAACTGCTGCCGTTGAGCCGACAGCAGAGGATGCCCAGCTGCGTATTAACGTGGTCGGCCGATTCAAAGCAATCTACTGCACCAACAGAGTAGCCGTCAATATGTGGGCGATCGAGTTACTGCAGAAACTGTGGGATCTACCTGATTGCGGAGTCCACGTAACATGGCTGGAGCTATTGATATCGAAGGAATGGACCTTCACTTTTGCTTAGGTGCTTGTTATTTACAGCTGACAAAGGGGTGTCATCGAGACGCGCCTTAGTCAAGCTCTTAGACACCCTCTACGTAGACTGTAAACTCCCCATGGGTACTGGTAGCCGACTTATTTCCAAGTATCATTCCTGACTTGCTGATTCAACCATGATCCGTGTAGCTATATACACTCTGCTTATGTACAGTCATACAATCCAGCGCCAGGAGTCTCTGTTTTGCGACATCATCGTAGACGCAAGCTCGAACTCAGATCCTCGGCCTTGGTTGAGCTGAAACATAGTCCTTGATGATCATCTCGGCGCCCTTCTCGGCAACGGCGTAGACTGTCAGCATCGGGTTGATGGACGGAATGAGTGGGAAGACACTGGCATCAACGACGCGCAGCCTCTGGACGCCGCGGACACGAAGCTGAGGATCTACGACGGCCATGCTGTCATTGTGAGTGTCGCCCATCTTGGCCGTTCCGCATGGATGAAAGACGGTGCCGTGGGTTTTGCGAGCGTAGTCGATGAGCTGCTCCTCGGTCTGGACAGCCGGGCCGGGCGCGACTTCTCGCTTGATGAGATCCTTAAAGGGAGCCGTCGCCGCGAGCTTGCGGCCAGCTCGGAGCTCGAAGAGGATTGTCTTCAAGTCGTAGTCCTCCGCATCAGTAAAATATCTGAAGTCAACCGCCGGCCGAACCTTGGGGTCGGACGACAGCAATGTGATACGGCCGCGGGAACGGGGCCTGGGGAGATTCGGAATCAGACAGTAGGCGTTCTCAGGGGCATGGTACCCATGGCGAGCCATATTATCGTCAAAACCAATCGCGAAGACGTGGAACATGGCATCCTGGATGTCGCCGTCGTCTCCCTGTGAATTCTCTGCCTCACGACGTAGGAAGAAGCATACATCCGAGTATATGACCGACTCGGGCGGAACAGGTGCCTTCATTTCCCACATCATGATGGTCTCGGCGTGGTCCATCAGGTTCTCTCCCACTCCCGGAACATCCGCGACCACGGGAATATTGAAGCTCTTGAGCTGATCGCTTGATCCAATGCCGGAGAGGAGCAACAGCCGCGGCGAATCGAAGGCACCCGCGCAGAGGATGGTCTCGACAGCCGACTTGACGGCAATCTTGCGGCCCGACTTAAGCGTCAGGCTGACTCCGGCAGCGATGTTGTCAACAAAGTTAATGCGATGGACCCAGGCGCTGGTGAGGATAGTCAGGTTTGGCCTCCTTTCCTCCCCGCGCAGAATGGGATGGATATAGGCGATGCTGGCACTGCTGCGGTAGCCATTTTGGGGGTCATGGGCTATAGCCAAATGGCCTGCGGACGGCACGATCTTGCCCGTGTGCACAACGTCCCTGTTGAAGGATTCGGTACTGGGGATACCGAAGGCCTTCTGAGCTGCTTGCAAGAGGGCCAGGTCGACCGAGTTATGGTACTTGGGCAGGATGTTGTTGACCGTGATCCGCAACTTGTCTACGAGCCTCATGATCTCGTCAAAAGTCCATCCGTGAGCGCCAGCTTCCTGCCACTTTCTCATATCATACTCGAGAGGCCGGAACGAGATGCAACCATTAATATTCGTGCATCCCCCGAGGATCCTGCCCCGGGAGTGTTGTATGAGGCTGTTTCCTGCAAGCGGCGGGTTAGCCTACCGAAGGGTGTTTCTGGATGCACGCTGTTTCTTGTTACCTTTTGGCTGAGGCACTGAGTTATATTGGTAATCATGGTCGCCTCCCCAACTGTTTACCTGGAGCTTGAGGTCGTGGAGGTAATCTTTGCCGAGGTCGCTGTCGCCACCCTCGATGAGCAGGATGCTGGCAGTGGGGAGTTCTGAAGCTAGACGGCTCGCAATGACGCAGCCCGCCGTGCCGCCTCCGACAATAACATAGTCGTAGGAGGCCTGGTTTGGCCCCAGATTCTCGACGGTGGCCATGGTGACTTCGCAAGAACACAATAATCAGACAAGGGACGAGGGGGTCCGACAGAATGCGCAATTGTCGGTCTACCTGGAACTAAAGGAATGCTCAGCCGCCGCCGAACGTGGCAGCTCTGCCCTTGCTTTTATTTTCGCAGTGGAACTTGCCTCGGTGAGGTCCGCCATAAACTCTAGTGCCACTCTATGCGGCACAACAGCACTCTCTGTACAACATAGTCCCCGAGGTGCTGCTGTCTCTGCTCCCCCGCTCGCGTTCGAGACAATTTTGGAAATATTGTCTGTGATCGTGGCGCACTGGCGAATTCCGGGCTCTGGGACGGGATCCTGGGGGACACCGCCATGCCCCCACAAGACTGTCCTCGCGTCCGGCCCCGATCGGGCAATTGGAGCCACGCCCCCCCCCCCCCCCCCCCCCCCCCCCCCCCC